TTGAGAAGAAGATGTTTAAAGAATTTTCCTATATATTTCTATGTAAAACTTTGGTCGGCAATTTTGGCCCCGCCCTATCCCCGGGGGTCATGATTTGAACAAACTTGAATCTTCACTACCTTAGCATGCTTCCATATAAATATGATGAATTATGGCTTTGTCATTCTTGAGAAGAAGATTTTTAATGAATTTTCCTATATATTTCTATGTAAAACTTTGGTTGGCCATTTTGGCCCCGCCCTACCCCCGGGGGTCATGATTTGAATAAACTTGAATCTACACTACCTAAGCATGCTTCCATATAAATATGATGAATTATGGCTTTGTCATTCTTGAGAAGAAGATTTTTAAAGAATTTTCCTATATATTTCTATGTAAAACTTTGGTCGGCCATTTTGGCCCCGCCCTACCCTCGGGGGTCATGATTTGAACAAACTTGAATCTACACTACCTTAGCATGCTCACATATAAATATGATAAATTATGGCTTTGTCATTCTTGAGAAGAAGATTTTTAAAGAATTTTCCTATATATTTCTATGTAAAACTTTGGTCGGCCATTTTGGCCCCGCCCTACCCCTGGGGGGTCATGATTTGAACAAACTTGAATCTACACTACCTAAGGATGTTTCCCCATAAGTTTCATCTTTCCTGGCACAGTGGTTCTTGAGAAGAAGATTTTTAAAATATGCCACCAAATTTTCATTAATTCCCAATTATCTCCCCTTGAATGAGGGCGTGGCCCTTCATTTGAACAAACTTGAATCCTCTTCACCCAAGGATACTTTTTGGCAAGTTTGGTTGAAATTGGCCCAGCGGTTCTTGAGAAGAAGTCGAAAATGTGAAAAGTTTACAGACAGACAGACGGACAGACGGACGCCGGACAAAATGTGATCAGAAAAGCTCACTTGAGAAGGCTCAGGTGAGCTAAAAATTCGAAAATAACGACTTGAGTCATACTTTAAAGAATAAAATGAACAAGTTTCACCGCATAGTTTTTAAATTTTTAGTCAAATTTTCACAAAAATGGAATTTGAAGTGAAAAATATTTGTATAGATTAATAAGGATGGTTTCAGAGAGGCAGATTTTTGAACATCATTGTAGGTTTACAATTTCTTTATATTCTAGAAATATATTATTTGCATCATTTTCAATAAAATTAGGCCAAAAAATATACTGTAGAAGTACTTTTTTCCGCGTGGTATTATTTTACGCTATGTACGCAGTCAAAAATTTTTCCGCGGAAATTTGTCCAAGCGTACCGACTTAATATTATTGTAAGCCCATATAGTGACAGTTTACGAAATCCGCGTAATTTTCTACCCGCGGATTAAACAGAAATTGTGATTCCGCGGAATTATGACCACGCGGAAAAAAAGTACGTCTACAGTATACCAATCCAGGCATCCATTTTTTTTGTTTGTATCATCTGTCCTTAAATTATCCCCTCCCATTTAAAAAAAACTGTTGACAAGTTTAGCTATTATTTTCATCCTTCACTGCCTCTATGTTTTGTTGACAAATACAAAAGATTTTAAATTCCAAGTACAATAGGCAACACATAAAACAACTGCTCACAGTAAGACATATGATTTTATTGAACAGAAGCAACTGACTATCATATAATGTGGTTCTGAATCTCATCTACAACAAGTCAAATGATTTAACAAGAACTAGAGGTTTAACATGCAGGGTAGGACTCACATTTCTAAACAAAATTAATGCTCAGCATTAGAAAATAACAACTCTGAACTTCCAAATATACTCATCTGTAAAAAAAAATTGTTATACATGTAAATATTGTTGACATCCTTCCATGCAATGTTGTACATATATATATATAAATGCCCAAAGATGTCAAAATTCCTTTACAGTGAAACTTTGTAAAGTATCACTGAGTATAAAAGAAGCTAACAGTTAATACATAGAGTACATGTGGCTTAATATACATGCAGGCAGGACCTTAATAATAATCCAAAAAATGGTTTACAACTGTCTACTTCTCATTTGAAAAGCAAATACTGAAAACAGGATGTGGAACACTTAATAGTAAATTTTGTAGTTGTAAGTTTGAAGTAACTGAAATATGTCTGATTCAGTATCACTGATGTGTACAGGACTTATCAATCTGAGAGATACCTGAATCACAATATTATAAACCTGCCCAATGCATTTATAATGTGGTACATAACATCAGGTGTCAGATATAAAGACAGAATTGTAAAGTTGGATTCTAATAATCTATAAATCAACATCTTCCAAATATCTGAATGCATACAAAATGTCAAACAAGAGGCCCAGGGGCCACAGCGCTCACCTGAGCACATTGGCTAGGAAAAAGCACATATCAGATCAGAACTGAGAAGTTTACTGGGGGGGGGGCTTGAATTTTAACCCCCCAGGGGTTCATGATTTGAACAAACTAGAATCTACACTACCTCAGAAGATGATTCCATATTAATATCACTAATCAGCTTTGAAGTACTTGAAAAGATGATTTTAAAAGGTTTCCCTATAAATCCCTATGTAAAACTTTGGTCGGCCATTGGCATTTTGGCCCCACCCTAGCCCCGGGGGTCATGATTTGAACAAACTTGAATCTACACTACCTGAGGATGATTCCACGTGAGTTTCATCTTTCCTGGCCCAGTGGTTCTTGAGAAGAAGATTTTTAAAGATTTTTCCTATATATTCCTATGTAAAACTTGGGTCGGCCATTTTGGCCCCACCCTAGCCCCGGGGGTCATGATTTGAACAAACTTGAATCTACACTACCTGAGGATGATTCCACATGAGTTTCATCTTTCCTGGCCCAGTGGTTCTTGAGAAGAAGATTTTTAAAGATTTTTCCTATATATTCCTATGTAAACTTGGGTCGGCCATTTTGGCCCCACCCTAGCCCCGGGGGTCATGATTTGAACAAATTTGAATCTACACTACCTGAGGATGATTCCACATGAGTTTCATCTTTCCTGGCCCAGTGGTTCTTGAGAAGAAGATTTTTAAAGATTTTTCCTATATATTCCTATGTAAAACTTGGGTCGACCATTTTGGCCCCATCCTAGCCCCGGGGGTCATGATTTGAACAAACTTGAATCTACACTACCTGAGGATGATTCCACGTGAGTTTCATCTTTCCTGGCCCAGTGGTTCTTGAGAAGAAGATTTTTAAAGATTTTTCTGATATATTCCTATGTAAAACTTGGGTCGGCCATTTTGGCCCCACCCTAGCCCCGGGGGTCATGATTTGAACAAACTTGAATCTACACTACCTGAGGATGATTCCACATGAGTTTCATCTTTCCTGGCCCAGTGGCTCTTGAGAAGAAGATTTTTTAAAAATGCCATTAATTTTTCTCTAATTCATAATTATCACCCCTTGAATGAGGGCGTAGCCCTTCATTTTAACAAACTTGAAACCCCTTTACCCAAGGATGCTTTGTGGCAAGTTTGGTTGAAATTGGCCCAGCGGTTCTTGAGAAGAAGTCGAAAATGTGAAAAGTTTACGGACAGACAGACAGACGGACAGACAGACGGACAGACGGACGCCGGACAAAATGTGATCAGAAAAGCTCACTTGAGCCTTCGGCTCAGGTGAGCTAAAAAGGGAATTCATACACTAAAACAAGTACATGTATGTACAACAAATCTCCAGTGATAGCCAATACATTCCTTTAAATTGTTCTTTTTGATGATAAAAATGACTGATACATGTAGTAGGCAGCTTTTACTCAAATAAAAGGAGTGGCATAAACTTGCTTTTAGTGAAAACACTAATAAAATTCACAATTAACTTATTCACAGAGACAGTGACGAAACATGATAAATATGGGTCATAATGACATTTAGAGACCTTTGTATGCTCAGGATACAGTACCATATGGTTTTACAGAGAAGGTTTTGAGGAGGTCTACATGACAATATCACAATATACACTGTACATGCAAATAAACAGGCAATTAATACCCCTGGATGGGTTACATGTAGAGTTTTATCAAAGTTAAAATCAAGACATGATACAAGAATAATAGTTTGTAACTTTTTATGACCACTTTCAATATTATTGCACAACCAAAAATCAGAAATGATGCTTCAATTTAAACAAGAGGCCCACGGGCCTTATAGGTCACCTGAGCATTACGCAACAATTTTCCAGTTATTGAATTTGATTCATGTTTTAAGCCAGATGCTATATGACATTCACAATTTTAAAAGAGGCACCATTGATCATCATAACAATACACTTAGCAGTTGCTTAGCTTGGTTACTGAATACCCATATGCAGGGTAGGGGAACAAAAATGCATTCCAACTAACCAGTAGTGCCCCTAACACTGTGACATAAACCTTTGACCCTAGGTCCACACATTGCACAAATTTCAAAAAGGCACCCTTAATATCAAAAAATAAATAAATGTTTTATAAATACAAAAGAGCAGATTTCAAACAATAAATCCATTTTCAGTATATAAGTAGAGCCCCCACCCCACCCCTGACCCTGGGGCTTTGAAATTCACAATTCTGCAAGATTAGGGCCCTTTCTCATCATAACTATAAAGGTAGTTCATCTGCTTTATACCCAGAGACAAAGAAAAATTTTTTCAAAGATTTAATGTATTTTCATTATATAATCAATTGAGCCCCACCCCCCTAACACCAGAACCCCTGACCCTGGGGCCATAAAATTCATAATTTTAAAAGAGGCATTCTTGCTCATCATAACTCATATGTACTTAGTTTATTTAATTCCTAGGAGCAGAGAAGAAGATTTTCAAAGAATTCATGTATTTTCAATGTATAATCAATAGAGCCCTGCCCTAACACCAGAACCCCTGACCCTGGGGCCATAAAATTCACAATTTTGGTAAAAACACTCTTGCTCATCATAACTATGCACTTAGTTAGTTTATTTAATACCTAGGAGCAGAGAAGAAGATTTTCAAAGAATTCATGTATTTTTACTATATGTAATCTATAGAGCCCCGCCCTAACACCAGAACCCTTGACCCTGGGGCCATAAAATTCATAATTTTGGTAGAGGCACTCATGCTCATCATAACTATGCACTTAGTTAGTATATTTAATACCCAGGGGCAGAGAAGAAGATTTTCAAAGAAATCATGTATTTTCACTATATATAATCAATAGAGCCCCGCCCTAACACCAGAACCCTTGACCCTGGGGCCATAAAATTCACAATTTTGGTAGAGGCACTCATGCTCATTATAACTATGCACTTAGTTAGTATATTTAATACCCAGGGGCAGAGAAGAAGATTTTCAAAGAAATCATGTATTTTCACTATATATAATCAATAGAGCCCCGCCCTAACACCAGAACCCCTGACCCTGGGGCCATAAAATTCACAATTTTGGTAGAGGCACTCTTGCTCATCATAACTATGTACTTAGTTGGTTTATTTAATACGCAAGAGTAGAGAAGAAGATTTCCAAAGAAATAATGCATTTTCACTATATACTTATTTAGCCCCGCCCTAGCACTAGAACCCCTGACCCCAGGGCCATGAATTTCACAATTTTGGTAAAGGACTCAATGCTGATTACAATCATGCAAACAGTTTGACTGCTTGATGTCCAGGAGTAAAGAAGAAGATTTTTAAAGATTGCATTAATTTTAGTGGTTTTGGCCCCACCCCTCGGGCCCCAGGGGGGCAGGGATCATGAAATTCACAATTTTTGTTCCCCTTCACCCATAGATGCTTTGTGCCAAATTTGGTTGAAATTGGTTCAGTGGTTGCAGAGAAGAAGCTGAAAATGTTCAAATGTTAACACACGACGGACGACGAACGACGGACGACGGACGACGAACGACGGACGACGACGGACGAAAACGGATAGCAATAGGTCACCTGAGTTTACTCAGGTGACCTAAAAACAGATAAATGTTCCTCAATTGATGAGGATATGTTTCAATACTAAGAGGGTAATAAGGCTTGATTGTGAAAAATTCACAATTAAATAAATAAAATTAGGATTGATGTGTTCAGTTTTAAAAGACCAATTCTGAAAATAGTATAGAAAACATGAATCAAACATGAGCTTACATAATAATAAAAGTGAAACTAAGAACACACATTTATACTTTTCATGTTTTATTTCAGCTCAGGTTCGTCTCAAACATGGCACAGACTCTGTCATTCTCAGAAGTTGGAATACAGCACTCTTAATAAGAAGATACAGTTTTCAGGTTAGTTCATCAAACTGAGTGATATTCCTTTCTCTTCAATCACTCCTAACAACTTATGATTTTCTCTTAGCCACTTGTGAAAGTCAATTAGTCCTTTTTTCTTCCGTTTTTTTTTTGTTTGTTTTTTTTAATCAAACTGGATGAAGTTCATTTCTCTTCAATCCACTCCTAACGTCTGCCAGTTTTCTACCAGCCACTTGTGATAGTCATTTAATTTATGGTCTGTAGGAGTGACCTGAAAGACAATTTTAGCAAAAAGTCATTCTATGTGTTCCTGATCTATATAAAGGTGAACATTTTTGATCATTTCTTAAGTGTTCTTTAAATTTTAATTTTCAATTTTGCTTTCCCCCAAAAATTCAGTACAAGAGCTCTCTCTAAAAGGCCCATCTGTACAGTCAAGAAAAGACGACATGAATCATGTTAGAATAATTCTATTCACATGCTTATAAGCTACAATAAACATATTCCCCTTTTCCAGTAAATCAAAAAGTCTTAAGTTTGCCCAACCTCAGAACTTGGAGGTTTTCAGAAAAGCTTCAGCAAGATTTGCAAATTTCATTGGTGGATAAATGAAAGGCTGATTTTGACAATGCATATTAAAATCACAACTGTTATTTATAGCACTGGAACAGTCTTGATTGGTTGTGACACATTAGCAATTTACTAATGTAATTGCAACTGCATGTGTAAGTTTAAAACAAAGGGTAAAAAGCCTCCCTTCAGCATTATTTTTGAAAAACTGGACTGAGAACCAATATTTTAGGCCTAATCATGCAATGATATAAGATAAGATAATTCAGGTCCTCTTATTCTATTCTTGCACAAAGAATTCATATAATTACAAAAGTATATCTGTAGTTAATACTAGGAAACTTTTTACGGCTACAGATGGTTGTGTTAATATCCAGTAACCAATTTTACCTGTCTCCACTCTTTCACACAGAAAATTCTGTAGGAATCATTTCCATATTTCCCAATTCCATGTAATTCTATTGGATACCTCCACTCTTTTGTCAAAAACTCATCTACAAATAAATAATTTCTATGAATTGTGTTCAGTTTTATTTATAAATGCATACATTCCTACTCTTTGTGCATTCTCCATAATAAGACCTGTTCTGAAGTTCGTTGGAAGTATGTACATGTATCTTTAAATCTATACTACCTGGGGTAATATACTTTGATTTTATTCATTTAAGAAATATAGATAGATCACTACTTTTCACAACCATTCTGATCTATTTTGATTAGAAAGCAAAATACCTGAGAAGCGTATGATGATCTTTGCCCTCTTTTCATGCAGCCCCAGTGGTGTAAGAAGCCTGGCCATAGACTGCCAGTCGCCCCGCCGAGCCGCATCAGGGTTTGGCCAGCGATTCAGAAACTTCCACAAGATAGGAATAGCAGCCTTCCCTGTACAGAAGGAACACTCTTATGTTATCATAGGCTGGTGTTTATATGAAAACTATAATGTATATGAAAATAAGTCCTCCCTATACAAAACAAATTTACTGATCTTATATACAGATTTCTGGTCAAACAAATATATAAACAAGTTTCAATTGTTCTTTATATTTAAAATCAGGTACTGTAGATTGGCAAATAATCATGATGATTTTAATTTCGCTATGTTCGCGATTTATCATTTTTCCATGAAGTTAAATCCATCGTGAATGTTATTATTCGTTTTTAAGAATGATGCTTGCACAAAATTCTTAATTTTTTTGCAGCGTGAAATTAAAATCATCGCAATTGGTACTTCTAGAGACATCTTGAAATTTTAACACTGTGGAATTACCAGTAAAACAACTTACAGTATCTTATGTGTGGTACATGCATTAGATGAAATAGAGAGTAGTACTCTCTCAAGTTCTTGCCAAGTGCAATACCCTCTTGTATAGTATTACACAGTAATAGGCCAATGGTGAGCATGCATGCTTAAAATGAAATCAAGCAAAGGAATGAATGATTAATTTTTCCATTTTTATCCTGGGCACTTTAAACTTCATACCTGTGGTCCTGTTTAAGAATATTGTGGCCACCAGTAATTTCCATGGATCATGATACAAGCTTTCCTGAATGAGATGAAAGGGAGACTTGGGTGGGGTCCATTTGACATCTCTATGTAACTCAGGACGAGGCATGTAACGTCCACTCTGGAAATACGGACTCTGTACCACAGCAGACTGGGCAGGAACATATTCCTCATCCTCTTCTGTAGGGAAAGAGATATCTGTCTTTAGATGTGTACATTATATAAAATATTGTTTACATTGTTGTAGAGTATTGAAAAAAGACACTTGAAATAGACATAGCTGACACTTGAATTGATAACCATACAATAATTTGGTTAAGAGTTTGTGGTTAATGTAACAAATACCTATGTCTAGACTGTTATCATCTGCCTCCACCAGAGCCTTGTCCTCTTCACTGGAAATGGTCTCTTTGGACCATGAGGCCTCTGAAGACTCGGTGAGTTTTGTGAGCTGACCATCAGACAGTCTGCGTGGCGATTTAGCATACAGTCCAGGAGAGACAGGGGATTTAATGGGAGAGGCGGGGGATTTAACAGGTGAGGCACGAGATTTAATGGGAGAGGCGGGGGATTTAACTGGAGAGACAGGGGATTTATCATACAGTCTGGGAGAGGCAGGGGATTTAATGTTGGTAAGAGACAAGGAGGGTTCTGTTTGTAGATCTTCAGTCTGATGAACCAAGTGATCATCCTCTGTAACAGGTACAGAGATGGAATTGTTAACACTTTTAGGAGAATTACACATACTGTTTTCATCAGACACCTTTTTTGTCAGTATTTCAGTACTTTGCTCAGTAGAAGAGTCTGTAGTGTTGGTGGTGCTCTCATCACTTTTATCAGAGGTCTGATTAAGAGAACAAGGTGCTCGGTCAGATTTTTTGGACAAGATTTTTCGTTCCGTTGATACACGCCTGTTTCGACCTGAAAGTTTTGCATAATCAATATTTCCAGAGCCTCTTCTTTTCAATCTTGTAGGACTCTTAGCTTCATCTGAAGAAAATGAACCACTGTTACTAGAATCCCACTTCACAAACTGGTTTTCACTTTGTGCACCATTTACTTTTGTGTCACCTGTTTTAATGATTTCCACATTACATTTAATTTCACCATCAGTATTCATGTTACCATCCTTATCAAACATATCAAACACATTAGCACCATGAGCTTTGACAACTTTTAGGTCCTCTTCCAAAGCTTCACGAAACCTTGGGTTTTTTTTAGGAGTGACATAACATTCCCCCCTCCTCTGGGCCTCCTCAGTCCTTTTTCCTCCCTGAACAGTACTCACTTGACATTTCCCATTATCACCATCCTGTGTGCTGTCCGTTTTCACTTTTCTCTTCACTGATTTTATTTTTGTGGTCTCCTTCTTTTTCGATTTATGAGCACTTTCTCCTGCGGAGAAGGCCATTTTTATGACAAGTCTCTGTGTTATGGATTTTCCTTTTTTAGGTGAGTTGTCCTTCACTTGAGACAAGACAGCCTTTTTGTTGGCATTTCCTCTCTTCCCTGATTTTTCTCTGGTCTTGTTGAATGTCTTTGCTGTTACTTTTGGTGCACTGTTTTTTCTCTTTTTGATTTCCGTCCCGTCACTCGTATCAGCATCAGTAGTCTTACTACTGTCTGCTTCAGCTCTCTTCCTCTTAATAGTTGGGCCTACAGTCTGGTGTTTAGAAGTGTGGCCCACAGAATGGTGTTTACCTCGGACGGTAAAATCAAAGTCATCAGCACTCAGATCTGTAATGCCCTCTTCCTCTAAATACCTGGCAAGGTCAGTCTTAGATCTCAACTTTCTCCCACTAGGACTGAGAAAACAAGGCAATAAATCATGCACATCAGTTTTTTTTATATAAATATAATCAAGGGACACAACCTTTCCAGGAAATTATTTTTGTTTGTTTCTATTTGTAAGCTGACATCATCATATTAATAACAGAACTGTAACTCAATATTTTTCCTAGATCGATATTCCTAAAATTTTTAAATGTGAGACAAAATAAAACTGCACAGTGAAAACTGTCTAATCCAAAACCTGTGCAATCTGTCACACTGTGCATGTCGGATTAGACAGTTTTCACTGTATATCCCGTTAAAGTAGCATAAAAGTTAGGTATCTAGGATTTTCTCTTTAAAATTTTCAGGAGTTTCAACTTTTCAATTTCAAGTATCATTAAGGAAATAAATGAGAATTACCTGTAAATGTACACATCATATTTTCCTGCTGACTTGCCACTTAATCTCTGAACAACTTTCCTTGTCCACCCTGCAGGCAGCTGTTTGTCATACAACATTGGGGAGACATCATATGTATGGTCCACCCTGGAGAAAAAGATGATTCCTTCACATATGTTTAATTGAGGGTCACAAAATTTACACTCTAATATCATCATTTGAAGAATTTTCCATTCTGATTTAAAAAAAAAAAAAGGATACAACATACTGTGACATAAATACATATTTTTAAAGGGAGATTAAATTTCAAATAATAAAAGTACTGTGATGGTCGCATGGATGTCCCATACAGAGAGTTTCTCATTGTGAATAACCTCCAACAGAAGTCTGATACCTGAGTGGTTTAGGTGCTGGCCTGATTTCCATCACTTCAGTTGTTGTAGAGTCCTTGTCTCCAGACAAACTTCTGCTATCACATGCTAAACTTCTCTTAATAACATCAACATCGTCCTGTAAGCTGTCATTAAGAGATATGCTACTTGAGTCACTAATTTTCTCAAGCCTACACTGTATTTTTTCATTACTTTGGTCCATTGACTGACTGGTATTGGGGTCACAGCTGGAATTGGACTGGTCTGGATCTGTGTCTGGATACATGAGTTTATCCTGACTGGACTGATCGGACGCCTCGCTGTGAGGCAGGTCTAACTTGGAGGTACCCCCTGAGGTCCCTGTGTCTGTGTTCTCCTCGGCTGTACTCTCCTCCTCAAACTCATCGATGATCTCCCGATCATCCTCCTCCTCCGCCATCCCGTACTCATCGCCTGTATCATCATACTCCTCATACTCCTCCTCATCCTCTTGCAAATTGTCTTTTATGTCTTTAGTTTGTGCAGCGGAAACAAAGGATGAAAATGCTCTGAAATTTTTTCATTTATTTTCATCATTAAGATCAATTTTTAGTTACATGTAACAAGAGATGTTTGTGAAACACTTATGCCCCCTTACCCCCCAAATTGGAATTTTTTTCTATGTCCAAAAGTGCATAACTCTGTCAAAAATGGCACAATTGTACCCAAAACAGAACTTAACCTAGATATTCCTCTGCTAAATCTGTATATGTACTAAATTTCATTTTAGTATGTGCAACAGTTGCGAAGAAAATGAATGGAAACTGCAAATAATTGGAATTTTTTCTAAGTCCAAGGGGCATAACTATGTCAAAAACTGCACGATCGTACCCAAAACAGAACTTGACCTAGATATTTATCTGTTAAATCTGTATACTAGATTTCATTCCAGTATGTGCAATCTTTGCAGAGAAAATGAGCGGAAACTGCAAATAATTGGAATTTTTCTAAGTCCAAGGGGCATAACTCTGTCAAAAATGATGCGATCATACCCAAAACAGAACTTGACCTATATAGTCATCTGATAAATCTGTACACCAAATTTCATTTCAGTATGTGCAATGGTTATGAAGAAAATGAAAGGAAATCAAGTGGATCGACCGACCGACCAACCGACCAACAGACAGCAGCAAAGCAACATGCCCTCCCTTCTTCGAAGGGGGGCATAATTATCAACTTATTGATACAGACTGGCATTTGCTCCTGCATTTACGGAAAAAAAGATAATTCTGAAAGGTGTTGTCACATGTACATGCAAACATAAACACCATGGCTTTTCTCAATTAAAAGTTATTATCAAGGTTACTTTTTTAAAAGTAGGTCAAACTTCAAGGTCAAGGGATAAAAATTCAGAGTACAGAGTACATAAGCATGATTAGAAAAGATCACATGTCATGTAATATAAATTAACTCAATCCTACCTTCTCTCAATTAAAATTTATGTCAACAATATTTGAAAAGTAAACAAAACATTTAACAGGATGAAAATTACAGTGGATATTTTTAAAGAATTATCTGTTATCTTAGAAATAAAAATATGTCAAAGGCAACTTCTAATTGTCATGTAGAGACAATGGTTTATATGTAAATTGATCTTTTTCTGTTCTATTTTGTAATTTCTTGTTTTCAGATTTTTACTCCATAAACATTTTTAATAGCATATGGTAAAATGGTAAACAAATATTGAGCTCAGTGTCCTGGAATACATAGTATTGTGAGTACCTTGCAGTCATCGAACTTACTATTGCTTTTTGCGGATGAGTCGAGAAAGCTCTAAATCCTGCAAGATTTCTGGGGCATAATATTGTTTACAGTAGTGATTTGAACAATAATTATGCTGTAATTTCAATGTACATGTATTGCTAAGGATTGAACTCCGAATAGTAGATTGTCAAAAAAGGAAAGTTAAAAGTAATTTATCAGCTTTCAAAAGTAATGATTTTCAATAAAATTTAAATGAGAAGAGTCTGCTTGGTAAAAATAATCATAACAACACATCGCTCACCTGAGCACTATGGCTAGGAAAAAGTAGAAATTGGTTTATTATTGAAAAGTTTAAATCCAAAAGTAGTCCCATGACCAATCATGGCTTTGCTATTCTTGAGAAGAAGATTTTTAAAGAATTTTCCTATATATTCTACGTAAAACTTTGGTCGGCCATTGTGGCCCCGCCCTATCCCTGGGGGTCATGATTTGAACAAACTTGAATCTACACTACCTGAGGATGCTTCCATATAAATATGATCAATTATGGCTTTGTTATTCTTGAGAAGAAGATTTTTAAAGAATTTTCTTATATATTTCTATGTAAAACTTTGGTCGGCCATTGTGGCCCTGCCCTATCCCCGGGGGTCATAATTTGAACAAACTTGAATCTACACTACCTGAGGATGCTTCCATATAAATATGATCAATTATGGCTTTGTTATTCTTGAGAAGAAGATTTTTAAAGAATTTTCCTATATATTTCTATGTAAAACTTTGGTCGGCCATTGTGGCCCCGCCCTATCCCCGGGGGTCATAATTTGAACAAACTTGAATCTACACTACCTGAGGATGCTTCCATATAAATATGATCAATTATGGCTTTGTTATTCTTGAGAAGAAGATTTTTAAAGAATTTTCCTATATATTTCTATGTAAAACTTTGGTCGGCCATTGTGGCCCCGCCCTACCCCCGGGGGTCATGATTTGAACAAACTTGAATCTACACTACCCGAGGATGTTTCCCCATAAGTTTCATCTTTCCTGGCACAGTGGTTCTTGAGAAGAAGATTTTTAAAACATACCACCAAATTTTCATTAATTCCCAATTATCTCCCCTTGAATGAGGGCGTGGCCCTTCATTTGAACAAACTTGAATTCCCTTTACCCAAGGATACTTTGTGGCAAGTTTGGTTGAAATTGGCCCAGTGGTTCTTCAGAAGAAGTCGAAAATGTGAAAAGTTTACAGACAGACAGACGGACAGACAGATGGACGCCGGACAAAATGTGATCAGAAAAGCTCACTTGAGCTTTCAGCTCAGGTGAGCTAAAAATGTATCAAATGAGGACTAGCTTCTCTCAAAGCTTTATTAGGCTCGTTCAGAGAATGTTTATAGCAAGACAGCTAACTTAAGTAATCACGATTTCAAGTATTATGTGTACATGTAAAGGTTAGAGATGTCTGAACCATGCCAAACATGTTCTATTTACAGATTTTCCATGAAATTCAAGGTGGTCTCTCCACTTAACAAAGTTTTTAGAAATTATCACATCTGTAGATTTCAGTTTCAGTGCTTGGAATCGAGGGTTTCCACATCGTTGATGGTAAGTAAGTGCAAATCTAGTCTCGTTTTCCCCAGATTCTCACTCTCGAGACTTTGCCCGAGCGAGCGTCTGGTCTGATTCCTATTTTATTTTTGTAATTTCAAGTCGAGGCTTATCGAGAAATCGGTATGAATTTTCATTGGCTGATTCATTCTCTTCGATGCTAAGATCTTAAGTACATCGTCAAATCAGAGGCTGCGCCTTTACTTTTATCTGGTTTATAATAAAATACCTCTGTCTGCTTTTCAAGGAACAAAAAACGCACATATCTTTGTTTACAAAGTAAATTCTCTCATGTATTTTCATGGGAGTCGCCCATCTTTGTTAGCCGGTTTAGCGACCTCTACTGGTTACAAAAATAAAATAGGAATCAGACCTGACTCTCGCTCGGGCAAAATCAGGAGAATAGAGGGGTCATCACTTTTGAAGGTAGATCTCTTCAGCACATGTAGGAAGAGTGTATAGATATTGAATTAAATGAACTTACTCCCCCCCCCAAAGGAATTCAAGATACAAGTCCTTAACCTTACGTCTTTTAGTATGGGGAAATATGATATGCAATTTTCAATGTTTTTTTTATTTATTTTTTTATTTTATTGAGTGTATCTAAACAAAGAAAAACACACAGAAATACACCCTTCTGAAACTAAGCGCCTATGCTCCACACAGGTTAAATTATCCCATTTTGGACGATTGGTCCTGACACTCCATTTGAGGCCTCCCTCGTCAGCTTTACATCAATGATCAAGCGTGCAAAAACTGCACTGCAACAATTCCTCTGCCTACCAGCCTAATGCATGACGCACTCATTACACACTCATGATGACACTGCCTAAATACTGTTACATTTCTGATGATTTGGAATGGCTGGTGATAATGAATAAAATCGACGACAATCAGTTGAAATACTTACGAAGGTTGCATTGCGACGAATAATTCATCTGTTGCCTCATCGTCCTCCATGACGGTGTGCATCAAAAACGAAAAAAAAATGAATTTCCGAGCCCGATGAAAATTGCACTCCCTATTTTCCGCTCGCTAGGAACAGTTTACTATTTCTAGCCATTTTCACATAATGAAAAACACAATGTTGAGTGGGAGTTTACATGGAGAAACATTTATAAAAAGATACACTGATTGGTACAGTACTGAAATAATAATTATCCAGTGTGTGTGTAAAATTTTCAATTTGAATAGGTCTACTTTAAAAAATTGTCATATAAAACATGTTTTCTGTATAAAGATATGAGGATGATGATAGCGCAGAGTTTTGATGAGGATGATGACGACCATGATGATATTGATGATATTTAAATTGATTTAATGATGATAATAATGGGATAAACCAAGATGTCGGTGTAATGATGCAGTGTCTTTTGTATTTAAATTCAAGCATGTAAGTGCATGTTCTTGAGTTGTGTCAAACAATATCATGAATTATTATCTAAATTACAATTAAAACCAATACATAAATCAGGAAAAGAAATAAGATACCAATATACATTTAATATGTAGATGTGTAAATAAATCGGGATCTGAAGATAAATAAAGTTCGTTTTGTCTATGAAAATCGCAAAATTTCAAATCCCCCGAAGTTGTAAACAAGAAATGAGATGGAAGAGGAAAGGCGGGATAATGTGGATTGTTGAACACAAGGAGCAGTATGATTATTGTGAAAATGTTTGAGAAGTAGAATATCATTTTGAAAAATGAGTTTGGGACAGTTAGCCTCAGCGGGTGACGATATAAAGTTATGGGATGAAGGGAACTTTTCGCTTTTAAAACAGTTCAATCCCCATGACCAAAACATAGCAGACATTTGCTGGAGTCATGATAGTATCCTTAGTACAAAGCATAAAACCAATTATTTGACTTTGCATTAATAAGGATATTAAACTCAGTTGAATGTATAATATTTTGTTGTTACCAGGGACAGTTGGCTGCATTTTATACAGGGCCTATTTTTATTTTTGAAGATCACCACCATCCTCATAACTTTAGGGTAGCTGCAGAACTGTAGCTCTCTGAGATAATTTGGACAGATAAAAAAGAGAGCTACAGATCCAAGCGTCGTAAAAACCTTCAATTTACGCCACTGATTTTTGGTCACTCATTTCAAGTATTATCTCTTGTATTTTATGCTTTCCCCAGCCATAAAAAGGTATCAGATAATTAACCATACAAACTCCTATTTCTGATATTTTATTTACCTTTCAACGGTTCCAAAAGGCTATTTTTGGTTACAGATGTCCATGTGGGAATCTCTTTAACTGACATTTCAAAACCATAAAGGACTGTTACAGATTGTTAAAAGATAAGTATCAGTAATCATGGTAATAGGTGTAAAATGACTAAAATGTATGATCAATTATCGTTCTAGAAGCGAGGGAAAACATAAAATACAAGGAATAATACCTAAAGTCGGTTACAAAAAAGTGATGGCGTAAATCGTAGGTTTTTACAGTGTGTTGATCTGTAGCTCTCTGCTTTATTTGTCCAAATTTTTTGAAGCAGAGAGCTCAAGTTTTCCACAGTTCACTATTGTTAGTGATTGAGCCACCATTTTTACACTGTTTTTGGTTGATTCCTTATCATTTTTGTTAATTCTACCATTATTTCATCAAAAAGTTTTCTGTACGAAGATCAAATATTCAGGTACATTAAACAATGTTTTTTTTTCCTTATCTGTCTTAAGATACATTTCTAGCTAGTGTAGCTGTGAACAGTGAGAAGATAGCAATTTATTCATGCAAGACATCAGCTTTTCCTATTACAACACTTGACTGCTTGGTGAGTTTATTCTTCATTTCAAGAAAAATAAACTGATAATTTGTTACAATAGTTGTATCAAACAAACTCAATCAAATTTGAGTCAGTATACTGGCCCATACTTGAAGTAATCTTTTTGTTATTTTAATTGAATAAACAAATACGAAATTCAGCAAACTTTTCTAGTTGAATTTTTGCAGCATCTGTTTAAAAAAATCAGGAGAATAATAATACTTGAATAATGAGGTGCCTTTGGTGATGATATTTTAATGTAGTGGCGTCTTTGTTTTCAGCCTGGGAGATTATGTCTGGACCTGACCTCCACATCTAGATATCTTGTTGTAGGAGGCTCAGACAGTGTCATTAATGCCTGGGACTTAAAATCCAGGACAATCAAAAAATCTTACAAGGTAAGACATATAATTTATCAATTTACAGATTATACATATTCAACAGTAAGTACATTTTATCATTAAAGAAGTACATTATTTATGTATTTAAATTATGCTCTTATCACTGAAGATGCTGACAAAATTTATTTTTTTGTAGGATCACAAAGGCCCTGTCAGCTGTGTGTTATTTAATGCTAATGCTTCTCACATAGCCTCAGGATCAGAATCAGGGGAGATAATTGTGTACAATGTTGTCACTGGACAAGGATGCAGACCGATGACTGCTCCCAAAGTCCAGGTTTGTGTAGACCAATGACTGCTCCAAAAGTCAAGGTTTGTGTAGACCAATAACTGCTCCCTGAGTCCAGCTTTATGTAGACTAATGACTGCTCTCAAAGTCAAGGTTTGTGAAGGACTGCTCCCAAAGTCCAGGTTTGTGTAGACTAATGACTGCTCCCAAAGTCCAGGCTTGTGTAGACCAATGACTGCTCCCAAAGTCCAGGTTTGTGTAGACCAATGACTGCTCCCAGAGTCCATGTTTGTGAAGACTAATGATTGCTCCGTAAGTCAAGGTTTATGTACTAGACCAATAACTGCTCCCAAAGTACAGATTTTGTTGACCAATGACTGCTCCCAAAGTACAGATTTTATTGACCAATGACTGCTCCCAAAGTACAGGTTTTGTTGACCAATAACTGCTCCCAAAGCACAGATTTGTGTAGACCAATGACTGCTCCCAAAGTACAGGTTTGCATAGCCCAATGACTGCTCCCAAAGTCCAGGTTTTTGTAGACCAATGCTACCAAAGTACAGGTTTGAAAGTTGAGTCTTTGCCTTATGTATTATGCTGTAATTGATAACATCATGAGGTAGGCATTTTTTGAGGTTATTTAGTTTTTATATCCCCAGCATAGGGCATTTTAATAAATGTTAAACTGCTTCTGTAAAGTCATAGATTGATTGATGAAGCATCCCCTTATCAAGCAGATTAAATCTATATCTCTTGGCCACTGGGGAGAGGATTAAAAGGCCTGTCCTCTTCCAGTTGATAGTATCTTTCAAATAAAAAAGTTCCTGATGGCCAGCCTGTTGCTTTCTACGTTAATTAGATGTAGTATAGCATTTATTGAAATAAATTTGATATCCTTTAGTTAATATAATGTTTTCATACGTTATATCCCAACACCTGAATTATTGAGTCTATGGTTGTTTATTTTAGGCTATAAGACAGCTGCAGTTTAATGCAGTGAAGAAGTCTTTGTTAGGATCCGTGTCGGAGGATGGAGCCGTCAATCTGTGGGACATCAACACGCGGCGACTTCTTCACACCTACAGTACCGCTCACATCGCTTCAGCAACAGGACTCAAGTTCTCTCCCCTTAACGACATTCTGCTACTCTCTGTAGGACTGGACAAAAGAATGATCTGTTTTGATATCCAAAGCAAAAAGTAAGTTATTGACAATTCTTTATTTAAACAAATTACAGTTGTGAAAGATGACATAATAAATTAAAAAGATTATGAGTGTTGTGATTTATTTGTGATTTCATGAAGAGAGCTTGGAATGTTTGTTACAGACAGGTGAAGTGTATGACAGTCGACTCTCCGTTGACATCTATTGACGTGAAATCAGATGGTGTGACGGTGGCGGTCGGGTCCACCCGAGGGAAGGTGTTTGTTTACGATCTGAGGAAGGCCGATACTCCGTTCAATGTATTTAACGCCCACAGGTCCTCTGTCCAGAGACTGAAGTTTGAACACAAATCTAATGTATGTATTTAAATACATAGAAAAAATACCATACAGGGAAACGGAATCTTTTCATGATTAAAGTGAGAGAGTTATATAAAGCATTGGATTATACAGATAGCTATATAGTGAGGTATTTTGGTAAATGTTAGATTTGTTATGAATTTTGATTAGGAAATATCATAAATATAGCAGCAGCTTAATTACGTGTAGAGTATTTATCTTATAAAGCTTGAAAGTGAAAATACTTTAAAGTAGTGAAAAACTGAAAATTAGAATTCTGGCTAGAATATGATTTTATTTGGCTGTGTAAAGTTTGTTTTCACAAGTTACTATATGAAGCAGAAATCTCTTTTCTAGAATGAATTTCAAAGTTTAAGCAAGCAAGAATCCTATGCAATGAAAGCCAAACTGATGCACAGTGAAGTAGATGGTCTCTCACCAGGCAGACGACAGCTTCCGTCTGCACCTAGTGATCACGTGAAGGAGAATATACTGAAAGGTGTGTACTAGCAGGATACAGAGTCCAGTCACTGGTCACTGTACCTTATTGATCAAACACAATACAGAGGCCAGTCAGATTGTCAAATGTGTCCATCTATACTGAATAATTGTGCAAGAACGTGTAGTGTCTTAATTAATTTTTGCTAAATAGGTCACACTCATTGTAATTAGGCCAAAAATGTTTTCCCTCCATGTATGTGAAATATAAAGTGACAGAACCAAGCATTGGACACCTAACATTCTATCTATATGCTTAATTTTTTTACCTTTGGGTCCGAATGAGGTAACCTTTGTAGACTTGGAAATTAAGTTTCTAATGTACTAATTTAAACATTGGATAATATTCCTGATGGGTGAGAAGAATATTAGAGCTTTCATAGATATAATTCACCTATTTACTTGTAAGTTAATAGCACTTGGGGAAAGATAAAAAGAATCATTTTTTCCTTGTGTACTTATCAAAGGGATCTAGAAAAAGAATAGGAATGGTTCTGTACCTTAATTAAGAGGAATGTCATGTTGCTTCATATTGTTTGAAGCCAAGTTTCCTTGTTTATATGATGTTATATGTGTCCTTCAAAACTGGCTTTCTAAGACAGAATGATTATTTTTTTTAATAAGTTAGGTGGACAAAATACAATAATTCTTAATTGCTTAAATTCCCCTATTCTACGTACCTTGATTCCTGTTTCACATAATAAGTACATTAACATTACAATAGTTAATAATGTTGATTATTATAACACTTATCATCTCTATAAAGATGGTGCTTCCATTGGTTAATTTCTCTTACTGAGAAATGAAATAGCAGATATTGCTTTAAACCTGGGTTTTTAGGAGTGATAATATATGTATATGTAACCTATAGTCAGGAATTATATCTTTTCTGATTAAAGTTTGCTGTCTGATTTATTAACCAAATGTATCCAAACTTGGTAGTAACTGGTATTATGCATACATGTACTTTGTACTGAAAAAAGTTTTTGATTTTAATTAGCAAATTTAGAAATCTTAATCTCCAGATCAGCAAAATGACTAATCAATATGCAAAAGTCCTTGATATGAAGTTGTAATTAACAAAATGTAGATTTTTTTTTTCAAATTTAATCTCCCATGACTGTAATAGGAAACATCAATGTATTGAAGGAATCTTTATAAAATTAATGTTAATGTCAACTTTTGGATGATGGATGGGTGTTAAATTTATGTTGTAAAGACTTTATATTAGTGGAGGTAAAGTGACAGGTGAGCGTTGTGATCTTAGAGCCTTTTGTTTAATACATGTAGTATAATGATAATTATTTCCTCTCCTATCCTGAATCCCAGTAACAACTGTCTCTTATTCCAGAAGTAGAAACCTGGCCCATGTCCACATTTTTAGAGTATCTAGAATTTGATAGTTCTGGTGACGGTAGGTTAGAGTGGCTGTACTAATTCTAACATTGATTTACTGTGTGTCATGTTAACCAGACATCTCACTGTTGTACCAGAGCTTCTGATGCCTTAGAACAGATTAAAGTCAGTCAAATATCACCGAATGCTGCCATTTTCTAATCTAATCCGACAACTCAAAAAGCTCAGGCCATGGCTAAAGAACACTTTAAAAAAAAAAACTGAATCAAGGCTAGTGATACCTTATTCAACCTGATTCAAAGCAAATATTGTCTCAAAAATCCTAATTCAAAGCATTGGTTACTCAGAGAACCTGATTCAAAGCTAGCTGATGACTCACTATTTTAGAATTGCCACATATTATGATGTTTACTTACATTGCCATATCACCCAATATCTACAAAGGAGAGAATTTTTCTCGCAAGGACACTAAATCCCATCATTTTGACAATTTTTTAAGTTTATTAAACAACGTTATATATATATATATATATATATATATATATATATATATATATATATAGGTAAAATTAAAATAAAAAAGGCAACACAGATTAAAACGTTAGCGCTTTCATTACATCTTCAGACGTTTTACAAATGCATTCTTTATCCTGACTGCAATGTCTTACAAAACTATTAATACTTTAAAAATCATTATCTATAATTGAATCTGACAGCAAGCAATTAAATGCTTGCAGTTTGTTCACACCTTTGAAACCAAATCCGACATGTGTTTATACTCTTAGCCGGAGAACATCGAAAGGTTACACTCTGTGTGAAAGTTTTATCAGAAATCAAATTAAATCAAACTGTTAAGACTGGGATTAAATTTTTGAATGAAATATTTCTCTTTTTCTCTTCTTTCTGTTATATTGTCTTTAAAAAGTTTATAAAAAGGGAACACTTTAAACTGTCCTTGTCCGCATCTATCAATGTGTTCGCTGAGTTTGATCTTACGGTACTCAGGAACTTGAATATGCTGTTTATGCACGCGAATTCTGGCTCTCAATGTGGTCCCCGTTTCACCGATGTAGAATTGGTTGCATCCTCCGCAAGTAATAACATATATTAAATTTTTGGACTCACATGTCATGTCTGAATTAATAAAGAAATCTTTTCCTCTGAAATTAAATGATGTTCCTTCTCTTAAAACAGAACATGTGCCACATCGTGGATCTTTACATTTTGTCACGGATTTTGTAGATTTCGTTATTTTGGAAGGACAGAGTATTCTTCTGAGGTTTTTGGGCTGCCTTTTGCTGTTTATAAACTTGAATTTTGAAAGAACATTTGACATTTCTTCATCCGTTTTGAGAATTTCGTTCAGATTTTGAACGATAGGTGTAATATTTGGGTTTTTAGGATTGTAAGTTGTGACTAGTGGTAATATTTTAATATTTTCCTCATCATTAGGAGTTGGATTAATTAATTCTTCTCTGTCTAATTCCTTTGCTTTTCTGATGCCGTCGTTGATTAAGCTTAAAGGATAATGTTGGTCTGTGAGAAATATTTTCAATTCATCCAGACGTTGATTTCTGGTTTCCTCCTCATTTACTATTGTGCATATTCGTCGGGCTAGGTTGTAAGGTATTGCTCTTTTAATGTGTCGCGGATGGGAAGATCCAAAATGCAAATATTGATGAGTGTCAGTACTCTTATAAAATATATCTGTTGCAATTTTGTTGTTTTCCTTACAGATTAATACATCTAAAAATGGTAATTGAGTAGAACTTTTTTCCATTGTAAATTTAATATCTGGGTCTAATTCATTTAAGATATCATTTAAAATGTTCAAATCTGAATCATCTTTTTTCCATATAATAAAACAATCATCCAGATATCTTTTCCAGTTTCTCTTAAGATATTCGCAAAATTCTGCATCAAACTGTTCATTAGCTTTTTCATATAGTGCTTCTTCTAGGTATCCAAGGGTAAGTGTTGCATATGTAGGGGCCATTTTGGTACCCATGGCTGTACCTTTCACTTGATGAAAATATTTGTCATTGAAAGTAAACACATTGTTCTTTAAAACTAATTCGGTGGCTTCCAGTAAAAATTCTTTTGTAAACCGTTTGTCAATTTTATTTCTGTAATTTTCAATCCAAAAATTTAAAGCCTTGATTCCTAAGGTACTGGTTATATTGGTGTACAGTGAAATAATCCAACAAGAAATTAATGAGCTTGCACTGCAAAAAGAGGCAGACAAAATTAAACAAAAAATGAAAGTTGAATGGAATAGGGAACTCAACTCAAGATCACAAGTCTTTTGGAAAACAATTAACAATGCCAATGATGCAATCCAATATGAAAAATGGCTTGGAGAAGAAAACCCAATCCTACCTAGAAAATTTAGAATAACGGAAATATACGGAGAACCAGAGGATCAGAAAAATATCCGAGCTAATATGGCTATAGATAGAGTTAAAGGAGAGATACAACTGCTTCGCATGAGGTCTACAAATTCACAGGAGAAAGTTCTTCAAATTGACGAACAAATGAAAAATGAATTAAAGAAGAAAGCAAGCGGAAGAATATTAGAAATCCTGGAAGATATGTGGAAATCCGATTGCGAGAAAAGGGAAAAACGAGCACATGATAAGTGGAGGATGAAGGAAATATGGCAATTAGATTACGTAAGAAAATATGGTAACAACATAGTCAAAGAAAAGAGTCAAAAGAAACCTAAAACAAATGGAAAATTGTCAAACAAATCGACAAAACGCGAAGCCAGTTTTGCTGACGTTGTCCGTCAAAATTTTCACCAAAAAAACAATAACAGGCCAACAAAAATTAGACAACAGAAGCATATATTACAACATCAAGAGCAAAAAAGGTATGTAGGAAAACAAAACAACAAACCACATTATCGTAATTTTAATAAAAGAAAAAACAACAACACGCAATCATGGAGAAGTGGTGAACTTAATCATTTCAACAACAAATACGGAAACGGTTATGGAATGCCAAATAACTTCCAAGAAAATACCTACAAGAAAAATGGAATCACCTACATTGGAAAAAGAGTTAACAAGTATTTTTTAGGCGGCGGCAAACCGAACAGCGGACAGAGATTCCAGCATCATCAACAAATGAAAAACGCGTGGAACCAAAAGTAATCAATTTGTCTAGTAAACAACTAAATGAATGGGAAATAAAACTTTTGTCAAAGGGATTAAAATATACACCGACTCCTAATAGCAATAAGCAAGAGTTAAAAAAAGATATTAAAGAATACACACGTAGATTACGACTAGCAGAATACTTTAACACCACAGAGAGTGATGAATCGGATTCAAATGAACCGGAGGATTTAGTTAGAAATAAATCTAATTTCAATCCCAAAAAAGGACGAAATGGTATGTTAGATACTGTTTGTGAAACTCTTCAAAGTCTAACACTTGATACAACACATAATAAATCAGTAAGAAATAACTTGTCCAAAAACGAGGAGAAAGCTTTACGATCCTTAGCAAGCGATAAAACTATCATCATTAAAGAAGCTGATAAAGGAGGAGCTGTGGTTATTATGAACGCCGCTTACTATGAAAGAAAGATAACACATATGCTTTCCAATACAGAATTCTACACAGAAGTTGCTGAAAACCAGGATAAAAAAGCTATGCAAAAAATTAAGAAATTGTTACATAAACACTCCTCAGTATTATCAGAAAAGGAGGAAGATTTTGTAATTAATTTTGACTATAAGGAAAGTTGTTTCTATGGGCTACCTAAAATACACAAATCAAAATTAATCAAAGAAGCTATAAAAAAACAAAACGCCGAATATATTGTTTGTGAAAATCCACAAGATCTAACATTCCGACCGATTGTTGGAGGACCCGAAGCACCTACCCAACGTCTCAGCAATCTACTAGATATAGTGTTGAAACCTCTCTGCCAACACGTTAAAAGTTTTGTTCGGGACGATTTAGATTTTTTACGACATCTACCTAAACAGGTCGATTTTGATTCACAACTTGTAACCTTAGATGTAGTAAATCTGTACACCAATATAACCAGTACCTTAGGAATCAAGGCTTTAAATTTTTGGATTGAAAATTACAGAAATAAAATTGACAAACGGTTTACAAAAGAATTTTTACTGGAAGCCACCGAATTAGTTTTAAAGAACAATGTGTTTACTTTCAATGACAAATATTTTCATCAAGTGAAAGGTACAGCCATGGGTACCAAAATGGCCCCTACATATGCAACACTTACCCTTGGATACCTAGAAGAAGCACTATATGAAAAAGCTAATGAACAGTTTGATGCAGAATTTTGCGAATATCTTAAGAGAAACTGGAAAAGATATCTGGATGATTGTTTTATTATATGGAAAAAAGATGATGAAAACTTTCAGATTTGAACATTTTAAATGATATCTTAAATGAATTAGACCCAGATATTAAATTTACAATGGAAAAAAGTTCTACTCAATTACCATTTTTAGATGTATTAATCTGTAAGGAAAACAACAAAATTGCAACAGATATATTTTATAAGAGTACTGACACTCATCAATATTTGCATTTTGGATCTTCCCATCCGCGACACATTAAAAGAGCAATACCTTACAACCTAGCCCGACGAATATGCACAATAGTAAGTGAGGAGGAAACCAGAAAAGAATTAATTAATCCAACTCCTAATGATGAGGAAAATATTAAAATATTACCACTAGTCACAACTTACAATCCTAAAAACCCAAATATTACACCTATCGTTCAAAATCTGAACGAAATTCTCAAAACGGATGAAGAAATGTCAAATGTTCTTTCAAAATTCAAGTTTATAAACAGCAAAAGGCAGCCCAAAAACCTCAGAAGAATACTCTGTCCTTCCAAAATAACGAAATCTACAAAATCTACAAAATCCGTGACAAAATGTAAAGATCCACGATGTGGCACATGTTCTGTTTTAAGAGAAGGAACATCATTTAATTTCAGAGGAAAAGATTTCTTTATTAATTCAGACATGACATGTGAGTCCAAAAATTTAATATATGTTATTACTTGCGGAGGATGCAACCAATTCTACATCGGTGAAACGGGGACCACATTGAGAGCCAGAATTCGCGTGCATAAACAGCATATTCAAGTTCCTGAGTACCGTAAGATCAAACTCGGCGAACACATTGATAGATGCGGACAAGGACAGTTTAAAGTGTTCCCTTTTTATAAACTTTTTAAAGACAATATAACAGAAAGAAGAGAAAAAGAGAAATATTTCATTCAAAAATTTAATCCCAGTCTTAACAGTTTGATTTAATTTGATTACTGATAAAACTTTCACACAGAGTGTAACCTTTCGATTTTAATTCTCCGGCTAAGAGTATAAACACATGTCGGATTTGGTTTCAAAGGTGTGAACAAACTGCAAGCATTTAATTGCTTGTTGTCAGATTCAATTATAGATAATGATTTTTAAAGTATTAATAGTTTTGTAAGACATTGCAGTCAGGATAAAGAATGCATTTGTAAAACGTCTGAAGATGTAATGAAAGCGCTAACGTTTTAATCTGTGTTGCCTTTTTTATTTTAATTTTACCTATATAAAAACCGGACACTATATATTATATATATATATATATATATATATATATATATATACTAGTAAATTAGAATGTTAATATATTTAATAATTTTAAGAAATTTGCATAATTATGTGAAAAAAAAACCTTAAATGCCTTTTAATAAGTGATTAAGAATGGCAGCCTTCATGACTTTAAATGATTTTAAATGATATTAAAGCTTACAAAAAATACTCATTGCATATTTTCCTTTTGCAGGTATATTAAGGAATCACTCATTTTGTTTCCATTTATTTCATCAATAACATTTTAGTTTTAATGATTTTTTCATAATTTTGATCGAGAATGCTAATTCAATGAGAGAAAGGAAGTCTTTTCTTTAAAATTGTCCCATTTAAATACAAAGCAAAGAAATGAAGGCGAACTCTTAACATTGGCAGGACCAATGGAAAATGTCAAGATGCAGAGTTGAGACTCAACATCTAAGATTTCATTCAGAAACAATCTATACTTACTATATATTGAAGGTACAATGTACAGTAGATAATTGTTTAAGGCCCATAACAGATTTTGAAATAAAATTAGACTTCAGAAACCTTCACATACAGCATTGCTCAAGTATCCTTACACAGTACTTCTTGATTTAGGTGATTTGATATGTTGGTAAGAAATGCTATATAAAGGAAAAGTTAAATATGATGCTACATGTATATATAGATGTTTTTAATTATATAGGCCGAGACTTGATTTTGAGCTTTACTTGTCAAAGGCCAGAAAAGCTTTCATGTATGCTATATGGCAAAGTGTCTGACATCTCTAAATTGTCTTCAGCATTTTTTCAACATCACATCCCCCTAATTTTTTTTTCTAATTTCATTTTAAGGAACAGTATTGTGGAAGTATAAAAAAAAATATATGGATGGACTCCTCTAACAGATTTGGTCCAATTTCTAGACCTGCCCATCATTTGGGATTTGGATTTGATATTACCATGGCTTCAGATATAGCCATCATCTCATTAGAGACATCTGGTTTTCTTTTGTTCAAGTCAAATTATATGATGAGTTATCCAGTATTAGCTATATTTTGTACTACAGTATAAATTTGCAATAAATGCTACTATTGATGATAAACATAATGAATTTGTTTGAAGTTGGTGAATTTGAATGCTGTGTAAAGCTACATGAACTACTAAAATAGTCGTTCAGAGTATGCAGTAGGCTTTGAGGCGTGTACTTGTGTGTAAAAGTTTACTGTGATGATTTTTCTGGACAACCTGTTGTGCAGGAGAACTTAGGAAATTTAAGTCTTCTTGCTTGTTTGTTATTCTTTCCATTTGTTTATAAGAAAAAAATTAATATGACTCAAAATTTAATTCAAATTTAAAGAATCTTAGTTTAATTTCAGGTAAATTTGATTATAAAAGATACATAATTTTGTATGCCAGACGGTAGTGGTAAATAAATTAGATTAAATATGAATATTACTTTTACTGAAAAAATAATATTTTGTGAAAATCTTTCTAAATCTTTTCATATGTTAATCCATTATCAATATATAAAATATAATTTAAAAAAAAACAACTAAAAATACATAATATTCTATGTTCTGTTTTAAAATCCAATGGACAATGTTGTCATTGTTACCAAGTGTAGAGATTTCTATAAAAATCTCCTATTAGGTACATAGCTACACTTGGGGTTTTTTCAGTATTGTTGATACAGACTCTGGATCTATTAATGAGATATTCATGTATATACCGTATTTTAAACTTACACAAAGATTCATCTTAGGAAGAATGTTTCCAGTTAATTAAAAAAGTTCTGAATGATTTACTTGTGATACAATTCTAATATCAGAACAAAACTATTCTTTTTATCCTGTGAATCTGATTAATAATATGTGTTTATTTTTACAGAGGTTGACCAGCCTACCTCCAGTCCTTCAGGAGCAGAGAGAAAGGATCTGTACTCCTACAGGAATGTCAGGTCACCCAATCAGAGTGGTAAGTCCTGCTGTTAACATATCAAAATATCATTCATCTAGCTGTATAGTCTCTGATAAGGGTAGACCCCGTAAGTTAATTCAGTTATGGACACTATAAACAAAGAGTATATCTTACAGGATATTGGGTATTGGGGGGGGGGTAATTTTGTATTAATTAGATGTGTCACTGTAAATCTCTTGTTTTACAGATGGTATTTTTTCTCCTATGAGAGAACACACGGATTCCTATGGAGCAATGTCTCCCTTGGAGAATGGGAGCAGGCAGTCAGCCGGAACATTGGGAATCAGTAACCTCACCCCACTCAGATCTGACATTAGTAACACCAAAAGTGTATGAACACTTCAATATCTAATATTTTATGATTTTCATTTCTGGCTCCTGACAAGTGTCAATAATATGAAAACTCTTTGCAGTTGTTCTTTTCAAATGATATCATTAAATTGGTACTAATGATCATCCCCTTGTGTGATGAAAAATCCTGCAATTTAATAATCTTGATATCATGAATAAAAATGTGATGATCTTTACCAATATTTAAAATATTGCAAGAGCATTTACGGCATGCAGTATCGCTCAGCCAATATTTCAAGTATTGTATAAGATGTTAGTGAAGTAAAACTAGCTAAAACAAGCACCATAATAGAAAATGAGTTATTTTCACATCATACATGTCATCCAATTCTGTTGAAAATTGGCTGACACAATGTCTTTGCTCTAAACTAATGTTAATATCTTGCAGCATAATGGCAGCATAGGACTATCCCCATTAGCAGGCCCGTATGCTGGGTCACCTGAAAGCTACATAATGACCCACCCCACCCCCTCCACAAGTCAGCCAGAAGTTAACCAGATACCAGAGCCTTCAGAATCTCACACAACTCCAGTCTCAAACATTGATACAGGTACACACTGCAGAAGTCGTAACTTATACCAAAAGGTAAAAAAAAAATTAATGATAAGCAGCTTCAAGTTTTACCTTTGATTTTTTGTTATCAGAGACACAGAGATTCTCAGCATTTACCAGGAGGAGTGAGAACAGAAATCTGCCGAACTCTCTCGTTGGTGGAACAACCAGTGAATTTAGTGCCAGTCCTGTGACTGGAATATACAGTGACTCCTTCAGCAGAACTAGAAATAACAGTAACGCTTTAGAGAGGCACAAGTTTGATGAGTCTCCGAGTGCCAGTTCTGGGGGCGTTGGTCTTCCTCCCTTTAAACTGACTACCTCCCCCGAGGGAGCACAGAGTGTATCCTCAGTAGATGTGGTCCCCCCACATACCTCCAGCTCTCAAATGAGCCAGAACTTCCCAACGCAAGTCATACGCAATCTTATAAGTGAGGAGCTGGAAGATTTCAAAGATCAGATTCACAGGGACATTCTGCAAGTACAAGTGGAAATGATCAGACAATTCGAGATACAAATGGTATGGGGTGTTTTTGCTTGCATTGTGGTGGTGTTGGTGGGGGGGGGGGATTTGTATTTAAAACTCTACTAAAAATCCACTTAACTTATAACCATTCTGCCATGAAACAGGACGGGATATTTCGGAATTATACTCAACATACATGCATATGTACACAGTGTTCAATAAATGTGTTTGATGATTGATTAGGGTTCAATGTTTAAAAATTTTATATACCATATATTACATGGCTTAATTCTCGGGCAGCAACACCAGAGTATTTGCCCCTCAGTGAGAGGAAAGCCCTGGAGTGTTATGTTGCCCTCTGCCCTCGGCATCGGGTGGCATAACACTTCAGGGCTTTCCTGGCACCGAGGGGCAAATATTCTGGTATGCTGCCCTCGAAGCCATGTAATATATGTATAATGTCCTTGGAATTCTTGGAATTGTGTACACAAGTAGTCTTCATCAAGATGGATAATTTTGTTATTGGCTATCAGTTTGTTACAGGATCACTAAGAATCAACTCCAAAAAGCTTAATACACAAGATGATTTTACACCATTCTATGTAAAGATAAATTTTTGTACCTCTGAAAACAAAGTTTAGATTTTACAGTGTATTTAGGAATCATTAGCTCATCCATCTGTCAGTCCTCTAAATCTTTGAAATAAGTCATTTTATGGACTGAGACTTCAAAATGAATTCATCCTGATTTTCTTTATTGATTAAAAGTAAAAAAAAAATTTCATTACTTTTCAAAGAAAACTGATAATTGGTTAAAGAAAAAAAGATACTAAAATCTAAGTGCATTTTTTCCCCTCAGGCTGTTTTTGGAAACCCCAAGTGAAATCAGAGTGAAATTAGAAAAAAAAGGAATTTGCATATTTTTTTGAAGTAGTATTTTAAGCTTCCAGAGTGAATTTTACAATGTCTAAGGAACTACTGTTATGTACTGGCTTGATATAATATTCTGTTTGTTTGCAGATGGAGATGACAAATGTTTTCAAGCAGCATTCGGTAAACCAGGAGCTTCTTCAAGAAGTAGAACGACTAAGGGAGGAAAATAAACGCTTAAAGAAAAACTTCTGATCGACCTTCCATGCATAAAATGACCAGTTCTGAACAAACTTCCATGCATAAAATGACTAATATTATTTGGTGCTCATTTCAATCACAGTTGACAAACTTGTAAATAATAACTGTATGAAATGGAGTCTATATTTTGAAAATCTACAGTAAACTTACACAGTAGGGAACTAAATATTAATTAAATATTAAAATACAAATGAATTTGGTTGATACATGTATATTTTTACATTGTATTTTTAAAATGCTTAATGTTAAACTACAGGCCTTTATCTACATTATCTGTAGATCTCATGTATTAGGGTTGTTTAATAAAGTCAGTTTTATTCCTTTGAGGGCTTGGTCTTTTAGAATGATCATACAGACAGGGGGTGTTTACATATCAGCAATGCCAAAACAAACCATTAATATGTAGAGTTGTTTTACACCATTGCTTGTGATAAACCAAGTAAAACAGCAAAAATAGAAGACATTGTTAGAGGACCTGGGAAGATTAATAAAGGGGGGGGGACAAAACTACATAATGGAGGAGACATTGGTAGATAAATATACTGATTTATTATACCTCTACTGATTTTTCCCTGTATAAAATTAAGTGATTAGATCTGAATAATTCCCTAGAAATTGTGAATTGGCTATTCCTCGTGCGTTGGTTTTTTGGAGCTAATCCCTCCATTGAAATCTATTCATGCTGATTCGCAGTTATAGCTTTTCATTGTGATGTCATACATGTAATAGAGCGACGCCAAAACACAATGCTTCATGATGTATTTCATATAACAAAATGCAACAAAATAAGACGTAAACAACAAAGAAAATGCAATGATTGCATTAGAATTAGGGAATAACTGTCTTCTAATTTGGTATTTGTGACCATTAATGCTGATTTCACGGTCACAAACTGAGTTTAATCGGCTCTGCTTACACGATTTTATTTAGTTATGAGAATAATGATTAGTTAATCAGTAAATGAATATTTTTTTAAAAAGGTGATCTTTACAATTTAAATTTGTATCGGTATAACAAAACAGTTATAGTATATCATTGAGGGAGTAAGCAAGATTCCACTTCCCCTCGACCAGGACTATTTCCCTCGGAGCACTGTGCCTTGGGAAAATTAGTCCTGGTCTTGGGGAACTGGAATCTTGCTAACTCCCTCAATGATATACTTTAACTGTATAGATCTACTAATAAAAGGGACATTGGTAGAGGTCCCTATAATGTAGGAATTTAAGGTATTCTATCCCTAGCAATCCATAGCAACAGATTCAATGAAATTGAATACATAATGTTCAGATGTGTAGGTGTTCAATACTCGATATATAAAGACAGGTATGTAAGGGTGGGAAGTGACCTGGAAGGGTCCTATTTTATGACCTTGAATATTGGTCAGAGTTATCTCCCTTTGGTGTTAATTTTTAAATCAAATTATAAAAAAAATATCAGGTAAAAATTTGTTTTCAATTTTCATTCTATTTCTAATGTTTCAATGCATATTTCCTCCACAGGATTTAAGGATATACTTATCAGATTTTTTATTTAAAAAAAATGCTTTCCCCCATAGACTTCAGGGGCGGATCCAGGAATTGAAGTTAGGGGGGAGGGGGCGCAAGATTTAGGCAGGGGGTCTGGGGGTCACCTTGAGGCCCCCAGTGGGTCCAGGGCAAAGCCCTGGTGGGGGCCTAGGGGGCAAAGCCCCCGGAAGCTCTTGGATTCTAGAGGTTTTGTAGAATAAAAATTAGGTCTACCGAGTAGACATTTTAAACATTTTCTCGTCAAAACTGTTTTATGCTAACTTTGACAATTTTAGGGGGGCACGCGCTGGGTGCACCCCCCTTAAATCCGCCACTGGCTTTCAATGGAATCCTTGTACTGCTTATATAGTTAATTAAATTTTTAAAACTTTCTCTAAGTAAATCCTTTTCCACTATGAAAAGCTTTAATTTTATAATTTAATAGCAGAGTATCATGTACTTGATGGACAGGGAGGATGGGCCCATGGCCCCCCCCCCTTGTTTGACCCCCCACTTTTTTTCCCAACATTACTTTTACTATTGGAAATGTTCATTGAAAGGCTGGTTGGCCCCCTTACTTTACACTACAGAAACTTGACATCACACGTATTGTCAGGTTTTTAGCTCACCTGAGCCAAAGGCTCAAGTGAGCTTTTCTGATCACATTTTGTCCGGCGTCCGCTGTAAAGAAAAACCGTCCGTCTGTCCGTCTGTCTGTAAACTTTTCACATTTTCAACTTCTTCTAAAAGAACCGCTGGGCCAATTTCAACCAAACTTGCCACAAAGTATCCTTGGGTGAAGGGGATTCTAAGTTTGAAAATTCAAATGAAGGGCCACGCCCTCATTTAAGGGGAGATAATTGGGAATTAATGAAAATTTGGTAGCATGTTTTAAAAATCTTCTTTTAAGAACCACTGTGCCAAGAAAGATGAAACTTATGGGGAAACATCCTCAGGTAGTGTAGATTCAAGTTTGTTCAAATCATGACCCCCAGGGGTAGGGCGGGGCCAAAATGGCCGACCAAAGTTTTACATAGAAATATATAGGAAATTTCTTTAAAAATTTTCTCCTCAAGAACAACAAAGCCATAATTCATCATATTTATATGGAAGCATCCTCAGGTAGTGTAGATTCAAGTTTGTTCAAATCATGACCCCCAGGGGTAGGGCGGGTCCAAAATGGCCGACCAAAGTTTTACATAGAAATATATAGGAAAATTCTTTAAAAATCTTCTCCTCAAGAATAGCAAAGCCATAATTGATCATATTTATATGGAAGCATGCTCAGGTAGTGTAGATTCAAGTTTGTTCAAATGATGTCATACATGGGGTAGGGCGGGGCCAAAAACACAAAGTTTTACATAGAAATATATAGGAAAATTCTTTAAAAATCTTCTCCTCAAGAATAGCAAAGCCATAATTGATCATATTTATATGGAAGCATCCTCAGGTAGTGTAGATTCAAATTTGTTCAAATCATGACCCCCGGGGGTAGGGCAGGGCCAAAATGGCCGACCAAATTTTTACATAGAAATATATAGGAAAATTCTTTAAAAATCTACAACTCAACAATAGAAAAGCCATAATTGATCATATTTATATGGAAGCATCCTCAGGTAGTGTAGATTCAAATTAGTTCAAATCATGACCCCCAGGGGTAGGGCGGGGCCAAAATGGCCGACCAAAGTTTTACATAGAAATTTATAGGAAAATTCTTTAAAAATCTTCTTCTCAATAATAGCAAAGCCATAATTGATCATATTTATATGGAAGCATCCTCAGGTAGTGTAGATTCAAGTTTGTTCAAATCATGACCCCCAGGGGTAGGGCGGGGCCGCGGGGCCAAAATGGCCGACCAAAGTTTTACATAGAAATGTATAGGAAAATTCTTTAAAAATCTTCTTCTCAAGAATAGCAAAGCCATGATTGGTCATGGGACTACTTTTGGATTTAAGCTTTTCGAGTATAAACCAATTCTGCTTTTTCCTAGCCACAGTGCTCAGGTGAGCGATGTGGCCCATGGGCCTCTTGTTAAGTTAGGGACCATTAGGCATTAATGTGTTTTCCCAGTAAAATATCTAGATTAGAAAAAAGATGTATATATATATACTCAATTCTCATTATATCGCGGGTTCCATTGTATCGCGGTATATTCCAAAAAATAAGATACATAGCCCATGTGATTTTTGTGGATAAAGCTATCTGTCTGTCACCTGAATGTAAATTTTTGTGATGATTAAAATGAATGGAACATGCGTCGGAAAAGTTTGTATTTATATAAAACGTAATTTTTACCGATTTTCATTCGTTTTTATTTTATTTAGACCACAGAATTTATAATCTAGTAAAAATCCATGATAAAGTTCATATTTTGAAAGTCTTTAGTTTGTATAATTGTTATATTTTTATGCAGAATTACATCGTAAATTTAAAAATAAGAATTGAAGTCCATGTCAACCACAAGTTTCCATGTTTTCCCATACCGCGATACTATGAGACTCTCCAATTTAGGAGGCAAATAAGACTTCATGTTTTAAAAATAGACTACAAATTAAACGATGCATGCTTGGGAAATAATTTGACACTGAAAAGTTAGGCCAAAGTCTGGTTTATGAATATCATTTGATGAGAGTTCAGGTAAAAAATTGGAATTACACTTTTTAAGCAAAAGCTTTTAAGTACCGCGATATAATGAAACACCAGTATATCTAGAGGTATCATCACTTGCTATGAGTACATTGTCCCGTATTGCTTTTCATACTTTTTGATCTTGGCCACGTCAAAGCTTTTGATTGGATAAATGCTTGGGATATACCTTTCTATATTAAGAGTTATAAATATTCATACACTTTCTTAACGACAAATTTATTTATTTTAAGAGTAATTCAATGACTATAATGAAATGATTACTGTAATTAAAAAAGTTCTGAGGAATTTTTCAATGATTATAATTCATTATTTGCATCTTTTGATGATTTTTTTTAAATGAACTACATTTTTGTCGTTTATTTTTCCGGTGCTGTTCGGCACTTCCTGTGTAGCAGAAAACGTTATGGAAAAGTATGAAACTTACGTTGTTTATAATAGTTTTAGTAGTTTTACATAATTCACAAGCGAGATTATATCATTTCAAAGGTAATATAGATCCATATGATAAGAAATATGGCCATTTTTCCGAAAAGGACCGTTTGGAAAGCCTGGAATCGGTTCGAAAAGTATTTACCTTTGGATACGACAATTATATGAAATATGCATACCCTCTAGACGAACTAAACCCCATTTACTGTGAAGGAAGAGGCCCCGACTACGATAATCCGTGAGTATTTAGATTGTAGTCCTTTTTTTAATTTCTATAGTAAACACTTAAAGCAGCCATGTTATTTTTTTATTACTTCACCACTGTTCACTATGTTATAGAAGGGGTAACTATATTATAAGAAGATAAATATTCTGTGACGAGCCCCTATGCCAGGACAGGAAATATTACATGTATCTTATTTTTAAAAATTACACAGTAAAAACTTTTTTATTGCAATAAACTGATCGTACAATTCATCGAGACTTTTCTTTGAGAGACTCAGAGATTCCCCTGACTCCACCATTCATATAAGGTAACAACCACAGGCGCTTGTTTCATATACAGGGCAATTCCTTACTTTTACCACAAGATTACTAATTCAATATCAGAAACACACTTCAAACTCATGTTTTGTTAATTTATCTATCATTATTTACCTACTTTAAATTGATATACTTTCATTAGTTTGCTACTAACGACTTTTAAAAACATTAAATACACCTTTTTAGTCCCCTCACTGCTTAATGGCCCTGATTGAATGCTGATTAAAGATAAAAAATTGAATCCCTTCACTGGTATATGTATGGTGACATCTTGACATGAGAGGAAAAATCTTGAATGGGACTTAAAACAACATACAATCAAACAGTCAATGGCCATAAAACATAAAATGACATAAGCATTATAAATGCAAAATTTTTGGAAGTAGAATACATACCTGTTAGCCAAGCTCTCAGAGGCTAGTTCTGCTTCAGGTTAAGAATGAAATGCTGTTTTAATTCATTTATATTTTTTGCATATCATTATTGTTTATAATCATGAAAAAGAATGAACTTCAAATAAGATGTATAATTAATTGTATATTTTGCATACTTTGATCATTATATTGTTTTTCATACAGATCTAACATTAATATTAACGATGTACTTGGGGATTACATGCTGACTTTGGTGGACACATTAGACACCCTTGCTGTAAGTGAATTTCAGAAAGATCAAATTGTTAATATTCAGTTCATACCAGTAACAAGGATTTTCCACTCACTTTTGGGAATGGGGCCCAGGCCCTTGGAATTGGGAATTTTACGACATTTTATCACTTATTGGGAAATTTTATTGTAATGTATGATGTTTTTCAAGAAATAAATACTTAAGATGAATAAAAATGATGTTTTACTTAGTTATTCAGAACTATGAATCAGAGAATTGATCATTATAATAAAGTTTAACCCAAGATTCTTCAAAATTTTGTTCATTTCATTCAAATTTCCAAACCTAAACATGTTTGTATTTTGTGAATTATGTCCAGGTTACCTTCTTGAGTTCTTCTTTCAAAAATTGAACATAGGCAATTCATTTTTGGGAAAAAGGGAGGGGTTTTGCAATTTGGAATGCGGCCCATATTCGGCCCTACACGGGGTAGTGGAAAATCCCTGAGTAGTATTCTTGATAAAGAACAGCCACTATGGTTTACCACTAAGGCTAAAATGAGAAAATGCTGCTTTTCTCTTGACTCTCCAAATTTTTCAATATCCTCCAATCCAATTTTTTATCTGGTGTCAAATTTTTCACTTGTTTTGAAATTTATATCTTAAAACAGATTTCAGTCAGACTTGGGGTCCTTTGGTATTTAAAAAAAAACATATTTATTTAAATAAAGGCCAGAATTGAGATCAAAGGGAGAGGATTAAGAGTAAGGAGGGGTTGTAATTAATAATTCTCAAGAATTGTGTAACAACAAAAAAATTAAGATGCAAGTTTTTAAATAAATTCAAGTTTGTTTAAATTCATGGCCTGGTTGGACTTTTTGAAAAGGGGTGGGTGTGTTAATCTGTACCCATAATTTAAAGCAATATGAGCTGCATTTTTGAAAAATTTATTTTGCTGTTAAAATGTGTTACTATGATAAATTTGTATGTACTTGCATGGGTAACTTAAATCTTTATGATCAATTAGACTAAAATAAAGCAGAAGAAAGACTTCTATATACAATCCAATATACAGTTTTATATAAGAATTCGTTGTTGTACAGGACGACAATAATGTAAAATAAATTTTGATTCAATCGAAGCTTATAAAATTAAGTTCTTCCATCGCAAATATGAACAACAGAAATTTATTGACGTTATTTTTTTTCTGTCATTAAAATATTTTTTTTAATACAATTTTGCAACAAAAAATTTTGACATCAAAGTTGCAGCTCATATTGCTTTAACAGGTCCAGTCCAAAGATTATTTCTACCTACGTAGCTAGCTACATAGGTATTTAAACCTACCCAAAGTAGCTATTTTTACCTACTTTTGTATTATCTGCATTTTGTGACCAAAAGACCAAACGCCGCAACAAGGTGAGTACCATATATTTTGATACAGTCACTTTGATGATGAACATGATGAATGCAACAATATTTTGGTCAAAAATGATTACTTCTTGAATCGGCAATTTTACATTAGTTTCTGTGCAAAATTGATAATATACGAAGTAATCATTTTTTGGCCAAATTTTTGTCATATCCATCATCAGTGTGACTGTATCAAGAAATTTTGTGCTCACCATTTTGCGCCGTTCCTGTGTTTGGCCATAAAATGCAAGTAAAGCAGAAAGTAGGTAAAAATAGCTACTTTGGGTAGGTTTAAATAACTACGTAGCTATTAATAGCTATGTAGGTAGAAATAGTCTTTGGACTGGACCTGTTTAATACTTTATAATGCTACTGTTGTGTTTGTATCCCATTGTATTGAGAATGTGTCATGTAAAGGATAATATTGTGGGTACTGTTATTAGAGTCATAGAAATATCTTGAAAGTTCATGTACATATTATATTGATATGTACAATGTTCTGGTAATATGGATGTCCATGAATAATTTATGCTGGGGTATTTGATTAATTGCTCATACTATTGACTATTGGATGAAAAACTTTTTTAAAAATAATATTGCTTATACAAGCAAAAATGATTGCCTCGAATGTTCATTAGTTTTGCAAGGAGTAAAGAGTGTACAATTATTATCAAATTTTATGTATTTCTTTTTTAAAAACTCTTTTACAGATTATGGGAAATGAAACTGAGTTTAAGAAGGCTGTTCAGTTGGTAATTGACAACTTGTCCTTTGACAAACCCACAACTGTCCAGGTGTTCGAGGTGACAATCAGGTAACAGCAGGTCTCTTCTGTTGACGAATTTACAAATTTGAACAAATTTGAAGCCCTCCAATTCTCCTCTTCATTATTTTATTTATATTTGTGTCATAAATACTGAATACCATATAAGCAGAATTTTTAGTGATGGTTTAATTTTGACATTGTTAGTGAGGATACTGAGATTGCTATAATTAAATATCGCTAATAATTAATTGCATTCTATGTTTAACAATTTCTGTAGTGAGCATTTTAAAATCGCTAAAATTACATTTGGCTAAAAATAAAATGCAAATTTTTAATGACAAATTGCTAAATTTGCATCTCGCTAAAATTTCCACTTTTACAATATTCCATTTTTAGCTCACCTCAACGAAGTTGGGGGAGCTTATGTAATACCCTCGGCGTCGGTGTCGGCGTCGGCGTCCCAGGTTAAGTTTTTTGGAGCAGTTTTCTTTTAAGTACTTCTATGTCCTATATTGATTAGACAGGCATGAAAGATGCTTCTAATGTGTTTCACTGTAGAAGTCAAAGTTTCAGATGCTGCAATTTCAGCAAAGGAATGACCAGGTTAATGTTTTTGGAGCAGGTTAACATTTTTGGTGCAGTTTTTGGTGTAGGTCTCAAGTCCAAGGAACTATAGGCCCTATGTTGACCAAACTTGCATGGTACATCTAAGGATGCACATAACCAGGCTTGCTTCGGATGCTGAATCTGACCTACATTTTCCGGTTGAGTGAACATGTTAATGTTTTTGGTGCAGGTCTCATTTCCAAGTAACTGTAAGCCCTATGTTGACCAAACTTGCATGGATGGTACATCTAAGGATGCACATTAGCAGACTTGCTTCGGATGCTGAATCTGACCTACATTTTCCGGTTGAGTGAACAGGTTAATGTTTTTGGTGCAGGTCTCATTTCCAAGTAACTATAAGCCCTATGTTGACCAAACTTGCATGGATGATACATCTATGGATGTACACTACCAGAATTGCTTCAGATGCTGAATCTGACCTACATTTTCTGGTTGAGTGAACAGGTTAATGTTTTTGGTGCAGGTCTCATTTCCAAGTAACTATAAGCCCTATGTTGACCAAACTTGCATGGATGGTACATCTTAAGATGCATAATGCAAGACTTGCTTCGGATGCTGAATCTGACCTACATTTTCTGGATTAGTGAACAGGTTTAAGTTTTTGGGGCAGGATTCATTTCCAAGTTACAATGAGCCTATAATGGCTAGACTTGCGTGGATGATACATCTTAGGATGCATACTACCAGACTTGCTTCAGATGCTGAATCTGACCTACATTTTCAGGCTGAGTGAACAGGTTAAAGTTTTTGATCCAGGATTCATTTCCAAGTAACTATGAGCTCCTTAATGACCAAACTTGCATGGATGATACATCTAAGGTTGCATTCTACCAGGCTGGCTTCAGATACTGAATCTGAACTACATTTTTTTCTGGATGAATGAGGAGATTAAATTTTTAAGCAGGTTTCATTTCTAACTAGTGCTAATTGTAACGGGAACCGTTACAGATGTTCCCCAAACGCTCCCCAACTCCCTTTTGGTGCCATATTCCCTGTAAGCCTTATTAAATAAGACATTCACAATATCTGTGCATTTTTGACTTTAACAACGTTTTCCCCTAAAGGATACCATTTATATTCAAATTTCAACATTGCACGCTTACCCATGTGAACGCACGTGCATAATGATCATATAATCTTGTCTACACTGTCTATATATTAAAATATACTTTATATGAAAGCATTTTAGTCCAAAAGTATTAAAATCACTCATTCAAGTGTATTTTTAATTTCACTCGTTCCAAATGCACGCACGTGCGTGCACGTGCATGATGACCATACCTTTTTGTAGGAGCCCCTTATATCTATCTATGTTCTAAATCCCATCCTGTTTGGTTGAAAATCAAGGGAATTATAGCCATTTCAAGTTTCAGCCAATCAGATTGCAGCACACGTGCATCCACGTAATTTCATAATTTTTTTTTCTAAATCATATTGTAGAATATCCTAACGCTTAACTATGTTTTAAATTTCAAAGCATATCGTCAAAAATCAAAGGAGATATGGCCATTTAAAGGTTCAGCCAATCAGATTGCAGCACACGTCATGCGCGTGATTTGTTGAATTTTTTTGTATATCATATTGCAGGATATCCTAATGCATGACTATGTTTTAAATTTCAAAGCATTTCGTCAAAAAATCAAGGAGATATAGCCATTTAAAGTTTCAGCCAATCAGATTGCAGCGCACGTGCATGCGCGTGATTTCATGAATTTTTTTCCATATTATATTGTAGAATATCCTAATTCATGACAATGTTAAAAATTTCAAAGCATTTCGTCGAAAAACAAAAGAGATATTGAGATTTTTGTTTCAGCCAATCAGAGCGAAGCGCATGTGCATGCGCGTGAGTTCATGCTAATTTGACAGTGTCATATTATCTACAGTTTAAATATATCTTTATATAATGAGTTTCAAAGCATTTCATCAAAAAATGTAAAAACTATAGCTATATTAAGTATATCAGTCAATTCACTCATTTCACGCGCACGCACGTGCAGGCGTATGCGCGCAAAATGACCTTCGTTCCGCACACCTACACTACACACCTATTAACCCTAAAAAGGTTTTAGCTCAGTTGGGTGAACAGTTTCTGAGAACACTCGCGGACAAAAAAGTACCGGAGAACAAATAAGAAAAAAAATAATAATAATAAGAAACAGAGTAAAAACAATATGTTCCCAAACTCCGTTTGGGGAACATAATTAACTATTAGCCCTATATTGTGCAAACTCGCATGGATGATACATCTTAGGATGCATACTAATGGACTTGCTCCGGATGCTGAATTCGACATACATTTTCCAGATAATGGACCAAGTAAAAAGTTATGGGTGCAGGTCTATCACCAAGAAACTATAAGGCTTAAATAAACCAAACTTGCCCAAATGATGCATCAAGGGATGAAAACTCTTAAACTTGCTTCAGATGCTGGATTTGATCACATTTTTGTGATGAAGAACTAGATTGAAGTTTTTATATAGGTCTATTTCAAAGTATCAGATTAAAATTTCATAAATGTTGCATTTTTGGATGTACACTTTTTGTTGGGTAATTGTGTGACTTTGCCTTACTTAAAGGCAACATTCGTTGAGGTGAGCTCTGTAATCTCTGATTACCTATGTTCAATTTTATTGTGTCAAGAACATAATTATGTTTTAATGGGTATGATTAGATGCCAGTATACAAAGTAAATTTTTTAGTATGTTTTGTAACTAACCCGGTAATGTCTGAAACACCTTATTTCAGTGATGTCATCATTACATCATTTTAATTTTTGCACTGAATAAATTGACACATAAAATGGACTATAATTTTTATACCCCAGCTCCGAAGGAGAGGGGGGTATACTGTTTTACCCTTGTGTGTCTGTCTGTGTGTGTGTATGTGTATCTGTCCGTAACAAATTTTCACAGTTTTCTCAGCAACTACTCATCCCAGATGCTTGAAATTTTAAGACAGTCTTCTCCGAGGCATGCCATATGGTGAGATTCATTTTTGTTCACTTCTGATGTCAACTTCCTGTTTATCTGTGCATCTGTCTGTACCATACGTAACAAAAACTTTATCGCAGATCATTGCAGATACTTGAAATTCTAGCACATCCTTAGTTGAGGCATGTCATATGGTTGGATTTATTTTAATTTGAGGTCAACTTGCTATATATCTGTGCATCTGTCAGTAACTGAAGATAACATGATAGTGTATGTTCACATCAGAGCGGGGTTATTACTAGAGAGCATTGGCTCACAGACTTTTTGTTTAAGGAGTTATAAGAAAGCTGTGGAATATGATTGGTTCTTTGCTTTCTTTGTAGAATCTTAGGATCTCTTCTATCCACTCACCTCATTATAACAGACAAGGAGCAGCCATTTGGAGACATGAGACTAAAGAATTATAACAATGAGCTGCTGTCGCTAGCCAATGACATAGCCTCTAGGTTACTACCGGCCTTTGAGAATACAGCTACAGGGATACCATTTCCTAGAGTAAGACAAAATGTCAAAGAGAATTCAGAATTACTGTTTGTACTCGCATATAGGTCTGTTCATGCCTTTCAGATATTAATTTCATTTAATAATATGGGAATGCATTTCTGCAAAGAGGGAGAATATTTCACTGGGTTAATATTAAAGCTGAACATGATTCGTAAAAAGAATGTGTCCGCCATTTTAGTTCCCGAGTCTCGCTACTCTACAGACCCCTATAAATAGGGCAGGAGTTGGTCACTGTTCAGTGTAATCAGTCAACACCGGTGTAGACGGATGTATGCTATACAGGACTCGGTAGCAAGAATAATAACGTAATACTTCGTCTAATGCAGGAAAGTAAGATACCAAATAAAATTACAATTATAGTCGTATAAGTCAGTGCAGTATACAACAACACAGATAAACGTAACTGCAATAAAATGTAAACAAAGGTAATGCATGTATCGTAGATAATGCTATCGAAAATGGCATATGCCTATTTACGAGAACAAGTGTGTGAAAGTCAGTCTACTTACATATCGGCGGTTACAGCGCTGGCACAATACGGCAGAAACCTGGATTGAGTTTTTCACCTCTCACGATAATCTCGTTCACTTACTTGTGTTTCTTAGTATTTTTGGGGATATCTCACTAACAATAAGTATCTTATCCTTTATGAAAACAGTATACACATATACACACTAAACAATGTTACCTTTAAACAACAAAAAAGCATTAATATCTTCCATTTATATATGACATTTATGATAAAATGAATCTCAGTATTTCATATATATGTGCCCTTTATATTATAGGTAAAATTAGATGAAGGAGTTCCAGAGAATTGTGTGAATGAGACATGTACATCAGGGGCGGGGTCATTGGTGTTAGAATTCGGTATTCTGTCACGCCTAACTGGCGATCCTATTTATGAATCCTATGCGAGGCGAGCCGTCAAACGGTTGTGGGAGTATCGCTCTAACATTACTGGCTTACCAGGTGAGGTTAACTCACAGACACACAGATAAATAGAAATACTCATATAATTTTAATTCCCATTTTTTATATACATTTTATCTAAAATCTTACATTTAGTCATTCAGTATGACTAATATGTACATAATTTAGTGTCATTGATGCATTATTTTGAAAAATGGCACTCATGTACTCTATCTTTCATTACTGACATTCTGAATCTAGACATTTACATCAGTTTACATGATGGTTTCCTTTGTAGGAAATGTGATAAACATACAGACAGGGCAGTGGCTGGGACAGATGAGTGGACTGGGGGCAGGATTTGATTCTTTTTATGAATATTTACTGAAGGTTGGGTTTATACACTTTTTTTACAAACCACAGAAAAAGTTCTTCATTTTATTTTAATTTTTTTTGAAAAGTTAAATATTTTTATATACTGTGATAAGTAATGTGAAACTTGAATTCAAGTTCACCTGTAAGTATGTCAATTGTTTCTATACAGACCTACATATTGTTTGGTGAAACTGAAGACTACAAAATGTTCAAAGAATTATATGAGTCCATAAAATTTCATATGAGAAGAGGGTATGTTCTAAGAAATGAAGAAATTCTGTTTAACATTAAAAAAACCAGATAATTTCTGCCAGAGCTTAAAGCAGGTTGACATTTTCTAATTTAATTCTTCCAGGAGATTAAAATGTAATAAAGGTGATGGGAACCCTCCAATATATGTCAACGTAAACATGAAGACTGGTGACACCATTAACCACTGGATTGATTCGCTGCAGGCGGCGTGGACTGGAGTACAGGTCTGTTTATAAAGGTTTTGTCAACTCAAGATCCCAAATATCAGCCCAAGGACTATAAAAGATAAAGTGAAAGTGGCGAATATGAGATGATATCATATGGCAAAAGACATGATGATAATTTTGATTTAAATATATACAAGCATTCTAAGAGACTGCATAAGCAATATTAGTCCCCTACGACAAAGTCAGCCTTGTTCTCCTCGAAAACTAAAGAGGCTTTGGTTCTGTCAGAAATCCAAGTGGAACAAAATGCATATCTGTATAAATAGTCAAGGCAGACTTGCACACCATTGACACCAAAACGTGGCTCAATATTTACAAGCATTTAGAGAAAAAAAAAGGCAAAAATAAAGTTTAAATACAGAGAGAAAGGTAGACAGACAGAAAAGCAAGGAGGAAACTTAAAGTGTTCTCTGCTTAGGGGACTAATAATGCTTAAAATTCACAAAGATTGAGCAGCTTTGCTATCAGACTTAAGAAGTTTACATTTAAAACTGTGTATTTTTGCTAACAGGTATTAAATGGAGACATTGATGAAGCAATATGTTCTCATGCCTTGTATTACTCTTTATGGAAGAAGTATGATGTTCTACCAGAGCGATATAACTGGTATCTTCGTGTGCCAGAAGTAAACTTTTATCCTCTTCGACCCGAGTTGATCGAGTCCACATACTTTTTATACCAAGCAACAAAGAACCCTTTCTACCTCCATGTAGGACGAGACATTCTGTATAACCTGATTAACTACACCCAGGCTGAGTGAGTCTGACAGTAAATAAATCATCTCTATGTATGGACATCTATAAGACAAACTGTTTGCTTTCTTATAATAGATACTTTGTCCTCTAACAAAATTATAAAAACATGGGCTAAGTTTGTGAAAAGAAGCTGGGGTTCAGTTTATTAGCGAGCTTATTATGAATCTTTCTTTTGAGAAGGACTGAATTATATTTCTGTACTTGTGTAGATGCGGCTATGGAACTGTACATGATGTAAATGATAAATCTCTGGAGGACAGAATGGAGAGCTTTTTCCTCAGTGAAACCTGCAAATACTTGTATTTGGTAAGTAAAAGTGTGTGTGATAGTGGGATAATTTTACTATTACTAATTTTACTATTACTCAGTAATTGTTAGCGTCTGTGATAGTTCTTGGTGAAAATGAGACATTATGTAGTAAGTTTAAATTGTTAAAGGAAATATCTTTTATGTTTAGTGAGTTTTAAAAGTGTTTGTAAATATATTTAGTTGGTGAGAGTTAGAGTGTGCAAGAACAGCTATTTAGTAAGTGCTTACCTTCAAACAGCAAATATAAGTGTTTGTGATTCTGTACTTGTGACTCTTTAACGTTATTGATTATTTCAGTTATTTGACAAAGACAACCATCTCAACAAGGCCCAGTCTAAATATGTGTTTAATACAGAAGGTCACATGTTCCCGATTAGTAGTCGATTTCGGAGAAAGCCGTGGGAAACTGACGAGAAGAAGACGTCAGACACTAAAACAGTCCTCAGTGTGGTTAAAGTCATCAAGAATTCGACATTCTCCAATGTATGTTCTTTGTTATTTGTATATTTCCTTTATAAAATCTCAAATGTACTTTATGGAACCATTAAATTTGGGTTAAGCACATTATTACTTACCAATACACCCTGACAATCAGGGCATCTTTAATATATTGACTTGTATTTTGGCTATGAATCTAGATAGTTTTTATTGTTTACAGTGTGAGACGGTGTCGGATGAGCAGCGATTTTTTATGCCAATGAAAAGCCCTTACTACCAACAGATGAGGAGCGCTGTAGGTAATGGGGACTGATGAGCAGGCAGTTACCAACCTTTCTTCTATACTTCAATCAAATTGTGACCAGGAGCGGGCTGGGTGTTTCATGGCTTCCAAAATGTTCCTGGAAATTTACTCCTCTGCCAAACAAGATGATCACTCTGAGATAAAAGAGAAATCCACCAAAGTGCTATATGGTTTATTTTTAACCCCCCCCCCCCCCCACTTTATTTTTTTTCCAGTGTGAATCAGTTTGATACTTGCATAATGTATTTTGGCGTATAAAAATTATGGAAACTTTTACCTGGGAGATTCTAAACTTATTCAAGCAAGGATGTGAAAACACTACAGTGACCATTGTGGTCTCATTAGAATAAACGTAGAACAGTGATAAAAGGTATTTGAAGTTAATGCTTTGAAGTAGGTGTAAGTCATAAGGACTTTAATATTATTTATTCTCTAAAATTTATTTTAAGAACAAAATTAAGAAGGGAAATTGTATATAAAAGGGCATTTTTAGAGTCATTAATTTACTGTGATAATGTTTGAAAATTACAGGTAAGGCACTTTGTACATGTAAATCAAAAACAATGTACATTATATTTACATCTATTAAAAATACAATTCCTTAGATTTGTTCTCTCTGAAAATAATGTGACATTAACTATGCTTTGAAAGTTTAAGGATAAATAATACAGAGTGTTTTTCTTCCAAAATTCAGATATCTTTTCTAAATGAGATGCTTTTCCTACATAGGAAGCCATATTTGTTTACTTTTGCAACTTAATATTTAGCCAATCCACATAATTTGATGAAAAGTGTAAAAAAGCAACTTTACTTTATATGAGTTTTTTGACAAGTTTATAAATGTATAAAGTATCTAGGGACATTTTAAAGAGTGTATTTTTACATTTACACAATTTAAATTTCTTATTAACATTTTGCTTGAAAAAAATGTCGAAAAATTGTCAGTGTAACTCTATTGTGTGAGAGGTCTATAGGAAAATTTGTTTGTGGTATGTATATATCCTAAATAAAAAGGAGGAGATTGTTTAAAAACCACAAAGTACTAATTTCTGGATGAAAAGCAAGAAAATGAAAGTAAATTCAGAATTAGAGAGAATATTTTCTTTAAAATAAGCAATAATAGCAGAGTTTTTATTATTTATTGAGGAAAATTTAATTTGATGATCAGTGTTTTACATAATGTTTTAATTAGCATTATGCAAACTTTTCTACTATATTTTTTCTATCAACACATATTTTACAATGTTCATCATATTATAAATATTTTAATTCAGAGTTCACAGTATTAAATGATGTTGCAGTAGAATGTCAGGGTCTTCCACTATGCACAGTATGCTTTATTTAATCAAAATATAACTAGTTCTAATTGTAACGGGGACCGTTACAGATGTTCCCCAAACGCTCCCCAACTCCTTTTTTGTGCCAATTTCCTTTGAAACTTTTTTAATATGCTCAGTATTGCAAGATTTCATAAAAGAATTTTAAAAGCTACAATGATATAAACTTTTTGTCATTTAACGCACTGCACGCAAAAGCACGTGCTTGCACATGCAAGGTGATCATGGCATGTTGCTAAATCATTAACATTTCTTTATATATTCCAAGAACCAATAAAAAATCATAAAATTATTAATGTCACCGTTTTTCAAATATATTGATCATTTTACGCATTGCGCATGCGCAAGTGCATGCAAACATAGTAGTATCACGTAGGAATCCATTATACCTATTCATATTCTAAATTTCATCATGTTTTTTGAGAAACAAGAAAGTTATAGGCATTTAAAGTTTCAGCCAATCAGATTGCAGAACACGTGCTTGCGCATGCTTTTATGATAATTCTTATATATCATGCTGTAGATCTTCATAATGTTTGACTATGTTCAAAATTTCAAAGGATTTTATCAAAAAACAAGAAAGATATTGAGAATTTAGTTTCAGCCAATCAGAGCGAAGCGCACGTGCATGCGCGTGACATCTTGGTATTTTGACCATGTCGTCTTGTCTACGCTACTAATATATCCCTACATTATAAATTTCAAAAGATTTCATCAGAAAATAAAAAAGTTACGGCTATATCCATTATATTGGTCATTTCACGTGTTGCACGTGCGCGCTCTTGCAATCACGTGCGCGCAAAATGGCATGTTGACAGTGTCATCTTATCTATATTTATAATATGTCTCTATATTCTAAATATCAAAGCATTACATCGAAAAATATAAAAGTTACGGCAATTTCAAGTATATTGGTCATTTCACGTGTTGCACGTGCACGCTCTTGCAAGCACGTGCGCGCAAAATGACCTTCGTTCCGCAAATCTACATAACATGCCTACTTACCCTAAAAAGGTTTCACCTAAGTTGGATGTGTAGTTTACAAGATCACTCGCGGACAAAATTTTCCCAGGAAGAAAAATAATAAGAATAATAATAATAAGAAACAGAGTAAAAACAATATGTTCCCCAACTTCGTTTGGGGAACATAATTAGGCCTCTATGTATGAAGTTCTAAGTTAACATTGCAGTATATCATCCTTTATTTTACATTTTCATTGTTATTAAAATAAACAAATGGATGCAAATAAATCTTTTTTTATGTCTAAGTATGCTTGCATATCACTACAACAAAGCGAAAGAAAGGTCTATGACAACTGTGAAATATGAAAGCTATATCACCAACTTTTGAAAGATAGTGGAAAAGGTTCAAGTTTTACAAAAGTTGGACATCAAGGTTAAGATTGAATGGTAAAAATTATTGGTGCCCAAAGTCATGTCACATAAAATGGACATGCACAATATGAAAGCCTTAGCACCAATGATTAAACAAGAGGCCCAAGGGCCACATCACTCACCCGAGCACATGAGCTATTTAAAAAAACACAAATCACCTTAGGATTAAAAAGCTTACTTTTTGGGAGAGAGGGATTTGAATTTTCTATTACTTGAGAATGTCTCTATATCAATAAAGCATACTTGTATAATTTTGCCATACTTGAAAAGAAGATTTTTAAAAGATTTTTCCAACATTTTACTTGATCTCCCATTGCAACCCCTGGCTAACACCACTCCCATCCCCCGGATATTATTTGAATAAATTTCAATCTTCATAACTTGCATATGCTTACATCATTACATGTCAATTTGACTAAACAAAACTTTTCTGTTCTGGAGAAGATGTTTTCCTATATATTCTATATATATATTATATATTCAAAACTTCCCTCATTGTGGCCACACCCTAACCTCCGGGGTCATGATTTGAACAAACTTGAATCTACACTACCTGAGGATGCTTCCACATGACTTTCATCTTTCCTGGCCCAATGGTTCTGGAGATGAAGATTTTTAAATGATTTTCCCTATATATTACATTGTAAAACTTTGATCAGCCATTGTAGCCCTGCCCCACCCCCGGGAGTCATGATTTGAAGAAATTTGAATCTTCACTACCTGAGGATACTTCCACATGAGTTTCATCTTTCCTAGCCCAATGGTTCTAGAGAAGAAGATTTTCAAAAAAAATTTCCCTATATATTCCTATGTAAAAACTTTGATCAGCCATTGTGGCCCCGCCCTACCCAAGGGGGTCATGATTTAACAAATTTGAATCAAAACTACCTGAGGATGCTTCCACATGAGTTTCATCTTTTCTGGCCCAATGGTTATGGAGAAAAAGATTTTTCCTATGTTCCCATGATCAGCCATTGTGGCCCCGCCCTACTCCCGGGGGTCATGATTTGAACAAACTTGAATTTACACTACCTGAGGATGCCTACACATGAGTTTCATTTTTCCTGGCCTAATGGTCCTGGAGAAGAAGATTTTTAAAAGATTTTCCCTATACATTCCTATGTAAAACTTTGATCAGCCATTGTAGCCCCGCCCTACCCCTGGGGATCATGATTTGAACAAACTTGAATCTACACTACATGAGAATGCTTCAACGTGAGTTTCATCTTTCCTGGCCCAATAACTTTGGAGAAGAAGATCTTTAAAGATTTTCCCTATATATTCCTATGTAAAAAAAATTGATCAGCCATTGTGGCCCCGCCCTACCCCCCCAGGGGTCACGATTTGAATGAACTTGAATATACACTACCTGAGGATGCTTCCACATGAGTTTCATCTTTCCTGGCCTGACGGTGCTTGAAAAGAAGATTTTTAAAAGATTTTCCCTATATATTCCTATGTAAAACTTTGATCAGCCATTGTAGCCCCGCCCTACACCTGGGGATCATGATTTGAACAAACTTGAATCTACACTACATGAGAATGCTTCCGCATGAGTTTCATCTTTCCTGGCCCAATAACTTTGGAGAAGAAGATCTTTAAAGATTTCCCCTATATATTCCTATGTAAAAAAATTGATCAGCCATTGTGGCCCCGCCCTACCCCCCAGGGGTCATGACTTGAATTAACTTGAATATACAGTACCTGAGGATGCTTCCACATGAGTTTCATCTTTCCTGGCCTAATGGTGCTGGAAAAGAAGATTTTTAAAAGATTTTCCCTATATATTCCCATGTAAAACTTTGTCAGCCATTGTGGCCCCGCCCTACCCCCAGGGTTCATGATTTGAACAAATTTGAATTCTACACTACCTGAGGATGCCTCCACATGAGTTTCATCTTTCCTGGCCCAAATGTTCTGGAGAAGAAGATTTTTAAATGATTTTCTCTATATATTACTATGTAAAACTTTGATCAGCCATTGTGGCCCCGCCCTACCCCCAGGGGTCATGATTTGAACAAACTTGAATTCTATACTACCTGAGTATGCTTCCACTTGAGTTTCATCTTTCCTGGCCTAATGGTCCTGGAAAAGAAGATTTTTAAAAGATTTTCCCTATATATTCCTATGTAAAACTTTGAACAGCCATTGTAGCCCCGCCCTACCTCTGGGGATCATGATTTGAACAAACTTCAATCTACACTACCTGAGGATGCTTCCACATGAGTTTCATCTTTCCTGGCCGAATGGTTCTGGAGAAGAAGAACTTTAAAGATTTTCCTTATATATTCCTATGTAAAAACTTTGATCAGCCATTGTGGCCCCGCCCTACCCCTCAGGGGTCATGAATTGAACAAACTTGAATTCTATACTACCTGAGGATGCCTCCACATGAGTTTCATCTTTCCTGGCCCAAATGTTCTGGAGAAGAAGATTTTTAAAGATTTTCCCTATATATTTATATGTAAAAACTTTGATCAGCCATTGTAGCCCCGCCCTACCCCCGGGGGTCATGATTTGAATAAACTTGAATTAACATTACCTAAGAATGCTTCCACACGAGTTTCATCTTTCCTGGCCCAATGGTTTTGGAGAAGAAGATTTTTAAAAGATGCCATTAATTTTTCATTAATTCCTAATTATCTCCCCTTGGAAGAGGGCTTGGCCCTTCATTTGAACAAACTTGAATTCTCTTCACTCAAGGATACTTTGTGGCAATTTTGGTTAAAATTGGCCCAGTGATTCTTGAGAAGTCGAAAATTTGAAAAGTTTACAGACAGACAGACGGACTACAGACAAAATGTGATCAGAAAAGCTCACTTGAGTTTTCAGCTCAGGTGAGCTAAAAATTATGGGCAAAGTTTATAAGTTTCAAAAGTAGGTCAAATTCCAAGGTCAACGAAAAAGGTTAAAACTTGATACCTAAGGGAAGGTCTTAAAATTGTGACAAGAAAAAAAAACAAATTTAAAACATGAAAAGCATCAACTGATTAAAAGTTATGATCAAGGTTAAAGTTTTCCAAGAGTGGGTCAAACTCTAAGGTCAACATCAAAGGAACAATATTATTGGTACCCAAAGAAAAGTCCTGTCACAAGGATAAACCTATGAAATATGAAAGTCATTTTACTAGTCATCCAAAAGTAATGGCCAAGTATTTAGTTTTTTTTTAAGTGGATCAACCTCCAAGGCCAATTTGCAAGGTCCAAAGATCAAAAATATGTATTCCCAAGTAAAGGTTTTCTCGCGGGAAATACACATGTGAAGTATGAAAGACGTATTAACTGTTCAAAAGTTGTGGCCAATGGTAAAGTTTAGTAAAATTTTGAAAAAGTGGGTCGTACTCCAAGGTCAAGAGGTCAAATATATATGTTTATACCCAACGAAAGGACTTGTCACAAGAAATATACATGTGAAATATGAAAATATTGCTTCAGCCAACATAAAGTTTACTGTTTTGTTATACCCTTCACTGCTCACTTAAGGATCAATTTTATCAATACACGCTATAGTATCAATTATTTTATATGGAAAATTACAGTAAATATAAAAACACAGAACAAAATAAATTATAAATCTATTATATCACAAAAATTATTTATCACAAAACATATTCACTTTGCTGTTAGCAACAACCTTAGTAACTTCGGCTATTTTTCGCCGATATTGAACGATGATTATTAATTTCTTACGTTGCGACAATTCTTATGTATCAATAGTGAAATTGTTAGACCGATGTAATAAACATTTCTTTTGTTGGACTTTTTATTAGTAATAAATATATAGAAGGATATTTATAAGGGTATAACAAACATGTATATGAAAATATAGCTTCAGCCAACATAAAGTTTAGGCAAGGTAAAAGGGACATGGACACAGTTTCAACTGAATCATTAGAAACCTTGTAATCGTATTTAGACTGAAATTCTTAATCGAAAATATCTGCTTTGAACGAACATAATTTAGTATATTAACCTATATAAACAAAAACACGACACGGACCCTGTTATTAACATAACAAACGTGCGGGTTCGAATCTTATTGTGGGACGTGGAGACCGGTCCTTTAGTTGAGACCGTATTTTACAAACCGAAGTCCCGTGTAGTAGTAGATGCTGGCATGAAAAGGGTCCCTCATTGCTCAATGGCCCTCAGTGCCGGGTATAGGTTAAAACTTGCAAAATCTGAAATTACAAAAACCAAGGAAGCCACCCGCGTGGCGCAGTGGTAGAGTGTCTGCTCTGAAGTAGCGGGTTCGAAAGCGCCTGTGCCGTGTAGATACTGACATGAAAGAGATCCCCCATTGCTCAATGACCCTGAGCGCCGAGTATAGGTCAAAATTTGCAGCTCTCCACTGGCGAGTAGTGGCGTCTCCATATGAGGGAAAAATTCTCGAGAGGGACGTTAAACAATAAACAAACAAACAAAAACAAAAAACCTAGGGCAAGGTATCCAGATGATTTTAACATATCTCATACAATTCATTAGTGAAGTCTGACAGTTGTCATGATCTGCAAAATTAATAGTATGGCATGAAAAAGGGGCTCCCTCCAAAATACATTTGAATGTCAAGAGAAAATGTTACATAATGGATTGTTTAAACAGTTGAACTGTATTTTGGATCCTAACCAGGTTTGTCTGTTTAATTCTATACTTCTTAGACATATTCCACAGACAATAGAAACTATTGATTTTTTTTGCGTACACTAAATGTTTAACCTAATGAGACTTACATGACTCTCACTGCAACATGGTCTTTTGTGTCATAATACAAGACGAGACCAACAATTAGGCCTGTAAATCTCAGACTGGCTTATTTTATAAAAAAAAAAAATAAACTGTATTGTATGACAATCTGTACTCAGCATAAAGAATAAAGACGGTAACAATCCCTAGAGTCTGCTACAGAACTATCGGTAGCTTATGACAGGAGGGGTTGTTTCCACCTCACCTCATCAGCGAGAGGGAAGTGTACACTTTTGTAATTTTGATGACATTTCCTATTTGTTTTGAAATTAAATTTCTTCAAAACCAGAAATTATACGCAAACATAGAAAATTGTGTTTGGGAAACACTGATGTTCCCGTATGAAAGCTCGTGGGGAAGGTAAAACTTTTTTCGATGCAATGCAAGGTTAAGATTAACATTACAAAGAATACACATCTAGTCATAGTTCCAATTATTCAAAACGTATGGTCAAGGTTCAAGTTTTTTTTAAACGCGTTAAACGTCAAGACCAAGTTTAAAGTTATCTGATTTTGACATTGAATAAATTCACATTTGTACAAAATCCTCAGTGCCAACCGTTCAAAATTTATAACGAAGACAGATAATTTGTTTGCAGAATGTGGTCAAACTCCAAGGTCAAGATGTAGATACTAGCAAACGCACTGATAGAAATAGTCAAAAATATATGCCCTCAAATGCAATTACGAGAGATGTAAAAATTCATTTAAATTTAACCAAGCTTAGCATTCTGCTGGCCTGTCAGGTAATCTGTTTATACACATTACGAAGACTGTACATTTTCATGATTCAATGGTCCTTCCCTTTTTCGTTGAGGCAATATATGATTTCAATGTACATTTTAGATATTTCTGAAAATATACGACAAAAGAACTCTGGGAGGATACTAGGATTACAAAGCAAGAAATGAATTGTTAGAATTATAAATGCTTTATACATACATACTTAAAAGTATACATTACTGATGTTGTTCATATAAATTGTCCAACTGTGTAATATATGTATTATTATGTTGTTCATATAAATTGTCCAACTGTGTAATATATGTATTATTATGTTGTTCATATAAATTGTCCAACTGTGTAATATATGTATTATTATGTTGTTCATATAAATTGTCCAACTGTGTAATATATGTATTATTATGTTGTTCATATAAATTGTCCAACTGTGTAATATATGTATTATTATGTTGTTCATATGAATTGTCCTACTGTGTAATATATGTATTATTATGCACCTATGAGATGTATGTCTCTTGGTTATAATAAAATCTAAAATCTACAATATGTAGTATACTATAGAAAACATAATAGCTACATGTATATTTGTGTGCAAGATGACCTTTTCTTAATGCCTGTCAAGGAAATTTTGCTTAAAATGATAGGTTCATAAACACCTCTAACTAATTCACTCAATATGAAATTTTTCTTTAACTTGTGTGATTTTCCACAGGTTTAAAAATATTTTTGAGACATAAATTTATACAAACAATTATAAAACTATGATTTGCTTTGAGGGGTCTTTCCACAAAATCATTGACAAAAATGGCACTTATAGCTTGACAAATTTATAAAGGAATAATAGATTATTTTTGTGTCATTAACATTTTTATTTCTCTTATCAGAGTAAAATTCATTTATAATGTACATTAACTTAAATCTTCTGAATAATTTCCATAAAGCATTTATGGCAAAAAATTTTTATGTGTGAAAAAAAATAATTGAAAATGAAAAACTATACAATACAAATAAAAAATAATACATTCTCGTACAAATGGACAATCATAAAATGGAAATGGGGAAAAAAATATATAAGGCAAATAAAGATGGTTATAATACATACTAATAGAAATGTTTGAACACAAATAATAACGGTGTTTGCAATCATCAATGAAGATAACGAACAGTACTCAAATCTATAAAAACAAATCTTGATCAGACCAAACACGATCCTCTAACATTATCAGAGGTAGGATAAGGCGTCATTAAGGAGTAAGCATCCCCTGTCGACCGGTCACGATGTAGGCTCCTTTGTCATGATTGAGTAACGGAAAAAATCAGCAGACAATTCAGTCTGAAGATAATGGCCTAACAATTTGTATAAAAATCATCAGTCAACATTCAACTTAATGATAGACTTTTTGCTGACAAGCTCATAATATTGACCATAGAATTTGGGAAATGTCGACCTTCAATTACAGTGTTGGTATCCTTGATTCGTCAACTTATTTTCTAAACTTGATACGTTTCAGAAATGGAATTGGGAGACATAAACTCTATATACATGTGATTATGGTATATTGCTGCATAAAAGGACGTTCACGATAAAGAAGTTCATGTACTGAAAATACAGTTCGCTAACAAATATATTAGTAGTAGTTAGTAGAATGATGCTCCCCATAATTTATTTAATATCAAAAATTTTGTAGAAATAAAAAGACGTTCATTGTGAAATACTTTTATTTCTTTGATTATTTATAGAGCAGTTCAGTGTGTCTTTTGGTTTCATTGTATTCGTGAATACAACCTCGTAAGATATTATATGATATATTTTTTTTTATCGGTCAATTTATTTCTGACCAGGTTTGAAAGCCGGGGATAGACAAAAATCAAATTTAAAATAACATGCATTCAAATTCCATAAAACGCATCTTCTGTTCTGTAGCATTATTAATGCTGAAATTCTTTGGAAAATTTACACAACATTGTCAGATCGATGGGAGGATGCACGAGTTCAGCATTTATTAGGTTTATCGAATTTCAGATTTCTTTTTTTAATTTCCCAACACTTGTAATTCCACAGGTATTGTTCAGTTCAGTCAATCAATTCCCCATTAGGTATCCAGATATCGACAGATTTATGTTTTCCTGACGTATAAATTCTCCAATCGATTCCCAGAACGGGACAATCGATAGCTGGTCGCCCTCTAGATCTAACAGAATTGTCAGCAACAGTTATGGCGAGAAGTTTACCTCCGATTTCTTTGTGCTTCTGTATCGTATCGTTCTTTATTTTATTGTCCAAAGGTAAGTCAGATTTACAGTCATTTTCTTACTATCTAATATTGGTATGTCCTACAGTTGTGGTCCAAGATTTTAATGGTGTAGCAAAATTTCTCCAAGTAATTAGTGTTTCAAATTTACTTAAACCCGAATGCTGAAAAACAATTATGTAGATTGAATGAAATTGATTTTTCGTACTTTCATATAATGTGTATACACGTATTAGCAGAGGTAACTTATAATATCGAAAATAATAAACTTTCATATTGAAATTGAAGTTTTGGAAAACGAATGATTCTTTTTTGCAAACATTTGTTTTTAAGGCGTTTACTATTGTTATTTTTTTCTGCTTTTTCTTTAATTTTGAAAACATGAAATTAACTAATTTAGTTTACTTAAATGGAAATTTGTTTATTATTTCTATATTTCTTTGAGTTTTTGACTTAGAAAGAGTCGAATGCAACCGAAAAAAATTAAACCATTGAACAAAAGGCAGATACATGCACTTCGTAATATTTGAAAAGTGCTGATTTTGTGTGATCTCAATTAGAAGAAGCCCATTAAAGCATGGATCCATTATTAGATTCAGTCTTTTTTTATGCATTATCCAATTTAAATATCCACGAAGAAACTCTATCATACGTTATAAGATTGACCAAATTGAAGACATCTAATAACATTTTATAAAGTACCTAAGCCTTTTTATATCTCAATTACAAAAAAAAAGAATGACTTGTAAATAAATTATTTACGAAATGACAAATCACAAAAAGGAAGATCTATGAACTCTTTTAATATATTGTTTTAATGAAGTGTTTTGCTACTTGAAGAAGTTTTGAAGATACTTGACCAGTCTTTAGGGGTAGTTTTTCTCCTGTCTTTAGAATTTTGTTCCTCTCTCCCTTCATTCACCAAGTTTGCATATTTTGTTAATATTTCAGACTGGCATTTCTTAATCCTCGATCATTCATTAAATTACGAAATCTGGTTTTTGACATAGAATAGTAGTATGTATAAAATTATCGACAAGATGTGAAGTAAATAAAACATAATTTGATATCAAACATCTGGTATAATTATATACAATATAAATGGTGTTAAAAGTACTTATGTACGCGTTGTAGTTAATATTTAATATAACATTTCTGTTATTCATTTTAAATTTTATCAGTCTATCGAGACTAAAAATAGTTATGGAATCTTCAAGATTTCATTGTAAATCAGGAATGAAAAAGCTAGCAATCAGTAATTACAAACGTCATTTTCTTGTACCAAATTTATAATTAGGTAAAAACACGTTGTTTGTATTTTGATAAATAAATAAAAAAATACACGATGTCTTTGAGTTAGTAATGAAAAAGAATTTTAACTTAGCATATACGCTATTCAGTGTACCAAAACCTGCTTTTTAATTGGATGTGATACTAATATCGAACTTTAATATTTGAATAAAAACAATAGAGAATTGTCCTCTGGAAAGCATAGTATCTTGCACTCAAAGCTCGACCGATGTTATGTAGGTAGCCTTCATCTAAAAAAGCAAACAAACTGATTGAGACATATAGATCTATATATAGTAAACAAAGTCTAGATATACTAACAAAAAAAGATATATCTGCGAAATAAGAACAGATATATCACCTTTCTGATATTACTAATCCCTAACACCCTTTTCTTTTGCAAATAAATAAATAACTTGTAGTTTTTATTGAGATATATCGTAGAGATGAAAAGAATGCGTAATAAGAACAGATATAATTCACCTTTCTTTTTTATTGTCGATATTACTATGCCCATTCTTCCAATGGATAGAAAACATATGATTCATACCATTACTATCCAGGCTTTTGCAAATAAATAAATAACCTTTTAAAAGTTATACTATACAGCATGTTTTTAGATTCCATTCCTTCTCCATTATCATTTTAAATTTACTCTTCCCAAGCACTTATTCTTGCCTCTGCAATTTCCAGGGTACTATGTTCTTTTAAAATGTATGTCCATAAGCAAATCATACATTGATTTGATAGTATGTTTTATGTCCATTGTCAGCAGTTTTCTTTTAAAATGTCAATGTCTTTGCAAAAATCATTTTTGATTTGCAATAACGCTATAACAGGATTTATGAAAAGTGCTGTTTTTCAAGGAATTAATATCAATGATAGAACATCTAGGTCAGCAGTTTTCTTTTAAAATGTCAATCGTCTTTGCAAAATTTTTTTAAGCAAATCATAAGATTTGCAAATCATACAGGATTTATGAAAAGTGCTGTTTTTCAAGGAATTAATATCATAATGATAGAACATCTAGGTCAGCAGTTTTCTTTTAAAATGTCAATCGTCTTTGCAAAAAATAACGCTATAACAGGATTTATGAAAAGTGCTGTTTTTCAAGGAATTAATATCATAATGATAGAACATCTAGGTCAGCAGTTTTCTTTTAAAATGTCAATCGTCTTTGCAAAAATCATAAGCAAATCATACATTGATTTGCAATAACGCTATAACAGGATTTATGAAAAGTGCTGTTTTTCAAGGAATTAATATCATAATGATAGAACATCTAGGTCAGCAGTTTTCTTTTAAAATGTCAATCGTCTTTGCAAAATTTTTAATCATAAGCAAATCATACAGTATCATACAGTGCGTAGATATTGACCTCTAAAACTAAATCCTCCATAGTGTTTTAGTTCTTCCTCCAGCTATCGTCCAGTCGAACGCATCGGTGCCGTGATGTAGGTTCAGTTCAAAATGAGACCTAAAGCTATTATTTAATTGTAAAAAGACCTAAAGTGTTGGAACCCAAGTCTTTCAAATGTTAAATACATGTAATTTCATTAATTCATAAATTCTGTCGAGGAATATACTAGATGCTTGGCTATATATGTTAGGGGAGGGCATCAAGGGTGAAGCGTTATAGATACCATGTAAAAGAATCCATTGGAAAATGAAGAGCAATATGCAACTATCTAGCAGACCAAGGGTGTTAAAACAATAAGAAAGACTACAAAAATATGTTTGGGCTTCAGCTGACAAAGCTTGTATCAAAATAGTCTTTAAATACTTGTAGTTTAATACAAGTGTTATTAATGGTTTCTCTTGCTCACCCCATTTTTCTTCTCCAGTTTTCACTTAAAAGAGACTAAACTTTCAAAATATATCAAATAAATATGATTTTTCAAACAAACCAGAAGTTTAGCTTTTTGACACCTGAGTATTTGATTTGTCATCTAAAAATTACATGTACTTTATTAAAATTATTTTGATTCTAAATGCAACTAATTTAACTCTGAAAAGGCGTTAGGGGTCCTCATTGAAAATATCTAGGGAGTCTGGCGACCAGATTTTTTTCTCTATCTGTTGGGAACTAGCCGTGTTCTTATTACCCGGCCTGTTTTTAAATTCCTTTGAAGCAGAATTTATTCTACACGAGATAAAGAAACTCAAGCAGTTTTCAACCATACGTTTTGATACTTGTATATATCCATGTCTTATTACATGTATCAATAAACAAATGTTATTTTTTTCATAAGCCGAAACGATCGATCTCAGTAACACACAGAAAGAAACTATAGAGTCTACGACGCATATTTAATATATGAATGTTTTACTGATGGCCAACTTATAACTACTCTCAAATAAGCTGATGTTACAAGAACTTCAACATTCCCATCTTAAGTTACAGCTATTTGCAAATTCTAGTCTTTATAATGGTTTTGTATGTAAAACAACCTATTGCTGGGTAATGAGATTTTAACACAAATTTGACTTTGGATTATGTCAATACCTAGGACACACGGTGAGTGTGGTCGACAAGGGATGCCAGCTCGTCTTAGGCACCTGATCCCACCTCTGGTACGTGTTCCTAGAAGTCCGTGTTTCCCCCTGTTCTCGATTCGTTTTTTATCTTCGCCTTTAATATCTAAGATGAAACGAACAATAATCAAATAAAAAGGTCAATTGAAACAAAACAAATTTTGAGCAGAGGCGGGATCAGGCGCCATGATTGAAGAAGAAAGCTTCTCCTGTCAATCAGTCACACCTGTTTTGTTTTTGTGACGACAAAATTGACAGTTTAGAAATTTCCAAATATCCCATACCCCAACTTGTCAAACAATAAAAGGCCAAATTGTACATATGTATATTTTTGTTGCATTTTAAAGGTGTGATATCTAACAAGCTTTGTTTCGGTAAACAATTAGGGTAATATGATTGATGTATACATTGACAACTACTATTCTACCGTAATAAATGCACTAGACACAGCACACCCGAGTGACATAAATGTACGTTTCACTTTGTTTTAATTCAATTTTTGCAAATCAATTTTTTTCATTAGCAAAAATACACATGACAATATTCTTGGATGTTCTTGCAGCTTTACATTTATATACAGGGCATCTCAATCAATAAAGCCTATATATTTTGTATTGGATCTTCAATCAATTCATATGACGTAACCAACTAATCTTAATAGCTTCAACAATAATCTATGAAATATTTTTTTAATTTTTATTATAAATTGCCAATTCCAGCCATTATTGCTTTTCTTTTACAATCTATGAGTTTATATATTTTTTTATCATAGTTGTCAATTCGAGCCATTAAAGAAGTAATCAAATTATTGTCAAGTTCATGTTGCATTCCAAATAGCAGTAATGTTTTATCAATCAATATACATGCTTGTTTTGATCCATGTATCTTGTACAATAATACTTTCGGCATTTTTAATCTTATTAAGAATAAGTTATGCTTTCAGTCAGAAATTAGAGCAATTTTAGTATCAATGATAAGCCAACATTTCATGGAAATAAAAGAAATAAAAAGAGAACTATTTATTTTAATGTAACGCATAATTTTTCTAAAAATACATATAATTATTCATATTTACATCCAAAGAGTATTTTTTTCTTTATTTCTTTTGAAATTCATTTCTCATAATCAATCCACTGTAAAATTTTAAAACTAACAGTACGAAATATTTCTTAAGCAGGAATTCTTCCATCTGCAATGAAACAGATAATCACGTACAAAACAATACAATGTTTAATGTACCCGGTATTCAAAACTTTAAATGCAGCCCTTGTAGGGAAAAATAGTAACTCCTGCATGAACAAAGAAAAGTTTTTTACCTACATTGACAGACAAAAAATATTTTATTAAATGCTTATATAACACTCTAAAACTCGTGTTATAGAGTTTCAAACAAATAAGCAAGTAATGTTGAAGTATTCAAGTTACAACGGAGAAATATACTCGTATTCAATTTTAAAATTTAAAATTATTCTGATACATGCACTGCTGATGTTTATTTTAAGTATACTAGTTTAAAATTGAACATTAAACTGATTTTCAATTTAAGAATATACTTCTAAGAAAGGGGAAAAAAAAGAAAAAAAATAGAAACGTATATTAGAATTGTATTGACATATTGAACATAAAGATTATTACTGGTATTAAAATGATATATTGATAATACAAAAATATGGTTAGCAATAGAGATACAATCTAAATGATACAATTACTCAATAATTTTAAAATCATGGACAGTTCAAGGACATTAAAGATCAATATCTGGTATGTTCCCCTAAGATAAAATGATAGCCAAAAACGGCATCTAATGGAAGCAAATGTGTGTAATGAAAACTGTATAGGAATACTCTCCCAATGCTTGCTCAATTGAGTTTGAATCACTATCGTGGCAGAAACAGATTGCAGTTGAAAAAATACACAGTGTTGAAATAAAATGGTAATGAAGGAATGCTAGTACTTGTAAGTAAACTAGTTTTCAGTGTTGAAATTTACCAGCATTTAATGTTAAAATATGCAGATTTGAAAATGGGAAATATAGTGGTTTTCAATGTGAGACAAACAACTGTATATAGTCGAAAAATATACTGCGTTTGAAAAAAAAAAGTTGTATTCAATAAAAAATAATAGCATATTTAAATTTAGTTTTCAAAGTTGTAACATATTAGCATTTAATGTTGAAATATACTTGTATTAAATAGAGCGTCAAAATAATATTGTTATTCAAATGATAGTCGTATGACATGTTTCGTGCTAAGAGTACGTGTTTAATGTAAAGAGAACACATTTCATGTTTTTAAATCTTTTATAGGAGCCAATGAATACACACTGACGTCTTATAATCAAAGGTAAGAGTATACTCATAGAAAACGTAAAATGTTCATTCTCACTAATTTTAAGTTTGGGGGATTATTTGCTATTATACTCAATATTATAGAATAACTTAACAGACAGACAAGCACATTTACAAACAAGATGTGTTTGTGAAACGCGCCCCGTATGGTAGCTAATGGCGAGGGTTGAAGTTTCTCAAATGCAAGTCAAACTCCAAAGGTCAAAAGATCAACGTTGATGTTACCCAAAGGAAGGTCTTGTCACAAGGAATACACCTGTGAAAGCCCTAGTTCTAATGTTCAAAAGTTATGGCTAAGAATGAAGTTTTTTTAAAAAGTGGGTCATACTCTAAGGTCAAGTTGAAAAGGTCAAAAATATTTATATACTTTCTGAAAGGTCTTGTCACAAGGAATAATACATCTGTGAAATACGAAAGCCGTAGCCCAATCCACTCAAAAGTTAAGAGCAAGGTTAAAGCGTTTGCGGACAGACAGACGGACGGACGTGGCAAAAACAATATACCTCCGAATCTTCGATAAAGGGGGCCTAAAAATGTGTGTCAGTCTAGTCTAGACAATTCATTTTTTTCATTTAAAAGAATATAACTAAAACTATATAAATATATAAGTGCCTTTTATCACCTTCACTCTGTTTAAAAAACACACACAATGAGATAGAAGCAAATTATGAGCTTTACAACTTAAGAATGTTAAGTTTAATTACAATATAAGATACGATATCGGAATAAATGTTTTATTTATTTACTTTTGTGAAACACAAGTTAAAATTTGTATCAAAGCTATACTACTCACAGTAAACTATATCTTTAAAACGTTTCATTTGCATATCAAATGATATGACACACTCTAAAAACAGCAGGTTTTCTTGAAAGGTAAATATGAAAATCATTGATTGATGATATAATTTCAGATTCATAAACCATGTTTAACAAAGCTATACTTTACTGGTGGGAATAAAGTTCACACAACTGTTAATTATAGTCGATCTCTAAAAATCATATTATAGTTAAAAATTATAAATTACCTGATATGCCTGTTCAATATATTTTAGTAGTGTAATTTAAAGGTGTCAATTAAATATGTTCCAAACAACAAAAAACAATAAATTTTAAATGTGAATAATGTTTTTGATAAATACAACTGTATATTGTTTCACTTTTAGTTTACTGTAATATCAAATATGAGCTTTACGACTAAAAACTTTAGTTTAAATATAATATAAGGCACTAAATATACTCAGTATATTACAATTATTGTTATAGTTTTATTTGTGAATCACAATTTCACTCCAGAATTTGAATTTTACAGAATGTTAATTATTTATAGTATGGTATACAAATAAGATCTTATATTTATCAAAATAAATAAATAAAGTAACGCTTATTCACGGCCAGATTAACTTAATTAAGCATTCATAAACTAAAATAAATGTATAGAAGAATGGAAAGATCATGTTTTTTCACTGGATGAAGAGAACTTCAATTATAAAAATGAATTGTTAATAAGACAATATAGTCATTATTTTTAATAATTCACATCTTAAACCTTATCATAATTTAACGTGAAAATATTAAAGTAGCTCTATCACTAAGTCTCTAAGATCCAATGTTTACTAACTAGTATTCACAATAGGAGTTGAGAAATTGGTTAATATAGATAAAAATAAGCATATGGATATATTTACCTAAAAAAATTAAAACACAAATTGAGTTTAAAATTTAGACCGCAATTCTCTCATTGTCAACAATCCGCATTGTTACGGATGATACGAGTAACGTAATTCAAAGAAAATTTTAACAACAAAACACTAAATTCTTAGAAGGGAAAATCAATATTTCATTATTTACAATAATGTACAAGTCTTTCATTTTATTGATAATCTACACCAGTATGAAAAGTGAAGCTAACCCCATTATTGAATAAGACATATAAACATGATGAAAAGCATGTTTGCATTTATCGAGCATGAGGAAAACCAACTATGACATAACTACGAATCGTATAAGTCTATTAACGTGTTAAGACACTTTTTTTCGTAATGAAAATTATCCTAACAAAATCACAACACAATAAGTGTAAATCCAAATCTTAAAGCACAACCCTTCTGTGTAAGAGTTGTCTTTTGCTTCAGGAGAAATCAAAGCGAAAAAGTATTTTCACCTTTTACATGATAGGAAGACAATTGAAGTCCATAGTTTTTATGCCCCCATAATCGAAGATTCGGGGGTATATGGTATATGCCCTGTCCGCCAGTCTGTCTCTATGTTTGTTTGTCCGCAAAAAAAAATTAACCTTGCTCTTAATTTTTGAGTGGATGAGGCTATGGCTTTCATATTGTCATAGGTGTCTTCCTTGTTTCAAGATCTTCCTTAGGATACAACCAAATTCGGCATCCTGACCTTGGGTTTGATCCATTTTTACCAAAAATTACCATTAACCTTGGCCATAATTTTTTAACAGTTGGTGCTAGGGTATTTGTATTCATTGTGACAAGACTTTTTGAAAAGTATAAATATTTTTGACCTTGACCTTAGAGTTTGGCCCACTTTGAAATAACTTTAACCTTTGTCATTACTTTTGAACAGTTAGTACCAGGGCTTTCATATTTCACTTGTATATTCATCTTGACAAGACCTTACTTTGGATGCAAATAATTTTTACCACTTGATCTTGATTTTGGAGTTTGACTTGATTTGAGAAACTTCAACCCTCGCTATAAGCTGCAGTATGGAGCATCAGTGTTTCACAAACACATTTTGTTTTGAAGGGTCAGTAGCGTGCTGAAATGAATGAATACTTTTGCAATTTCCCTTGTCACATGAAGTAAAAAAGAAATTAGTGTTTTCAAATCGGACGATTTATAGTAGCCATTACTCGCTTACTTTCCCAATCGAGTACCCGGTCCTTCGGGTGTTTTTTCTTGACGCCTATCCTTTACTTATCGGTAGAAATAAAACACTAATGGACTGTCTATTAATAATATCATTTATAACTACATATACCTCAACAAGTAAACAGTATCTTCAACGAATTTTGGTTTTTATAAAATTGTATATGACTGTATTAGCCTGGGAAAAATGAAAAAAAAATCTCAATATCAGGAAACAATAGTTATTTCTGTTCACAACTATTTCATTGTTTTTGAATATCGGGTACTTATCTTTGGAAAATATGGTACAGACACCATATGTTGAAAATGAAGAAATTTTTATATATGTGTGATATTCAGTCCAAAAATACTTTTCAAAAGTATTTAGAGGCTTCTTTAAGAATTTAGGTCCTTTACGATTAAAGAATCCCTTTTGTTCCCATTATCTATAATCAACCATGGCAATCTGTTGCAGAGCCTGTGTACATGGAGATAGGACAGACAATGACAAGTGTGTATGTAAACCGTGCTGGACAGGCGATTCATGCGATGTTCCACGTAAGTAGTTCACGGAGACCTTAGTAAATCAAATTCACTTCCCTTAAATATACAGGTTATTATCAAAAGCAGACAAATTTCTCTGGTTAATGTCTAATGAAGACAATCTAATTATTACAAAACTAAGTCAATATCTTATCAAAGCCTTCAAAATAAGGCATAATACCATGAGTCCTCATAAATGATGTTATTGACACATATCTACTTGTATATATGTATATGATAATATTGATTTTGATTGCATGTTAATTAGCGATTTGATAACCCCAACTGCTGCATCTACATGTACAGTTACTTGTATATATTATATCAGATATACACATGTGTGTTTATGTTTGTGTATGTTTACTAACCTTTCTTTCAGAACTTTCTATCTTGTCATTGTAAAAAGAACTTTTATGCCTTATGGGCCCAAAATTGGAAAATAAAATTATCTTATCTTATCTTATCTTATACAGGTTTAAATAAAATACATGTATCAGTTCACTTTCACAACAATTATGGTTCTTCGTATTCAAATAACAAATTAATGTCAGACTCTATTAAAGTGTTTATGTTGTAGTTGACAAAATTGAGAAAAACGCAGGCCTGATGTAATACTTTTATTTTAGGAAATCAATACACACCTAAATTCAGCAAAGATGAGTATTACGCTTCAGTGTCAGACCTGAGTAGTGTATTCTTTGAACCTGATCAGGAAATGGTTGTATGCCAACACGCAGACAAATGTGCTTGTGCCGAGGTCTCGTTTTCGGTTTTGACTGGAAATGAAGATGGTTTGTTTACTATTGATCCCCTAACTGGTGCCCTATCGATCAGTCAAGGAGCTGTCCCAAAGAAAAATCGATATGTAATCACTGTCAAAGTCACAAATCAATTAATCAGCAACAATATCAAACAGCCAGAATCCATAGCTTCAGTTATTATAGTTTTTCCTGGATTTCAAAGTGGGATAGAAAACCATCATCACATTGAAAAAAGGGTAAAAATCTCAACTTCTTTTGATCAATGCTTATATTAAATGTCTTTTTATATTAAAATATCTTAACAAAAACAGTACCTACTGTCATAACACCAAACATTTATCTGAATTATCAAGTATTTAGCATTCATTTAACTATTAAAGGATCTTAGAAGAAGAAGAAGGTATAATTATGTAGGGAATTCTCCCCTTTGACATTTTAACTAATATAGCCTAACTGTTTAAGTTCAGCGTTATACATATAATAAGGTATAATAATACAATAATGGATTTTATCACCAAAAATTCATTAATGTTCCATTGAAGTTAAAACTATTAGTACCGTGGGGGCAGTAGAGATCTAGATACAACTGCCTTTAGCAATAGTCGTGACGATTAAGGATAGCTGAGGCCTAAAGTAACCAGTCATTCAGTACTTCAAATTATCTCTACTTTTTTCAGGCCACCACAAGCGTCGTAGGAAATGTAACATTTGATTTAACTAAGAAATACCCTTACAATGAGACCACCGAGATGAAGGTCGGAAGCCGTGTGAGGTTTCAGTTGATCATTACCTTCCCAATCGAGGACACCGACATGTTAGTGGAACTCTTCACTCCGGACAATGAGACCACCGTCATGATTCTGTGTGACGTTAACGTCACAAACGTTGGAAGCAGTCTTACTTACAATGGAAGCAAGATTCCAACAATGGACGCCAGAGAAACGGGATCTGTGATGGTATATTATCCTTTAAGTATAAATGTTTGCTCTGTTTCAGAGGTAGCCTAGATCATTCGAAATAATGAATTGTTTCTTCTCTTGTCTAGTACGACAGAGCCATTATAAATTTTGGAGTGGTCCAAAACTCAGGATGTGCTACCGCTGACGAATGCAGCATTTATATTGAATACGAAGCTATCCTCTTAGAAAATCCTTCCACCAATGCGGGGGAAGTTTATTGGGTTAGCGCAGGCGCTGAGTACAATAATGAAAATGAGGTTTGGGTTGGACAAGCCTCCTTTGTGGCTTTCCCAAACGACACAGTAAGCCTTTTTTCGTTAAATTTAGCATATGCCATTTCCCCTCGAAAGTCATTCAAAAATTAACATCCTACATCTTTCTAGGTGGTCACTGAAAATCCAACCGTCAATTTTACCGGTCCTAGTTCCTTATCAGTAGGATCTGCCGGCGTGTTTCAAGTAGACCTACTTCTTCCCAATCCCTCCACTACACTTAGCTTCGATGCCTTCGCTCCTATCAACACCTCTTCAGTTATGTCAATATGCAGCGCCAAATTAAAATACCTATCAGACAACTTCAAATGTGGCTTTGATGAAAAGGCTATTTCAGCGCAGTACTATCCAGACCAGACAGGCATTGGAAATTCCATGGGACATTTGTCTCTAGGAACTGTGATAAACAAAGGCAAGATTTTATAAATGAACTCATAGTCTCACCAGAGTATTTGGCTTTTATATCATTCCCATGCACCTTATCACATTTTGTTTACTTGTAGGGTCAAGAGATGCAGCAAACAGAATGGAAAATAATCTTATATCGGTAGAATTTGTAGCCCACATGTACAACGACCCTAGCTTTGTTGGCACAAATTACATGGTTGGAGCAGCTTTTGAGATTGGGACTGCCCAGATTTGGGCCGGTCAGATGCAGGTTACAGCAAGTACAGAGGTGGACGCGTCAACCATGGTTAGCCCTTATGTTTTGTAACACTGCATTAAAAATATTGTTAAATAATGTTTGTATTTTATTAATACGTGCACTTTTTTCGAAATAGGCAAGTCCAATATTAGAGTTCAATCCACCTAGCGGACAAAACGTTGCGATGGGTGACGCAATCACTCTGCTTCTGGAGGTGCAAATCCCACAGGCTACCACAACATCCTACAATTTAGAAATTAAAGCACCTTTTTCTACAACTGCCATATTTAAGGTGTGCACAGTAGAAATTAAAACTATCGGAGAAAACATGCCCTGTGTCCACAAAGAGGATAAGAAAACTGTGTACTCTTCACGGGACAGTGGTGCCTTAGAACCAGACACGGGTACCATGAATTTGGGAGGAATAACGAACCTTAATATAAACTCTACAGCAGATGCTAGTACCATCACTTTCGAGATCGTTGTTGCACCTTTAAATCATTCAGCTGCCACTGACATGTCATCACACACCGTGGAAGCTACTTTAACTTACGCAGGGTCGTCAACCGTTGTTCAGTCAACATCCATTCTTATATCGGGCACATCAGTTTTGGTTACCAGTGTATCTGTAAGTCTTTGCCCCCACTCCATGTTAAAACTTGGTCTTGTAGCTTGCATAAATATTCTCACACTTTGTAAAATAATGAAATTTTAATAATAAACTGTTAGCTTAAATAGCAAACCTATGCATAAATACCAGTTGTGGGTAAATTTCACAGAATACGACATCCCCTTCGTTTGACATGAAATACCTGTTCGGCACAGAGTACGTGGAGGTTGGAACAGCAACCCGCGCTCAGCTAGAGATCACCACGAACAGGAGCGTATCGTACCCTATGATGAACATGGAATTTATCATGCCTTTGGGAAACACGTCCACCAAACTCTCAATCTGCAGAGCCCGGATGTTGTCTGCTGGTAGGAACCTTCCCTGTGTGTCACCAGAATGGATTAACACACAAGTTACATACCAATCACAGTTAGTATTTCCAACTCGCATTGGTACTTGTTTTATCAAAATAAAACCAGAAGTTTAAGGAATCATTACGGGTATGAATATTTAGAAGCAATGGAGTTCATTCTTCATTTAGTCTTATGGTATCAAACCTCATCCTTGGCGTTACCTTGTTTATTCTTACTTCAGCATAGTGTTCTAATGATGTGATGATTGCTTTTGGAACTGAATTTTAAAATCTTTCTAGTTCCTTGACATGGCTGTTTCATTATTGATTTTTAATGCATATATGTGTCCTTTACCTAGTACTTATTAAACTATCTCAGGCAAGTACTATTACTAACCGATTTCCTCTTCATCCACGTTTCTACTTTGCACATATTTAACAATTAATCATTGTATACATATTTAGATATAACGAGACAGTCAACGACCAAGCTCTAATGTATTTGAGTACGGTCTGTAACTATGAGCGGGTAGATAACGTCACTGATGATGTCATCACCATCATTTTGGACGTCAAAGTTGAAGACAATCCGGAGTTGATAACAGGAGTCAAAGAATGGATAAGTGCAGGGAATCAGTACTCGGACACCAAAATATGGGTCGGACAGTTGGCTCTTTATCCTCAAAGGAGTGGAACAATTATTCCGGTATTTAATTAAAAAGCAAACGTTTTATTGTAAATGTTCACTGTGTCTTTGAGAGATAGTCTGCAAATTTCAAACCAACATTTATTTCTCTATTTCCCAGGCCACAAACCCGTACATTAACTTAATCAGAAATACAACGTTATCCAGTGTTCCTATTGGCTACCCATCTGTCTATACAGCTTTGATTAAAATAGCACCAGAAGAGAGCGCCAAAGTCAAAGTCTCGGTTACATTGGGGAGCACTGTCTTAAGTATATGTGGCATGCGGATAAAAGACATTGGCGATAACTATCCATGTATGGATAAAAATGTCACCACCTCCTTTAGTGGAGCTTCTGGCTTCATCGACATTGGCATTATCACAAACACAGGTAATCATGGATGTATGTTTTGGATTAAACAGTATTTTAAGAAAGATTGATTGATTGAGTTTATATTGTTTAATGCCGAGTCGGCAATATTCAGCCATATTTCGGCGGTTTTAAGAAAGAAAAACAATGCTGCAGGGTAGAAACAATTTAAATTTCGCCAAGCAAATAAGGTATCTTATCTCTCCGCTGTTATATTTTTTTAAAACGGGTTTCACCTAATAGGGTCCGATGCCATGGTGATGAATGATTTCTATGACAGTAACACCATATTGGTTGAGTTATTAATTCAGCTGGCAGACGATACGACCACGGTAACAAATGGCGGAAGCTATACGTTTGATGTTGAGGTGGAGTATGGGAGTGATGGGCGTAAGCAAAGCTTCCCTTCCCAGACCATCATAGCCTCCCACGACAAGACTCTGGTCAACTTTGTAAGTCACAGATTTTTGACAAAGTGACAAAGAGTGGCATCATTTAGTTCACTTGCTATGAAAGAAATGGCTATTTTTTATTTCTTTTTTCCAGACTTCGGTTCACAACAGAACGACTAACACATTCTACACTGAGAATATTGGAAGTAATAACACAGACTTGAACATTGTGAAAGGGGAATCTAAGCGATTCATCCTGGACATGGTATTCCCAGAAGGAGAAATTCAAGACGTGACCGTCAAGTTTATGACTTCCGTCGCTGGTGCAAATCAGAATATGATGGAGTTGTGCGGTTCCGGACTAACCTTTGTCGGTGATAACTTCCCTTGTCTCGATAAGACAACTGTGAATCCTGTCTATACTAAAAGGTAATTAATATTACCTGTAAGATGCTTGTAAAATTCTTACAAAATGAAAATTTGCTTTGATAATTGATAAATTTCGACATTGTATTGCTTTTTATTTAGAGTTGGATCTTTAGTTAAAGACACGGCGACTTTACAGCTCGGATTCATATGTTCCTCCGGGGTTAACAGTGGGGATAACGAAGCAAACAAGGTTAGAATATATGCATATATTATATTTCTCGATGACAAATTAGGATTCATGAATTGGTTGCCTTTTTGTAGAACTTTCACTTCAATATATTTTTTTTACCTTGAGCTGTGTATGATAGAAGGTTTATACAGTTTATTGACAAAAAAACTGGCTTAATAGGGTAGTTTTCCCTTTCATCATGACGGTTGTTTTGTCAAACAATTTTCACTATTTTTTTCTTCTAGCTTCGTTTGGAGGCCGTGGCAAGGTTACTGCCCTCATCTACGTTGTCTGCTGGGAGTACTATTCCATTCCATGTGGCGGTTAACACCAATGATGTTGAAATTTACGTGGGACAGATAGAATTAACTGTATCAGACACGCCCACCGTCACAAACACTGTATGGAAACGTTTGCAGTTTGTTTTTTTATTTTATATCAACTTGTTTTTCAATATTGTTTTTTCAATTTTGTAGGCGACGAATATTGTTAATACGTCACTATTGTACCTCAACTCTAGCAGCGACCCCTTGCCACTCAATATAGGCATTGTCACCACCCTGCCTGTCGTTTTGTATGTGCCACCAGACACAATGTCCAAGGTTCTCTTTGATATAGAGCTCCCAGTCTACTCTGCTGTGTCTCTGGGATCTATAGAGGATATCAGGGTTTCTTCTAGTGGGAGCAACATCCAGTGTGTCTATGAGGATGAGGCCTTATCCCTGAAATACGAGCGTAGATACAATAGTACAACAAATAATTGTCAGCAAAATCACGGAGAATTGGATATGGGCACCGTTACTAATTCAGGTATAATTACTTGTTACTTATTCCACAAACCAAAATTAAGGTAATATGTTTTATAAAAAACAGTTTATCTTGTAAATCGAGGTTTGTTATGCATACATATTTACTTTCAGGAATATCCCAAAAAGTAGGCAAGTATATAGACACAGATGACGTCATACAGATTGAAGTAGATATCCGTATAAATGATAACGTCCCTGGCACAGCAGGTCCTGAATTTCCGATAAGTCTAGGTGCAAAAGTAGCAGATTATATCGTTATATATGAGAAAAATGTAACCATAACGAGAACAGGAAATGAGAGTCCTAACCTGGAAATAACTGCCTCCTTTAACACTGCCTTATCCACATCGTAAGTAAAGCTTGTCTTTAAGGCGAAACCTCATTATGGCACGCCGATTGGTTCAAAAGTATTTTCTGCACGACCTTAAACAAAAATTACACGAGTAAGTCAAAACTTACACAAAGTGCGGAAAATACACACAAAGTTATTGGAATTTACTCAAACTATACAAAAACTACACAATCAACAAAATATTTACACGATATAATAAAAACATTACACAAACGTAAAAACGAAAACTGCACGAGTGAGAATACAACATCGACATAATGTACGACGCATCCTCATTGCGCACATTTCATTAATATTTTGATGAAACGTTATTAAACAAAAGGATGAGTAATGTGTTAACAATATTAATCTCAGTCTTTCAGAATTACGCTAGACTCTCAAAAATATGCACAACATGTTTTATGCATGTAAAAATTGACAGGCACACAATATGCATATACAATGTACTTAGTAAATCACCCCCCCCCCCGAATAAAAACATTCTACACATTTAAAACACACATATATTATCAGTTGCGTGTTTAATTGTTAGATTTTTTTAAGTCATTCCTCTATTTAGCAATATCATTTGAAAGTTCAAAACATTGATATTATCAATACAGGAGAGCCAGCTCCTCCACCCCCACTGTTGTACTGGATGAGTGACCTATTCACATCGAGAAATACCTCCCTGCTGGTGCTGGAATGAAAGACACCTGTACGCTAATCGATTTATAGTTATTTGACACATCAATAATAATACTAAGCAGAGATTTTCAAAAGTGGAATGCGATACATTTTTAGAAGTATACAGTTAAAAAAAAACGAGCAAATAATTGCGCAACTTTAATTTTAATATTGAAACGAATATATCATTTTAAGTATGAATGTGAAAAAGTAGTACATGTAGTCTTAAATTTTGAACAACGTGTGGTGATTACATAAATACAGGTATCAATGAAAATGTAGTAAAATTATACAGTCGTTTTACTTATGTGAATTTAAGTTTAATTTCTGTTTTTCTAGTGTAGATTATTTTGAATAGGTATAAAGGAGTTAAACAATTTAAAATTATAATATGCAGATACATATACTGTATAGCATCGCTTTTTAAGGTGAGAGGGCGGGGGAAGGGGCAAATTACCTAATAAAAAAATATAATTAGCAAGCAAAAAAGGTAAAGCGTCCAATCTCGAAAATCCTATTTCGTTGAGCATATGTTGTCTTGGAAAATATTTGCCAAACATCGAGCTCCATAAAGAACATGAATTATTTGCATTTTTCAAGAGTGATAAAACGCTTTCTGTGACACTGCTGTATCCATTCTATATTTTTTTATTACATCCTATTTGTAACATTGTATGTATAGATGTACAAGTTAGTAAATCACAATGTTTAAAAGTAACAAAACACAAAAGCACATAGAGTATGTATATTCTCCTTTTATCTGGTCTGTTTTATTAAAATGAAAACATTTATCATGCAATCGCCATTACGAATGAGGGTAATGCTTACAAGAAATGATTTTTTTTTATTGAGTTGTTTATAACTGAAAATATGAGATATCATAGAAGGAAGTCATAACAAAGTAGGCTCAAGATCTCCAACCAAAACTGATCTTTTATAAGTATAAATACATGTGTTTTATGATAATATAATTTTTATGTTTGACGTTAGATCTAAATACATGCTGTGTACGAACATCTAAGGTAATTCCAACTTTTTTTAGTTTAAAAAAATATCCAGCCAAATGAATATAGATATATAAAATTTCCTATTCCGAGTGGTAAAGAAGATAAAATAGGTACAAATAAAAAATACCAAAATTAATTCTAAAGCTTAATGATTATAATCAGTAATAATTCTGCCAATTTCATGAAGAATCAACTTTATTAATCGTTTGATTATGCAAGTGTTAATTTTACATTTATACCAGTAATTTCCGTTAAAGATGTATCTATAAATTAGAAATTTTCAAAAGCTATATAGAGTTTATTTATATAGGAAACAAAACAAAATAATTCTAACATTTTTTTTAAGAAAAGCAAGATCCTAGTCAGTCGTACTGTTTATCGTTAGGTTTTAGTTCGGAGTCGAGTGCATCACATGCAATGTTTTTTTTTACCCCGCAATATACATATACGATTCCTTTTTGTCACAATTTTTGTCCGGCATCAAATAATACTTCCATATATTGGTTAGGATCTCGGTCAATATAGGAAAAACATAATATTTTCGACAAACTGTGAAGTATTCTCACATATAGATCACATGGAAACACTTCATTTGTTTGACTGGCATTAGCTAGGAATCAGATCGAGTTTTAGCAAAGACATAAAGAAGCAAAGTAAAGCACATTTCCATTCTCGATTATACATGAAGAGATAAAGAGTACAGAAAACCAAGAACACAATGAATATTCTATGTGCATAATAATGATATGCGCAGCTGTATGCGCAGTAAAATTGTTTGTGTATATTTTTCGTTTCCTCTGCTCGTGCAATTTTTGATTTTTTGTTTGTGCATATTATACCCCTAAATCGTGCAAAAAATTTCGGATTCGTGTATTTTTCGGTATGTTTGTGTTAAAATCTCTCAAACTATGTGCAATTTTTACCTATACGTGCATTTTTATTTTACTCGTGTATATTTTCATGCAGCTCGTGTATAAAATCTTGATCGTTGTGCAGAAAATATTTTTGAACCAATCGGCGTGCCATATCTCATCGTCTCAAATAACGCGTAACATATCGCATTTTGATTTTGATTGAATCACGATATATATTTTGTAGCTCCTCGATGGTCATTGATGCTATTTTAAAACACACTAATTATACGTCTGCGACAGCTATCAATGCCACAGTGTTCTTTTATTTGCCCCCGTATCTGGAATACAAGCAGATTCAAAGTAATGCTACTCATAACAGTCCACTGGCATCTGAAGGAACGGTAGAAGTACAGGTAATAAGGAGAATCTACTGATTACATTATTTTTAAGTAATATTGTACAAAATAGCTCCTTAGTCCTGTTATGTCAATTCGTTCTTTTTCACAGTTCAATGATTTGACAATGTGTGAGGTTGTCAACATACAGTTGACGTTGGAACCCAATCAAACGATCACCGTCCCTCTTGATATATTGACGGAGAACACGTTGATTGCATATGAAGCAAACGCTTACATGATTTATAACCCAGCAAGCATATACCCCAGCGATAAATATTTTGACACACCGCTTCAATACTTGAACTTCAGTGTAACGGTCACCAAGGCTGGAGGTAACTTCAGTTTGACTTACATATATACTCCAAAGTAAAATGCAGTGATAATTATATCCAAAGCATTGAGAAATACGTTCTAAAGCTAATGTTATCCACTTGCAGTTTGTGATGAACCATTGGGTATGGCTAGCGGACACATAGATGACTGTCAGTTGGATGGATCTATTGAAAATGTGTTGTTAATTTTTTTTTTACTACCCACACATTCAATTCTTCTTAAAATGTCATCATTTAAAGGATATAAACACAAATCTGTGTTTTAAACTATTTTTATAGCATGGAGACCCTTCTCAAGAGGTCCCACATTTTCCAAATATCGGTACTTCCAAGTTTTCTTTGGAAACAAGACTTTGGTGAACAAGATAACAATTCAGAAAGGTACAGGATACACCCATCATCCCACCCAGCTGTCACTCAAATACAGCAATGACGGATACTCCTGGCAAACGGCAGAAAAGGTAGGATATTCAGGGGGATCTAGCTCTAGGGAACTGTATCTGAAACAAAGAGAAAATGGAACAATTGTGGCCCACTTGTGAGAAGAAAAAGAAGGAATGTTCAATAGAAGGATTTTTTTAATTTCTGCATTTTTTTTTACTGTTAAACGCACAGATCCAATAACCAAAAATATGGCAATGTTTAATTTATAATTAACTAAGTAAATAAAAGTCCATAGATTAAAAAGAAATCTTCAGGTGAATAAACTTGATGATTTCCAGTGTTGTGCACACTGTTAACAATAACCTACTAATCTTCTTTAACTTTATCATAAAGGTGACGGTTGCAGCGCCATTTACAGAGACTACTGTCTTCCCACAGAGACAGACCCAGGCCCGCTATATGCGGGTCTATATTGATAAAGATGACACTGTCAATGGATTTCCCCCAGATATTGGACTCAAATTCGAGTTCTATGGCTGCTATCTCAGTGGCGAATTTACCACCACTAGTAAGGAATCGCAGAATATCTGTAGACGATTTATATACAGTTATAAGTTCGCGACAATTTTATTTACTAGTATCATTCTTTTTTAAAAATCTATAAAGAGTTATCTTTCAATGTCTAAAACTTTTTCAGACATTTGCAGTCAGGCACCCAACAATATATCTCCAAATGGTCTGTATCAACATTTTTATTTTCAGAATACTTCAAATGTCCATTTCATTATTTGAAAATAATTTAGAAATCTACAGTTCTAACCTTTGAATGCATACAGTGTTGATTTTAGTTTAAAATATATTTTATTCATTGAATTGGATTGAACAGCAGGCATTAATGCCTATGATTGTTCTCTCCACTGTTGATTTTGATAGTGTTTATAATTTGTGTATTTGTTAATTCTTTTTTGCATTCCCAGATTTCTACTTTCGGAGCTTCCATGCTCTAAGTGACAAAGTTTTAATGTGCGATATAAATCCAAACGACAGGTGAATATCAAGCAAATATTGAACTATATTTCATTTTTGAAGAATAATTTATGGATGGATATGAATTGCATGAAGATATTCATATCCAATCAAAAGTCACTTTTTTTGGAAATACTAGTAGTGGAGTCACATGTTGGTCATGAATCAAGAAGTAAGATGACTAATATACATATACATATTTATTATTTTCTATTCTTTAAGGGACCTGAGACAACATTGTCATTACTCCATGGATGGAAATACATGGGCGGGTATATATGTTTACTTAACTCCAGTTTACTTACCGTTACTTTATATCTCTGTCGTAGTATTCAATGTTCCAGTAATGATACTTCTTCAACATTTGAACCATGTTATTCTTAGCAATGGATAGACGTGTGGCCAGTCTTCTAGGACACGAGTCCTCGGGAAATCTCTTCTTTGCTTATGGTAACGATCAGAGGTCCACTCTAATGAGTAAAGATGGTGGGATCACGTGGGATAATGTACCACGTGACTACTACATAGACACGAGATCAAAAGTTACGTTTATTCCGTCCAAAAATGTCCCGATGCAGGTGACTAACCTTGCAGTAGCCGAACCCCACATGAGTTATCAATTCGGAATCTGGGGAGGTCTGTATGAAATATGACATCACTTTTTGTCAATTTACTGTAAACAATCAGAAACATTATTTTCAAGTTACTGACTGTGTTCTCTCTTTCAGTGACCTTTGAGGGGATGTGGAAGAATTCTGCTGGTGTGTGGAGTAAAGTTGTAGAATGGGACATGTGCTGTTAATGATTAGAGAATTATGATACTCTTTAAACCATAATTTAACTGATATTTGTTAAATGTATTTGTCACGTTGTAATTGTTTATTTTAAATATGCTGTCGTATTTGCCTTTTTTATATGATATAGTTTTCAAAAATTCTGTTATTTTAATCAGTGATAACAAAATCAACGTAAACTGATCTCCTCTGTTGTGAAGAAATAAATGAATAAATATGATTTAACATTGATTGAATGTTATTTAGGATTGACATCACTATTATCCGAGATTGCCCGTCATCATTACAATTGAGCTGTCGATTATCTGCTCCGATTTATTTTATACCTATATATCTAAATTGAATGTATGAACCTTTGTAATTGTAAACTTGACCCTTATGTCAAGTATAATTTCTAGTTGATACGTTTAACTGATGCCGTCCACAACAATGCTGTTGATAACTGACTTTCTTGTAAATCTTAAGGATTTTATTTTTCTAACAAGGGTCAAGAAATACCCGCATTTATCATTTTGATATTATATATATTTTATCTTTTATATCAATAGAATAAAACATGAAATGTTTTAAAACCTTTTTTTATTTCTGGTATATCTACAGACAATGATGGTTTACTCGGATGATAGCACTAAATGAATAGAATCGAACAATGTTTCTCTGAGAAACGTGAAATAATTGTTTAGCCTTCCTGCAAACAAGGCGAAGAAACAGACACATCAACGATCAGAGGAAAGGCCAAGGAATAAAATTTCTTTCAGACAAGTATGTAATCTACATTTAGTTCGAATAGGAATAACAGATGAAGCATGAATCTAATTATATAATGTTTCTCTGAGAAACGTGAAATAATTGTGTGTAGCCTTCCTGCAAACAATGCTGACTGTTGTAATTATTTAGAAACTGAAAATAGACACCTGCAAGTCTAAAAATCTTAGTTATTTTGGTTACTAGTATTTTCTCTAAATAAGTTGGGAGTCCCAAAGCAACACATCTTTATTTTCTGTTTTGTTCGTAAGCCTTATTTGTTTGGAATATTGATAATTTTCTTTTACATCCTTCAATCAAGCGTCATATAAAAAAGCGTTTTAATGACCCTATAAAATCAGTTCATCTAACGATCTGTATGTAATTAGTTTGAAAGTTTGTTGTACACATTAATCTAAAGTTCCTTAGAATAATATAACTGTTTTCAAATAATATTTGTCTATTTTCTCCTTCTTGTGTCAATTGTATAAATTAAGTTTATATATTTAATAAAACTAATCCAGTGAGTGATTGTCTCTATGGCGTAATCGATAAGGCAATAAAATATCTTATATTACATTGCACATTTAAGTAGAGATGTATGTTATATAGAGACAAACTGACAGGAAGCATAATAATATCAAACTTCGGCTTATAGAACAACTGGACTTGGAGATTTCATGCCAGGATAAACTGACTATATACAATAATGTCGCGGAATGCTCTTGACTGCAGAGAATTCCTATCACAGACCACAGTGCACTGTAGAGAATTTATATCACAGAGGAAAGATGACCATCACACCGAGTAGATCACAGAGAAACCGTGTAACGGAGCACAAATTACTGAAGAGAATTTATGTCAGAGAGTAAAGACGACAATTAAAGAATACAGCAGAGAATTCATTTCACAGTGGTGAGCTGTTTGTAAAACACAGATGATTGTAACGAATTCATTCCCAAAGATGAGCTGGCTGTTGTGAATTTTCGTCAAGGAGTACAACCGTAGGAAATTATATTACAGTGGAAAACTGACAATAGAGATTTGTGTCAATAAATACAGCTGATTATAGGGAATTTCATAACAAGATCGAATTCAAAGAAAATTGAAAAGAGGATATGGATATAATTGTAATGGCAACAGAGAACATAAACATGCAGCTGAAGAGAAAAATGAGATTTCGGGGTAAGAGTATAAGAACAAACGCTAGAATAAAACTTTGTTGTCAGAGTCTTGATAAAGGCAAAATGAATAGCAATGAATAGAGGTGTAGGGATATATATGCTTTTGGGGTTCTTCAGAGCTTGTGTTCTACATTTTCAGGAATCGAATCCTTGATGAGATACAATAAGTGTGGGATTGAAGTTCGCTTTACATTAATAGTATACTGAATTGTTTCATTCTTTTCATGCATCCATATCAAAGTTCTTCCAACATATCGTTGTATCGCAATGTCACATAATATATCATGCTTTGATTTTGGGGAAGATTTCCCGCCGCCTCATAATTATCTCTAGACCTTCTTTTCCTTGTTTAAAATTTCACACGCGATAATCAGCTGAGTTTTATTTATTTGACCATGTGATGATGTTAATATCGAAGTAGGAAAGGGATATGCAAAAAAGTATCATATAAATTGTAAGCACATGAAGAAGGATACACTTATAATGATGGTCCTGATCGTAGGAAATACTATACATCATTAAACTATACTCTTGGTATAGTTAAACCTTAGTAAACCTGTTAGTAATGGTAGTATTAGTAATGAATTTTTTTTTCTTATTAAAACTCTTACTTCTTCTAGAGATTGTAACTATAACTTCCAACTTTGTTTGTCATTCTACCACGATTATTGTAAAGATCAAATCAAACCCGGACTAGTAAATAAATTAAACCACAAAAAATAATAGTGAACACGTATCAAATTTGAACAATTTAAATGCATGTTTGGCTGTAGAATGAAATACTTGTTTAGACCGCATATGTGTAATCTTTTACAGTATAAACACTGTATTTTCAAGTTGCTGATGAATGTAGGTTTTTATAGCTAAAGCTAGAAACAAACCCCTACACATTAAACAATGGATATATACATGTGTAAAAGAGGAACATGATTTTGCTATTGTATATTCATTTTAACTGATCAATACATATTACGAACAAATTTGTAATTTAAAAAGGCTATTTTTAATGTAACGAAAGCATAAATCCTCTGCATTCTATACACAGGTAAGCAAACAAATTTTACCTCTGGTGTTAAATGAAACAGCGTAATCCAGACATGGTGACCTAATTCGTTTCTCTATATAACGATTATCCGTAATTTAGCGATTGTAGTATACATAATTATACGACACAGTCAAAGTCCTTGTTGTCGTGAAACCTGTTAGTAATGGTAGTATTAGTAATGGATTAATGGATTTTTACTTCTTACTTTTTCTAGAGATTGTAACTATAACTTCCAACTTTGTTTGTCATTCTAAGCGGTTTTTTAAAAATTGTCTTTTCCAGTGCATATTTTGACTTTTATGATAAGTTCAGATAACTAAAGTAAAAAAGATCTTTCTATTTGTTTTATTCTTTATATAAAGATAGGACTTTCCTGTAAATTAAACAATTTAAACCAATAGCGTTTCAAAGATATTAAAAAGTTAAAAACAATAATCGAGTTATTGACAAAGTTTAAGGAGACTTGAAGTTACATATTTTAGTTCAAAATCTGTGCCCATTTTAATTTTAATATCATGTATAATTAGAAACTTATTTTCATATCATTATTTTAGCTAAGATTTTTTGGCTTATTAAACTTTTCTCTTGGCTTTTCTAACATTAATGCTCTAACGAGGGTAATTCTAAAAGTAAAGGTAAAAATTCTTACTTTTAAAGTTACTTTTTTATCATGGCTGCTTCAACTTTCAACTTGTCTTCTCTATAGAGAAATAAAATTTACTGTCTTTTTCCCTATGAAGAAATAACAATGACAAAAAATCATTGGTAATAAAAATCTGTTTTTATTTCCATAAGAATAGTATTATATCTAATTAAAATGGAATGTTTCTCTCTTTTCTTTCTGTTTACTCAATAAAAATCTGTAGACAAAATGTTTCATTGTCTATCTTTGGAATGCGTAACAAATGGATACTTTCTCCAAAACAAACAAATAAAAAATAACACAAAGAAATAACATCTTTAAAATGAGAAAATTCCCATGTTCACTATGAGAGGAACAATGTATTATCTTTGGTGTCCCAGTGAGCTCATGCCAGTCCATGTGTGTTGTAAATTGATAAAATGATTCTAATAAATATTCAAGAGATGAAGAAAAAGTTCCGCAAACCCTGTATTACTGAAGAATGAGCTTTTAAGGTATACTTTGATATGTTTATAACATACTATGGTCAGTAAGGGCAGATCTAAGATACATTCTTAGTTTGTAGTATACAATGGTTCACAGTTCCATTTTATAAACAGCGTCTGTCATATAAAAAGTCTGAATTTGCTCTCTAAACTATAGCAACATGTAAGTACAGAAATATCTTTTTTTCTGTATACAGTATAAAAATTCTTGTTTCTTTGAAAAAAAAAATTGTGATGAATATAAAAATTTCTTTCTGATAAACAGTTAGGAATACATGCATGTATACGTGCAAAAATAACATAAAGCCTCGAATCTAAAGAAAAAAAAAGAACACTATTTACCTATCATCAATGGCAATAATCAAAATATGTCATGGTAAAATCAAAACTGATAACATTGACGAGTCTATCAGTTAATGTACAGTCATCAGTGATGCATTTATGTTCATTCAATATATAAATATATAAATGTGCCATATATACATGTTTTTAAATACCATTAAAATGTTTAAAGGCAAATACACAAGCTACCCCTATTACATGTATACATTGATCAATGTAGATTCTGAATTCACAACAAATCTGGACGGCTACATACTGTTATATTTTTTCAACAACCATGTACATGCATGTATTTTAAAGCTTTGCTAAAATAAATAAAATTAATAGCATATGTAAAACTGCTAGAAGAAAATCCTTCCTGCCATTTGGTTTATACTGAATGTCTAAATCCGATGTCCCCAGTGATAAGTGGGAGTGGTCTTGGAGTTCAAGCCAGGCTCCCCCACCATGTGATGAGAGGGGCCGGTCTCTGTATCCCCCCACCCCATCCCCAGTGCATGATGTGACCCGATTACTGCTGAGGACTCAGAGATCCGTCTCTATGGGACTGGCTAGTGGAGATTTCTCCTCCTCCTCTTGGTTTCCGTAGTGATAGTCCGTACAGTTTTCGGTATTGACGTAGGTACTTTGTATATTTGATCTATGCTGCCCTTGTTTCATCTTGTGCTCCAACACCGCTAACATCTCCTTAATAGAGGTCACTAACTCACTAAACTGAGGTCTGTTGTTAGGGTCAAACTCCCAGCAATTCCTCATCACTGTATACCTATAAATAAATATCACGACTCATTACATCATGTCTAGTAATGATGTCGTCATACAGCTCTCTGTGTTCACAGGTATGCATCGTTATTGGCCCTGGGGTCCTACACTGAGTGAATCAGTTATACAACATAGGATAACAGCATCAGTCAGTAAATATGAAATGTAGATAAAACCAGACTTACAGGGGGTCTGGACAAAATGGAGGCTGTGGCATCCTTCTGTTCTTCTTGATATACCTCAGTACGTCCCAGTTATCCACCTCTGGGTATGGATTAACTCCCCTGGTCATCAGCTCCCACAGCACCACACCAAAGGACCACTGAAAGACAACAGATACAACAGATGATAAAGGTTTGTTGATTTTTGTTCTACTTTTGTCAACAGCAATACTCCATAAACAACAATTAATTTTAAGAGGGGGGGGGGTCTTTGAATATTACCATAAAAATTGAATTGTACTGTCCATTAATTATCTTTGATGAGAAAATTTCACAAAATGTTTGCTTTTTTCTGCCCTACAACAAAAAAATGACTTTGATGGATCAGGTTAGGCATTTTTTCATTTACATAACTTTATTTCTATTAACAAATTTATTTTCATTTAAATCACAAAGAGAATATGGTAGAATTTAATGAAAAAAAAAATAATTAAGAATATTTAAGGAATCACTGTCTAGTTTTGAGAGTATGCCAGGGCATCAACAATAGTGGGAAACATGGGATAATTTGCATAACGGGCGAAGCCCGTTATGCTAAAATTATCCCATGTTTCCCACTATTGTTGATGTCCCTGGCATACTCTCAAAACTAGACAGTGATTCCTTATATTTCCATTTCATTGTGAAATAAAATTGCAGACTTAGACATTAAGAATGTAGACTAATCGATTTAAATTACACGAGGACTTCCATGCCAGTTTCAATAGTCCTCGCACACTGACGTCAAACACAAAGGCAGCCGCACGAGATTTACATGCATATTTGGCCTCCTTAGCGTCAGACACAGACAGATCCGCATGAGATTTGCATGCGTATTAGGCCTCCTTAGCTGCTGACCTATCGACCTGCCTAATTTACATTCTGGCAGAATTATCAGGAAATCAACTCCGCTTACTTTCAAAGGGTTATTATGGAGAAAAAAATTAGAAATGGAAATATTTAAAATTCAATGGAATGAAACCTTGTGAAAATGATACATTCATATTAGTACTGAAATCACACAGTATTCTGTGTTGAAGAGCATATATAAAAGTGATATGAGGATTTAAATATATTCATTTTCAATTTCACTGCTTGAATTAAATTTTAAATGAAGAAAAGTCCAACTTACAAAAAATACCTAACGAATTCCCTATGGGAGAACCGAGAGACTCGTACCACACTGGCAATGCTATTTTACTTTGGTAAATGACCATGACATGGTCAACCAAATAAATCTGAAAAAAGTCTACCAATAACATGCAATGTCTGAATGGCCAGCTATCCATTTACCTGTTATAAAACTTAATTACCACATCAGACTTGAAGCTATAGCTGCCCTATTCTCTATCGTTAAGCAGCTGACTTACCACATCAGACTTGCAGTTTTAGGTGCCCTTCTCTCTAAGTTATATAACTGACTTGCCACATCAGACTTGGAGCTGTAGGTGCCCCTCTCTCTAAGTTATATAACTAACTTACCACATCAGACTTGGAGCTGTAGGTGCCCTTCTCTCTAAGTTATATAACTGACTTACCACGTCAGATTTAGAGCTCTAGGTGCCCTTCTCTCTAAGTTATATTTATAACTGACTTAATACATCAGACTTGGAGCTGTAGGTGCCTGTCTCTCTAAGTTATATAACTGACTTACCACATCAGACTTGGAGCTGTAGGTGCCCTTCTCTCTAAGTTATATAACTGACTTGCACGTCAGACTTGGAGCTGTAGGTGCCCTTCTCTCTAAGTTATATAACTGACTTACCACCTCAGATTTAGAGCTGTAGGTGCCCTTCTCTCTAAGTTATATAACTGACTTTCCACATCAGATGTAGAGCTGTAGGTGCCCTTTTCTCTGAGTTATATTTATAACTGACTTATCACATCAGACTAGGTGCCCTTCTTTCTAAGTTATATAACTGACTTACCACATCAGACTTGGAGCTGTAGGTGCCCTTCTCTATAAGTTATATAACTGACTTACCACTTCAGATTTAGAGCTTTAGGTGCCCTTCTCTCTAAGTTTTATGACTGACTTACCATGTCAGATTTAGAGCTGAAGGTGCCCTTCTCTCTAAGTTATATAATTGACTTACCACATCAGATTTTAAGCTGTAGGTGTCCTTCTCTCTAAGTTATATTTATAACTGACTTATCCATCAGATTTGGAGCTGTAGTTACCCTTCTTTCTAAGTTATATAACTGACTTACCACATCAGACTTGGAGCTGTAGGTGCCCTTCTCTCTAAGTTTTATCACTGACTTATCACATCAGACTTGGAGCTGTAGGTGCCCCTCTCTATTATTTGCTGACTTACCACATCAGACTTGGAGCTTTAGGTGCCTGTCTCTCTAAGTTATATTCATAACTGACTTAACACATCAGACTTCGAACTGTAGGTACCCTTCTCTCTGTTGTTAGCTCACTTACCACATCAGACTTGGAGCTGTAGGTGCCCTTCTCTCTAAGTTATATAACTGACTTACCACTTCAGACTTGGAGCTTTTGGTGCCCTTCTCTCTAATTTATATTTATAACTGACTTACCACTTCAGACTTGCAGTTGTAGGTGCCCTTCTCTCTAAGTTATATAACTAACTTATAACATCAGATTTGGAGCTGTAGGTGCCCTTCTCTCTATTATTTGCTGACTTACCACATCAGACTTAGAGCTGTAGGTGCCCTTCTCTAAGCTTTCGGGTGCCATCCATTTGACTGGAAGTTTACTCTTTTTGTTGTCACTACTGTAATAGTCTCTCTCGTATATATCTCGTGACAAACCAAAGTCTGCAACAATGGCTCTGTACTCCTCATTAAGCCTGGAATGATAGAAAAGTCAGCCAACAGTTATCAAATCAGTACAGTTTACTTCATAGATTTATATACACAGCGAATATACAATGTTATTGATATCTCATGATTCTGACCAGTTGAGGAAAGCTTACATGCAATTCCGACATGCCAAGTCTCTATGTACAACTTTAAGAAGAGATAAGTACTCCATTCCTTTGGCAATATCAACAGCAAACAGAATGAGATCCTTTATAGTGGGGTTCTGTAATCATAAACAGCAATGTTTGACTTAAGTCACCATGTAACCCATGACACTTTGCAAGGTTAAACTATGATTTGATTTATACAAGACCAATTCAAGTACAGTTTTATATAATTTACTGAGTAAAAGTTTCTAAATATTGAACAAGACAGATATACTCACATTGTGTTCATTCCTAATATAAGTCAGTAAATCTCCATGCTCCATATAAGGCAGTATGACAAGGGGCATGGCGTCATAGTTAAAGCAGATCCCAATCAGGGTCAACACATTAGGGTGGTGGAAATCCTTCATACGAAGCGCCTCATCAATGAACTGGCTGATGTCAATTTCTCTAGGACTGTTTTCTGTATGAAAATACAGTAAAACTCAGTTATAACAAAGTCACTGGGACCTACGAAATTACTTCACTATATCCGTAATTCATTATATCAGTATAAGGAATTCATTAAATTTACATAGCTACGGGTCCAAGTTAACTTCCCTATATCTGTAAATTTGCAATATCCATGTTCGTACTAAACAAGTTTTACTGTAAAGCAGAATTAAATGACGCACACCGACTGACTTGTATCATCAAATCTGTCACAATCTATGTTGAGTGTATTACAACTTACGGTGTAGGGTTTTCACAGCTACCATTGTTTCAGTTTTAGATCCTGGATAGGTAATATATCCTTTGTATACACATCCAAAATGACCTGCAATAAAAGGTTTGTAAATTATGACATCAGAAACACTTATAATAAGGTTCAATTCAGGCTTCCCAAAAAATTAAATTGATTAAAGACTGAATAAATCTTCACTAAAAAAAAAAGGGGGGGGGGGAGAAGAAGAGGCTGATTAAGCCTTATGATCTGACCTCTGCCCAGTATTTCCCCCATTGACAGCCAATCATGTTCTATCAGAAGATTTTTGTCTCGTAACACAAGGACTGTTGACTCGTCCAATACCACGGCCGCCGAATCTCCTCTCGACAAGTCAGCGGCATCATCCCGACTCTCTGATAGGTGGCGCTCCTGATAATCTGAAATGTGCAATTCTATCTCAGTCAGTGATGGAGACATAACCAACATATTTACAGGGCATTTCTAGGTACTAGATACTTTTTGGATGGGGTCATAATTTCTTGGAAAGCATTCTCTGTTCCATAAAATGGCACAGATGTAATGTGCCAATGATTTCCAAACACTGCATATAAATCTATTTTAGACTGTGTTAAAGATGTATTGCTAAATCATCACAGGATTTTACATAAGTTGCCTGGAATATGCTGATTTATTTTTTTTTAATCAATTTCCCTGGAGTAGGCATACCTGGCCTTAGCTCCCCTGCCTTAATACACAGAAGTTTGTAAATAGTGACTCCACTCACCGTTAGCCCTGTTGTCTCTTTCAAAGTCAAATGTTGTCCCATCAGGGTTACTCAGGCCAGTGAACTGGACCTGCCCCTGACCATTGGCATATCCTGCAGTGTAGCCTTTCTTTGTGAATGGACCACATCGTTTCTTGTAAACGATGATGAGTACAATGATAGCGATGATGATAATAGCAAGCACAATGGCGATGACGATGATCAGAGTTGGTGACTCAGAGGAGGGACCCCCAACATATTTTAGATTTCCGATGTCAAAGGTCAAATTAACTCCAACCTTCACCTGTAAAAAGAACAAAAGGTCAAAATGCCTTATAATATTATCTTACATATATTTTTTATTGTATTGTTAGATAATTATTGTTCTGTAATTTTCAGATTTCTTTTTCATGAACTTTTGTCAAGGTCAAGGATCAAGCTCATTATTAAAAACATCTTTACATCTTCAACATAATTCTGTTTTTTCAGGTATCTACTAATTTCCACTCTTCCTCAAACATACCTTTACACGATGATATGGCCCACTGTCTTCTGTCTTTGAAGGTTTGTTTTGTGGTTTACAGTACAGTAAGTTGCTCTGAAGCAATTTAACCACGCACATGCTGTTGCCAATGGTTACAGTCACATCTCGTGGTGTTATCCCTTTATCAATGTGCTCACCCTGTAAACAGACAAAGCAATAGGTTCAAGGGCTACATAGCTTTCTTTATTCCCTGCCTCTTACTCTACACAATAGCTCCAGTGAACATGCCATAAATGTGAGATGTTTTTACTCAATTTGTAGTAATCAAGTAGTCCAAGATTAATAAAATAAACAATTTGTGTGTGTGTTTAACCCACTTATGAAGTTTACAAAGTGACTTCTTTTTATCAGTTCTTCAATGTCTTTGAAATAGATATGGCTTTACATTATATAATTTCCTCAATGTTCAAAATAATTTTGATTTAGAGCATAGAATGGTTCATAATGATGAAATGAACTCACTTTTATAGTCAGTAAATCCTCTGATAGATCAAACAGCCTCACAGACTTGAAGCGATCAAACATAGGACTGGGGTAGTAAGTAAAGCGACTCAGGGCCAGGGAATGTTTATCTAACTCTCTCAGCTCCTTTATTCCATCCATCTTGAACCAGATGGATACTATTTTAGGAATTTCGGGGTCCACTGGCTCTGACAGAAGCTCCTGGATGCTCGGTGAAGGACAAATCATTCTGGTTCCATTTGCTGTTGCTTTACAGTTCTGAAATATAATGAGAAAATGGGAATCTTCCTAATTTTCAACCTTAGGGTATTAGTCTCTAGTTTTTCTTTGTTTTGTTAAAAAACGCCTCAAATCTGGCTTACCCTGAGATCTGTATCTTTCCCATCTACAGTGGCACCAATCTGAGGCTGCCGTACCACATTCAGGTTCATCCCTGTCACAACAATTTCCAGTCCACCACTACAAATCAGAATCAAAATTAAAATATCCCTGTCACAACAATTTTCAGTCCACCACTACAAGCAGTGTAAAATTAAACAAGCACTGAGCCACAGAACCAATATTTTCCTTACAAGGTAACAAGCTACTTACTCCACAATGGAGGTTTTAGGTTGTATGCTGGATATTGTGGAATCATTGACATAGGCAAACATCTGTGAACTGTTAGTATGGCTGCCATCTATTTGGACTGAGACGTGAGCGGCGGTAATCAGGGAGGGATACAGGGACTCCAGGGCTGAGGTTTTGTAGGTCACTGTCGAGGACACCACTCCACGCCCAGTCAGACAGACAATAGAGGAACGGTGTTTACTGTAAAAACAACAGGTCTGCTATATAAACAGCTAGCAAGGTTATGCCAGATAAAATGTAATTAAATAAATGTACATAAATATGTACTACTACTACAGTAAAACTCATTTAGTATGAATATGGATATTGCGAATTCACGGCTACATGTATAATGAAGTCATCTTGGATCCCCAGCTTTGTAAATTTCATGAATTTCTTACACGGATATATCAAATTAGGGATATAGCGAAGTAATTTCATAGGTCCCAGCAACTTGGTTATAACTGAGTTTTGCTGTAACAATAATTCATAGGAAGCTTCAAGATTTTTTATAAAGCATGTAGTGTATCTTAAAAATATCAGACAAGTTTTTCATTTTAAACTAATCTGTATATGTACCTCTGAACCCTGCACTCTGCCTCTCCTATAGATACACGGAGGTCTGAACCAATGTCCAGGTTATCTCCACTTATTGTCAGTGACGTACCACCTGAGACTGGACCCAGAGTCGGGGAAATCCCCGTAATAACTGGTACCTATTGATCAAGATATGGCTGGTCAATGCTTACTATTTTTAAAATGGACATTAAATTATATGTATAATAAAAATAACACAATATAACTGAGGAACTAATTCTCACCTGATAATGGAAGTCTACAGGGGCTGAGGTGCCACTTATTTTATATCCTAGGTGTGTGGTGTCTTTTACTGTCAGTAAGATTTCTGCTGCTCCATGACTCGGTGATGGAGGGGTCCTACACTGTAACCTGGGTAAATCCGAAGGTCATACATATAAAGTCAAACCAAGCCTGGTGTAACACACAAAGTATTGTAAAACTAGTCTAATCTGGCCACTACTGGATACACAGAATTTAACTATATCAGACAATTTTTAAAAACTGAATTTACTGAAAAAGACTTAAATTGAGTTCATATGAACAAAATCTGGATTCAACATACCAAAGGATAAACAGAATGGTAATTTTCTTTAATAGAAATTCTTTGCTAAAAGCCTAGAGGTCCACTCTAGCAAAATCCTAATTTTTATGAATGCCTACGCGTAATCTTCGGTAATCATTATATCCCAACTTCACTAAAGGCATGGGATGGCCTCTCTAGTATACATGTACCTTATACTTTACTGAGGGCAAAAAAGTTCTTAAAAAAATCATTCTTTCCCCCTTAAATATTGTCTGGAAGGTGACATCCCAATTATTGGCATGCAAATGAACAAGGCTAGACTGTATACCGTACAAGTAGAATTTTTAGCGAGGATTTAATATTGGCATTATTAGCGAGGGTTCTGAGATCGCTATAATTAAATATCGCAAAAAATAACCTTTATCTAAATTGTAATAGCTTCTTTAGAAAGGATTTTAAAATCGCTAAAATTACTTCTCGCTAAAAATAAAACACCATATTTTAGGACAAATCGCTATATTTGAGTCTAGCTAAATTTCCACTTATACAGTATATAAATGGAAATCTTAACTTACATAGTCTCATTCTTCCTCTGGCTTTGTATAGAACAATCACTTCCATTAAGGGAGACCTTCACCTCTGTGGCCCTGGCTGTTCCAAAATTTCTCCCTTGCAGAGTTAACAGGGTTTGTCCCTGGGTGGGGCCAGCTGAGGGGGTAACCTATAAAGGTAAATAAAGTACATGTATTACAAAATAGACCTGGCTGATGAACAATAAAGTGTTAGTTTTTTAAAGTATTTCAAAAAAAATTGTCAGATATAACTTGTGAGAATGTATCTTTGATACCTGTGATAAACTACAGGACTATTAGACATGTGACAATGATACCTATGATATTATACATATGTGATATAACTGATAGACATGTGACAATTATACTTGTGATATAACTGGGAGACATGTGACCTTGATACCTGTGATATAACTGATAGACATGTGACATTGATACCTGTGATATAATTGATAGACAGGTGACATTGATACCTGTGATATAACTGATAGACATGTGACATTGATACATGTGATATAATTTGGGGAGATGACAATGATACCTGTGACATAACTGGTGGACATGTGACATTGATACCTGTGATATAACTGATAGACATGCGACATTGATACCTGTGATATAACTTGGGGACATGACATTGATACCTGTGACATAAATGGTGGACATGCGACATTGATACCTGTGATATAACTGATAGACATGTGACATTGATATCTGTGATATAACTGATAGACATGTGACATTGATACCTGTGACATAACTTGGGGACATGACTTTAATACCTGTGACATAAATGGTGGACATGTGAAATTGATACCTGTGATATAACTGATAGACATGTGACATTGATATCTGTGATATAACTGATAGACATGTGACATTGATACCTGTGACATAACTTGGGGACATGACTTTGATACCTGTGACATAAATGGTGGACATGTGAAATTGATACCTGTGAAATAACTGATAGACACGTGACATTGATACCTGTGATATAACTGATAGACATGTGACATTGATACCTGTGATATAACTGATAGACATGTGACATTGATACCTGTGATATAATTGATAGACAGGTGACATTGATACCTGTGATATAACTGATAGACATGTGACATTGATACATGTGATATAATTTGGGGAGATGACAATGATACCTGTGACATAACTGGTGGACATGTGACATTGATACCTGTGATATAACTGATAGACATGCGACATTGATACCTGTGATATAACTTGGGGACATGACATTGATACCTGTGACATAAATGGTGGACATGCGACATTGATACCTGTGATATAACTGATAGACATGTGACATTGATATCTGTGATATAACTGATAGACATGTGACATTGATACCTGTGACATAACTTGGGGACATGACTTTAATACCTGTGACATAAATGGTGGACATGTGAAATTGATACCTGTGATATAACTGATAGACATGTGACATTGATATCTGTGATATAACTGATAGACATGTGACATTGATACCTGTGACATAACTTGGGGACATGACTTTGATACCTGTGACATAAATGGTGGACATGTGAAATTGATACCTGTGAAATAACTGATAGACACGTGACATTGATACCTGTGATATAACTGATAGACATGTGACATTGATACCTGTGATATAACTGATAGACATGTGACATTGATACCTGTGATATAATTGATAGACAGGTGACATTGATACCTGTGATATAACTGATAGACATGTGACATTGATACATGTGATATAATTTGGGGAGATGACAATGATACCTGTGACATAACTGGTGGACATGTGACATTGATACCTGTGATATAACTGATAGACATGCGACATTGATACCTGTGATATAACTTGGGGACATGACATTGATACCTGTGACATAAATGGTGGACATGCGACATTGATACCTGTGATATAACTGATAGACATGTGACATTGATATCTGTGATATAACTGATAGACATGTGACATTGATACCTGTGACATAACTTGGGGACATGACTTTAATACCTGTGACATAAATGGTGGACATGTGAAATTGATACCTGTGATATAACTGATAGACATGTGACATTGATATCTGTGATATAACTGATAGACATGTGACATTGATACCTGTGACATAACTTGGGGACATGACTTTGATACCTGTGACATAAATGGTGGACATGTGAAATTGATACCTGTGAAATAACTGATAGACACGTGACATTGATACCTGTGATATAACTGATAGACATGTGACATTGATATCTGTGAGATAACTGATAGACATGTGACATTGATACCGAAGATATAACTGATAGACAGGTGACATTGATACCTGTGATATATCTGATAGACATTGATACCTGTGATATATAACTGATAGACATGTGACATTGATATATAACTGACATTGATACCTGTGACATAACTTGGGGACATGACATTGATACCTGTGACATTAATGGTGGACATGTGAAATTGATACCTGTGATATAACTGATAGACAGGTGACATTGATACCTGTGATATAACTGATTAGACATGTGACATTGATATCTGTGATATAACTGATAGACATGTGACATTGATACCTGTGATAATTGATACACATGTGACCTTGATACCGGAGATATAACTAATGGACATGTGACATTGATATCTGTGATATAACTGATAGACATGTGACATTGATACCTGTGACATAACTTGGGGACATGACATTGATACCTGTGACATTAATGGTGGACACGTGACATTGATACCTGTGATATAACTGATAGACATGTGACATTGATATATGTGATATAACTGATAGAGAGGTGACATTGATATCTGTGATATAACTGATAGACATGTGACTTTGATACCTGTGATATAACTATTAGACATGTGACATTGATACCTGTGATATAACTATTAGACATGTGACATTGATACCTGTAATATAACTATTAGACATGTGACACTGATACTTGTGATATAACTGGGGGACATGTGACATTGATACCTGTGATATAACTGATAGACTTGTGACATTGATACCTGTGATATAACTATTAGACATGTGACATTGATACCTGTAATATAACTATTAGACATGTGACACTGATACTTGTGATATAACTGCGGGACATGTGACATTGATACCTGTGATATAACTGATAGACATGTGACATTGATACCTGTGATATAACTATTAGACATGTGACATTGATACCTGTGATATAACTGGTAGACATTGAAACCTGTAGTGGACATGTGACATTGATACCTGTGATATTACTGGGGGACACGTATTGTTCAGCCACTGTCCTGGCTGTCCTGAGCTGGTCGGTGGGGGGTTGATACACTTGGTTCTGGTGGAGCAGTGATTGACACACCAGCCACACCCCGTCGGGTCCTTACTCCCTACACATGCCTCACATGTTGTGTATCCATCACACGTGTAGAGAGGAAACTTGTACAACTGTTATCAAACAAAAAATGTCCTTTGTCATTTTATCATATGATAAATTAATGTTCATTTTTAAAAATTATATTTTACCTGGTTATATGCTGGTCAAAAAATCAAAATGATTATCTGAGGCAAAGTTTTCATTTAAGTCTGTTATCAATGCAATAACCAAGTTAATCTGCTTTGAATACAATAAAGTAACTGTTATAATTTTTAAGAACATCATTTACATTGTTGAAATGCCAAGAATGCATCAGGAAATTCCAGTAAAATGAAATCCTGTATGCTGATAATATAAATTTTAAAAACATGAAGAAATTATCATACAATAAGGTTATATGCAATGTGCTATATAGGGTCATTAATAATTTTCCTAGATTATCTTATTAAACAATCACAAAACCATCAGATGGTCTTTAAAAAATCAGCACATATTACAAGTGATTTGGATTGATATCACCTGATGAAAATAAATAACATACGTATTTAAGAAATTGTTAGAATGCTTATAGACAGGGGATAACAAAATTCAAAAATTCGTCACAGATAAATGCCGGTAATTATAAACTTACCATTTGATCGGCAATAAGAAAGACGTGTGTCTGACTCCTGTCCACCTCTGACTGACCAGTTATTGCCGTGTCTGTTATATTCCAACTTGTCAGATAATGACCCTGGCCAGTCATTAACACCTATAAAACATGTACAATACAGTTTTAATGTTACCTTTTTAATAATTTGTTTGTTTGTTGCTTAACATCCCTATCAAGAATTTTTCATCCGATATTGACCACTTGCTGGTGGAGAAACCACTGCAAATTTCATCTTATACTTGGCACTCAGAGCCATTGAGCAAGGAGGGGTCTTTTTGTGCTAGCAACTACTGCGACAAGGGATCTAGGTTTACATGGTCTCATTTAAAAGGACCAGTCTCCATGTCCCATAGTGGCATTTGAACCCGCGACGTAAGGAAAAACTCCTGATTCTAGGATCATAGCGCAGACGCTTTTGACACTGTGCCACACAGGTGACTTCAATAATTTGGAAAAAAGTAACTAATATTACTCATAAAGCCATTCAAAGTTTATTGTAAGTATAGTGTCCCTGCTTAAATCAAACAACTGCCTTCCTATCTGTGAAGAACAAACCAAGAGTTATTTTCATAACCTTAAAGCCAATTTGTCTGTGGACCCTAAACATAGAAAACATTTGGATTGGCCTAATTTATAGAAATAATGACAGAAAACAGTAATTACCTTGGTAACTTGCCCAGTGTTGGTGCCTAGAACTGCTATTCTTTCTCTGCTTTGTAACACTGTGACAACAGATGTCAGCAGTTTGTCAGGCACATGGTACAGAGAATTATGGCTCAGTTTAAAGTGGTCACTGTTTGGACTGGTAGCACTCTCCTGGATTCCAATATTAGTCAACAATCCACAGAAACTTTTCTGGTCATATGTCATCTGTATAGTAAAGTAGAGATGCTACTGAGTTCAGGGGGAATAACTAGGAAGATTGAGACATTTAATATAACACAAATATACAAACAAACAAAAATCCTATACTAAATGAAAACTGTTCAAATATAACAGGCACTTTCTGTGATATCAAAAATGAAGGTTTTTTTATATTATGTTTTTGTTCTTATTACTCACGGGTGGTTAGGGATGTGACCTTGGCCCCCTCCCTCCTCGACTTAAAGTTTCTTGGACTTATTTTAATGATACTTAGTATCAGAGAGTATGAATTTTTATAGAGAAGCTATAGTTAGTTTAGCAAAAATTTTGGACTTTTTCATTTGTAACTCTGTGAATATGTCAGAGAAATATATTTTATTTAAACAAGAAACGTTTGTAAAATAATTATGCCTGTATCCCCCAAATACTTGGAGTTTTTCTAAGTCCTAGAAAATTGTACCCAGAACAGAGTTTGACATAGAAATTCTTATGGTATTGGTGTCAAAATTGGTAAAAACTAGATTAATTGATCAATTTAAGCAGAATTGGTATGCCTGTATTTTTGGGATGCCAAAAACCCTTAATTATAGGATATCTAAATTAGAACATTATTTTGAAAATTATTTGATATATCTACCAAAGGATTTGAGAAAAGCTTTACATAAATTTAGATGTATGAATCACAGATAAATTCCTATTGAAAAAAGTCGATTTGGGGAGTTGACAGAGATGATCGTATTTGTGATCTTTGTTCCTCTAACAATTTAGGAGATGAATTCCACTATCTTTTAAAATGTTCTCTTTTCAAGAGTGAACGAAAACAAGAGGCCCATGGACCACGTCGCTCACCTGAGAAGCTTTCACCATTCCGTTCTTTACCAGATTTCCCCCATGTAATACATATTGTGACCCCACCCTGCCCCACTGATCATAATTTAGACAATTTGAAATCTACACTACACTAGGATGCTTCGATTCCCCATTGTAAAACTTTGATTCCCCATTGTGGCCCTGCCCTACCCCCAGGGGTCATGATTAGAACAATTTAGAATCTCGCTACCCCAGGATGCTTCCACATAAGTTTCAGCTTTTTCTTGCCCAGTGGTTCTTGAGAAGAAGATTTTCAAAGATATTTCCCATATATTTCTATGTAAAACTTTGATTCCCCATTGTGGCTCCACCCTACCCCCATGGGTCATGATTTGAACAATATAGAATCAACACTACCCCAGGATGTTTCCACGTAAGTTTCAGCTTTTATGGCCCAGCAGTTCTTGAGTAGAAGATTTTCAAAGATTTTTCCTGCATATTTCTATGTAAAACTTTGATTCCCCATTGTGGCCCCGCCCTAACCCCGGGGGTCATGATTAGAACAATTTAGAATTTACACTACCCCAGGATGCTTCCACATAAGTTTCAGCTTTTCTGGCCCAGTGGTTCTTGAGAAGAAGATTTTTTAATGACCCCACCCTATTTTTGTCTTTTCTTGATTATCTCCCCCTGTGAGGGGACTTTGCCCTTCATTTTAACAATTTAAATTCCCCTTCACCCTTCACCCAAGGATGTTTGTACCAAGTTTGGTCAAAATTGGCCTAGTGGTTCTTGAGAAGAAGTCAAAAATGTGAAAAGTTTACAGACGGACAGACAGCTAGACAGCTAGACGGACGGACGACGGACAAAAGGTGATCGGGAAAGCTCACTTGAGCCTTTGAAAACTACCATGTAACAATTTATTTTGTATAAGCAGAGGCCTTCCATACTTCATTGTTTGAACTATACATGTGAATTGTAAATAACATTAGTGCCACTCATTCCTTCATGCATTCTTGTTTTATATCTTGTATGATTTGTATACATGTACTCCAGTTGGTCTATGTCTTAAATAAAAACTTGAAACTTTTATGATAAATCTGTATACCAAATTTCATTTCAATATGTTCAATCTCTGCAAAGAAAATGAAAAGAAACTGCAATTAATTGGAATTTTTCTAAGTTGGAGGGGGGGCATAAGCCACAAAACTCTGTCAAAAATGGTCCGATCTTACTTAAAACAGAACTTGGCCTAGATATTACTCTGATTACACTGTATACCAAATTTCATTTCAATATGCACAATTTCTGCAAAGAAAATGAACGGAAACTGCACATAATTTGATTTTTTTTTAAGTCCAGGGGGGCATAACTCTGTCAAAAATGGTCTGATTGTAACCAAAACAAAACTTGGCCTAGATATTCTTATGATAAAGAGGGGGTTAAAAGTTAAAGAACCCTTGGGGTACAGAACACAAGGGAGAGGGGTTGTCCTATCCCCAAGCAGCTGTGCAAGTTACTTACATCTCGTTCACAGTTCCTAACTTCTGATAAGCTTTTTCCCACTAGCCAGGTTACTTGACTTCCTATGCCTTCAGTAAAGCACTGATCCTGTAACTCCTCAAATTTCTGAACAATATCCAGAATATCATAGAAACACAGAACGGACCCCAGGGAAGGATCAGCCTCAGAATCACCGCTCGTCCTCCCTAGCGTCACCGCTAATCCCATGGAAAAATCCCTGGCAGGGGATCCATTATAATAGGCATCAATGGCGATATCGTAAACGACAGATTTAGACACACACTGTAGGGGAAGCTCAGTGTACGAGGCATACGTTTGGTCCTTTTGGCAAATCCGAATGATTTTTGTTAGAAACCTTGGTGTACGTGCTAGGGCATCCTCCATTTGAACTGATATAAAATAAGTATGGTTCTCGTACTCAAAACCATAAATGTAGTATGCTCTGAACTTGTTTATAAGAGATGAATGAACATCAACATATGTGTGATACATAGACCCGTTGATATAATATTTGAATTCCTTGTCTTTAGCATGGTAATCTCGGGTAGAAATGGCTGCTGGTTGGAATTGTTTGGGTCTGCCATCCCTCCCCATGGCAACATATAACAGATCACCACCACCTCCCATAGGTTTATTGCCAAAAAAAGCAAACACATGCCTCTTGTTGATGCTGCCTACAAAGTTGGTTACACTGTTTGTCAATCTGAGAACATGACTAATGTTCCTGGTGTTTCTAAGCTCACACCTGCCCTGCCAGAGGGAGCCACACACCAGCATATACCCCGTCCCTTTATCGTAGGCCAAGATATTGACCTGATTATTTGTGGGGGTTCTTCCCTCACTACATGCCCCCGTAGGGTCCGGAGAACACTGGGGGTTGTCATTCCAAGGGCCCATAACCTCTTGTTTTAGGACACGCAAATCAGAATCACGAATATGAATTAACACGTTCTTAGCACCAAGAAAAATGTCCCCTGAGTCAGGGTGGACCAGTATTTCATATATAGCCCCCTGATCCACGTGGTGTGAGGTGATAGCTGCCTCAGGCTGTGTCCTGATCATCCCCAGAAGTAGCAATATCCCACAACACAATACTGCTATCTTCCTCTCCATTATAATGCTTCTACTTTTTTAACCATTTGTTCTTTTGATCACCAGGCTTCCAAAACTTAAACTTCCATTTGACATCAACATTAAACATTCACTTGTCATATACTTCCATTTCCAACTGATTACATTTGCTGCTAATCATTGTTAAACTTTAGCTGATCACACTGCAATAAAAAATATAATTGATACCTACATGTTTAAATGTATATATAAATTGACAGATATAAATGAAATTATTAAGAAATACAATTATTATGTCATATTGTGTCACCTATAACCTGAAGGCAATGTTTAATCAATATCCATATTGCCACAAGAACCAAGTCCGAGTGGTTTCGCTTTTTAGATAACTTCTTCAACTAAATGTATCTCAGCTTGTGCCTTACATTTGGTTATAGACTTGCATCCTTCAGATACAACCCAGTAGTCAGTATTTATTTCTGGTTTCAAGTATGAGCCACTCATCCCAGGAAACAGTGCATTCAAAAGTTAACGAAATGTAAGAGTTTTAGCGACTTTATACGGCGTAACGTCACTGTATTTGTTGTCTATAATTACATTCCACTTTTAGAACTTCAATGTATATAATGCACTATTGTTAAATTCCTTAACAATGAAATCATTAAAAAACTCATTGACAGTCAAGACTGTTCTCTAGCAATTTTCAGCACAGCATTTCAAAATTATATACTTGCAAATTTATATGAACAATTTGATACAACTATTTATATTCTCTTTTAATTAAATTAAGATGCACACATCAATTTGAAATTAAAATTAGTAATTAAGTACATATTGTAAATTGTCACTCCTTTTTTTCACTGCATAATTTTAAATGGAAAAAAAGAGTTCTAAATCTCTAGATCTTAATTCATTTTTTTTTCAAAACAAATTAAATTCTCAAAATATTTCAAATATGAAACCCAATATCATGCAGTAAAATGTAAGCCTTCTATATTACTTACTGGAAAATCGGGATGGAAATGTACTCTCTACATACTATAACAGGCTGCCAGCATTTGATTTGCAAATTGGTATTGTAACATTTGATGGTAACTGCATGATAAAAAAAATGGTAAGGGATAATTACACTCCGTACCAACAATTCTAAAATGTCAAACACTGATTTACTGAAATTGCTTCATTAATATTGATTTATTGCATGCTATTTTTTCTGTGTAGTAATATAAAGTATTAAACCAAATATGGCAAAATAAATATGCCAAAATTAACATGATTAATGCATGTACATGTATATAAGTTGATATATAACTCATCACAACAAGAAAGAATGCCATATATCATATGTTTAACAGATAAATCAACAGATACAATTAAAGATTACAATTAAACATGCTTATAATAATTAAACACTAATAGCAGATGTCTGAGAAAATCATGTACATAACTTCTTTTAAGTTTATTGAGAAAATATTTTAATACAAATTAATCTTAATTTCTGCATAATGTACCTTTACTTAGACACAAATAGAGAAAATTCGAGTTGCATATGTTTCCTTTTTTCTTTACATGTATGACCCCGCCCATGAAATGTGTGTCAAGGTGTATGTTTATAGCTTTTCATTCTTTACATGTGTATAAAAACTCTATTATCTTAGAAATAGCAATTTTGTTTGTAATAGCTAATAATATATACAAATAGAAGAAATGTATACATAAAGGAAAAACAGGTGGTATGAGTAATGAAGCTCAAAAAATACCGGAAATCAAGGCTAACTATGCTTTCGATAGAATAATCTATTTCGTAGATTAATTAGTTTGCTTCGACTATATCTGCAACTGCCCAGTACTTCTCTGTTTTTAATTTCTGTGTTCCTTATTACGTACTTTTCACAAATGACAAACTCACCTGCATAGTAAGTATGACATACCTACATAGTTTACCTGCTGAGGTATCGTGTACTTTCATTTTCATCAAGCCGGAAGCCACAGGTAGCTTTCGTTAGGCGGATCTTATCTTTTCTCACTAAGTTTAACTCAATGCTACTAGACCTCAAATCATGTTCTGATTCAGAGAGATTGTTAATTGTTAAGAAGGACAGTTAATTAATGTTCATATAAGCTATGCTATTTTTTTGATTTTCAGTTCATTTTAAAAGTTCACACGAGACCATATTAAAATGCCCCCCTCCCCGGGGGCATTAATTTTGCCTATATACATTTTTAGTATTACTGTAGAAATCTAAGATACTTCTAAGATCTATGTACCCCCTGATTACGTCTAATGACCTTTTTTTTTTTTGGAGGGGTGCCAAGTCATGGATTTTTTGTAACCCCCCCCCCTCGAAAGGGTTTCAAATTGGTTGCGCCCCCCCCTGAAATTACCTTCAACGACCTATACAATTACTATTAACTGAAAGAAATTTGGACCTACATACTTTGACCCCTGGCAGCAGCTGAAGAATATTTTCCCCATCTGATTCAAAAGTAAACTATATATGTACGTACTCTCTCTCTCTCTCTCTCTCGTTACGTCTTTTGAATAACCATTATATTTCCTTTGACAGGCCCGTGCTTTTGAAAATGAGGGAGGTCCCAAAAAATGATAAGCAATCAAACAATAAAAACACATCCCCACCCACCCCCACATAAGAAAAATAAACTGTCCTAACTCGAAGAATAGTTGTTTTTTACGAAAGCCCAATGAACTCATTTTCGTAAGTAAAAAAAAATAAATTTTTCGAGTTATAGCACGAAACTTTCGCGAATTAACGCGTTACTTTCGCGATTTAACGCGAAACTTTCGCGAATTAACGTATAACTTTCGCGTTATAACGTGAAACTTTCGCGATATAACGCGTAACTTTCGCGTTATAACGCGAAATAATATGCATATGGTAATGTTACTCAGGAACATTGATCTTGACTGACAGATTAGAACATGAACACAGACGGGAACTCTCAGGAACTTATTTATAAAAATATCATTTCCTCAGAAGATGTACTGGAGAAATGATGCGAGAATAGGATAGATTAGTCATCAAAAGATTTTTTCTTAAACCTTACCATTGAATTAATAAAATGAGTTTTACTTTCTTGTACATGTTTTTCAATTGTTAAAATTTAATTTAATTCTTTAGACTGATTATTTTATAAGGAAAATCTCCACCTGACACTTTTTTCAAGCTTTTTTAATCGGTAACATTTACTACAACTACACCACAAGTAAATGAAGCAATCAATCATTTTGGACAAAAAATTATACACTGTAGAAACATAACGTAAAAGTGAATGAACAATGTATAATTTCATGAGCTTAACGGGTCATATGATGCTGTTTAAATAACAATTATAATTGGATATTGTTAATTACAAATTTATTGAGGAGGAGGAGGGGTCTCTAAATTTTCTCCAATATTTATATATTCGGTTATAGAGAAGTTCGTGGACTAGCCATAAATAAACACTATGAAGGTATACAGCAGAGTTTGTACACTTTGAATCGTCAATGTTTTCGTAAGCAATGGAATGACAACGTGGTGAACCTCAAAATAGGATATCGTATTTCCACAGTGAATCCAGCGGAGACAAATGAAAATCTGCTATCCAATTTTCACAAATGCGGTGGGACACAATTGACAAATCTACAGTGTACCACATTTTGAGAACTTGATCTTGATCTCTATGAAATAAAATTATTTCAAATTCTCTAGAGAGTGCATAAAAATGACACCGGAAAGGGATGATTTTCCCCAAAATAAATAATCTTGAAGTTTAACTTTTGGAAAACTTGCAAAAACTTTGAATTGTTTGAACAGCGTTGAGAAAGACGAATTGTGACGGTAAAGATGGATTCAATAGCAAGACAGCTTAAAATTTATCTTGTGATAGTCCAAGATCAAAATAGCCTTTTGCTTATCATTGTAATGAATAAACTTGATGTCAAAATCAAAAGAAAGTTGAGACTAAAGCAAATGTCTGGTTAAACAGACAGCAAAAGTTTCGCGTTATAACGCGAAAGTTACGCGTTTATTCGCGAAAGTTTCCCGTTATATCGCCAAAGTTACGCGTTTATTCGCGAAAGTTTCGCGTTATAACGCGAAAAATATAAATTTTTTTTACCTACGAAAATGAGCTCATTTGGCTTTCGTAGTTTTTCTAATTTTTCAAAAATGCAGTTTTAAGTACCAGAGTTTGACCATACTGCAGCAAAATGTTCAAGGACCAAGCTTAGAACCAAATTAATGGAAAAAAAACATCCCTCGAGTTTAGGCAGTTTATTCTGCTTCGGGAGGGGCTGTTTCTTGTTTTTTTTTTTTTTGATTTCTTATCAATAATTGGGAGGCACCCCCTTTCAAAAGCATAGGCCTATCAAAGGCAATATTATGGCAAATTAAAAATTAAGTCAGAGTAACGCATTTTGGAAAGGGCAATGCGGAATGACGCCTTTTGGAAGGGAAAGGTGTATTTAAGAAATAAGGTATCATTTTTTGAGTTTTATTGAGATGTAAAACGGGTTGGTCACGTGATCAAATCCCATAAAGCCCGAAGGGCTTTATGGAAGATTTGATCACGTGGCAACCCGTTTTACATCTCAATAAAACTCAAAAAATGATACCTTATTACTTATATTTACATTTGTGACTTATTCATACTTTATATTTGCCTGATTGTTACTTTTAACGTGTGAAATGCGTTAATTTTTCAAACCCAACGGCATGTATGTAATCGACCCTTTATGACGTCACAGAGAAATTACGTCGAACGTTTATCCAAACGCACATCTATGACCTCTTGACCCCATACCTGTATTTACACAGTTATAAAAACGCTTGCCTTCAGTAGTGTTATATAAAGGAAAACATTTGCAAATGTAAATATTCGGTAATAACGTTTATTTTTTCACGTTATTACGTTTTTCGTGTTATTACGTCTTTTCAGAGAAAAGGCGTTATAATGCTTTTTTTTTCATTGATTGGTTCTAGTAGACTTTCGAAAGAACGAAATAAGGAAGTCTGACATAGAAAAACAAGAGGCAATACTCAGGAGATAATCTTCTCCTGAACAGCAGATGCATTTTTAGTCATATTGATATAAAAGCATCCTCAGGTAGTGTAGACTACAGAAAAGGTAAGGAAAAAAGTAGCTGATGGAGAGCTCCGCCATGGTTTTTCTGATGAACGTTATGGCCCACAGACCTCTTGTTTTTCTATGTCAAAGTTCCTCATTTCCCTTAAGGGAGGCGGGTATCATGATTTCAACAAACTTGAATCTAGACTGTGAAATAAAGCTTTCTTTTAAGTTTCAACTTTTCTGTTGCACTGTTCAAGACATTTTTGACAGATGCTATACGGTACTGAACAGTAATCTATTTCATAAGTCCATACAAACAATACTTTTAGAGCAGGGAAAATATAGACCCAAAAAAAATCCGAGATAGGATCAGATGCCATGTAGGAGTTAGCATTTCCTCTCCACCAGTCACACTCACTGTTCTTTGGACAATTCAGATTGAAAATAATGGCCTAACTATGTCAATAAATGGCAGTCAACATTTGCATGGTCACTGTATTGACCATAAAACGGGCAAAATTTTGACTTAAACTGAGACTGTCTTTGTTTATCAAATTATTTGTCAATTGCTTGTTTCTTTTAGAAGCTATCTATATGAAGAGGGTGCTTTTGCATACCAAATCAACTGGGAGACATAAACTCTATGCACAGGTGATAACTGTATGTACAGTTTTAAGAGGGTGTGGCTCTTCATTTAAACAAACTTGAATCCCCCCCCCCCCCATGCGAAGGATACTCTGACGCAAAAGTGGTTGAAATTGGCTCAGTGGTATATGAGAAGAATATGAAATTTGAAATAGATAAGACAGACGGATGGACAGACAGACACCTAGATGTACAGATAGACACCAGATTGAAATGTGATTGGAATATCCCTCTGAAGCTTTTGGCTTAGGTGAGATTAACACATACAATGTCATGCTTTTTTTTCCCTTTTTTATTTTTTTGAAAACTTTTTCCTTTACTACAACAATCATGATAATTTAAAAATCAATATCAAAAATAAAAAAGAGCAATCTTTTTAAAAGATCCCAGGTAATGATCAATCATGGTACAACATGAACAATATTTTCAATAGATAATCATTACCATTATGGTAAAAAATATGGCACATGTATTATGTGTTTAATCGATATTTTAGATTATCCTAACGCAGTGGTTCATACGTATTTGTGTCTACAGATCCTCTCTGCCTGTCACGTTGATATTCTCTGGGTCTAAGACCGCCTTGTAGGTATAATAGACATCTTTCCTGTTATTAGGTCCCACCTCCAGACCAAGCTCTGCGACTCTTTGTAGCGCCCAGTTCAGATCTTTGTTGTGTTGTAAAGCTGCTGCCAAAACGGCCACGTAACCTGTCAATACAACAAGACCATATAAACTCTTCCTCATAAATCTGCCATACAGGAACCAGCGGCAGATCCAGAAATTTCATAACGGGAGGAAGGTTGGGGCTCTGTGGGCTACATGGAAGTCCTTAGTGGGCCTAGAGCAAGGTGCTGGGGTGAGTCCAGGGGCAAAGCCCTTGGAAAAATGAGGAAATTCTAACAAACAATAGGTGTTTTTTCCTTCGATTTTAGGATAGTACAAACAAAATTTCAAAAGAGAAATTCAAACAGGAGGGCACACGCCCGGCGTGCCGGCCCTGGATCCGCCTTTGGGAAGTTTCATTTTACAGATATATATTCAATGACTTGTATATTTTAAAACACATAATCCTACTTTCCACTCCAAGATTTCAATGGAATGAAGGGATGAATCTAGTAAAGCGGTAGAATGTGAGCACAGATCACACAGCATTTTAATTGAACAATCTTCTTCACTTCTAGTCTTTGGACAAATAAAATTTATACATACATCACAGGAAACTAAATAAGGGGGGATAACGGGGGTTATTAAACTCAAGATGTTATACCTGCTCTAAGGGCCTTACAGCAGTGTACCAGAACAGGTCCTTTCTTCCCTGCCTCTAACAGTTGGTCTTTGTACATCTCAAACCATTCAACCGTAAATGGAATGTTAGTATCTGTAAAAAGATTTTTTTTTAAAATCAATTTAGTTAAAACATTTAACCTAGTTTTGTTCAACTGTTTTCATTTGTTTTATCAAGTTTTCTATTGCTGATGTAGAAAAGGGTCCTTCTATCTCTCTTTTTCCTTCTCCCCACTTCCAGTCTTGTTAATTTTTCTATTAGAGCTATATTTAGCACATTGAGATAAGAGAACTTTCTAAAAACTAAGATCAATTTTAACATACATGTATATATAATCACTAGCATTTCACAAATAAGGCAAGCAATGCCCTGATTTGTTAGTGAAATGCCGATTTAATATTCCAAAACACATACTTGTAGTCTTTGTGATATCATTTTCAAAGTATTTATGTAATACATGCCCTGGGATAATAGTACAATTCTCTGTCATCCTTGGACTTTCAAGTAAGGTGTGGCATTCTCAGCACTACATAATTAATGTCTCCCAAATGGCGAATAGATTCTCATTGGTTAAGAAATTAACAACATTAGGAACTTAAATTGTTTTCGACAATGTGGAGATGACCCCTTTGCCATACAAGATGCGAATATTGGATATTTACTACACTTGTTGACATTCGCCGAATTTCTATCCCATGTATTTCAACAGTGAATGAAAGCTGAGTAAATTTCATACGCAAATTATATACCTCCAAGAATAACACGCCTTACTGAAAGTCCAAGGATGAAAGAGAATTGTACTATATACTGTTATGACATTCACAAAAATGATTAACATTGAGTTATGGTTACCTAATGGCATGTGATAGTAAGGAAAGTTCAGTTTTTGGAATGCCTCTTTCTCTAGGTTCTCATTGTATCCTGTATCGTCTCCGAATTCGGCTGGGTTTCTGGTGGCAAAGTTGTAAGGAGATTCAGGGGAGATGTAGGTGTTGGGTTTGTTCTTGTCTAAGACATTTTCTTTCAGTGAATTGATAGTCTGTCGCAATTCTAGATCAGAGTTTTTTACTGGTTTACATGGAATGTCTTTAACATTGAGAAGGGTGACCGTCTCTATGGATGTACGGAGATTGACGACAGATTTAAAGCCGGTCTGTTTGATCATGCTCAGATGACTGGTCAGTATCTGTCCTGCCGTGTACCAGTTCTTGTAGACAGGGGCAGCATGCCAATAGTCATACCACTCCTCTGGTTCATTCTCAATCTCCGGGACGTATTCATTTTTAACTTTTTCTCCTGTAATGGTTGCCAAAGTGTCTTTGACGCAGTCCATGTTGAAATCCATGCCTAAAACTTTTGTCATGTCAAAAAATTTCTTGGCATCAACTTTTGGTGTAAATTTGGAATCCTGTATTGTTCGGTTGACCAGGTACATAATAACATCAAAAGATATTGTGTATCCCCGATCACAATGCGCCAATACTGGCCGAGGTAAATTTGACAAGATGCTGCCCACTTTTTGGACTGATTCAAACTGTGCCCAGTCATCATATGGACCTAATGCAGTGGTATACTTAAGACCAGCGAGTTCAGCAATCTGTTTAGCTTCTTTGGTAGTGGGCAAATATTCTCCTCCGAAATTATACCCCTCGTCATCAGCATATGGAAACAATGAGAGGATACTTTTAAATCCAGCCTCTGCGGCGTACTTGATTTCCCTTTCTGAGAGTCGCCCTGCCACATATATATCGGGCGTTATTTCCTTGGCCCACCATGACTTGTATTCAGGAGCACTTCTCTTAGAAATAGTGTTCAATTTTAACTCCGAAAGTACTAGGGTAAACAGTGTCACCAGAATAGACACTAAAATAGACAAAGAATGTCCTCGAATTTTTGACATAATCACACTGTCAAAGGATTAGAGGACAGAATATACCGCTAATCTTCCTGAGTTTCCCCCTCGCACACAGTGACACACACGTAATCGTTGCAGAAAACAACCGGATATTTTTAATGGCATACAAAATGAAAGAACTTTCTCGATCGAACACAATAAAATCCGCATTGCGTGGTCCAGAGAACTTTCTCGATCAAACATAATAAAATCCGCAGATGTCAAACTTTACCTGTGTTGTATGAGGCGCCGTTTTAATATTTTTGAGGAATTGTCTGATATCAAAAAAGAAATTATTGATATCAATAATTGGAATTCTTGATATCAATAATTCGATATAAAAAATATTTTTTGATATCAAAAAATAATTCTTGATATCAAAAAATAGATTTTTTGTCAGAAAATGATTTTCTGATATCGAATTCTTGATATTAAAAAATCATTTTCTGATATCAAAAAAGACTGAAGAATTTTTCATATCAAGAAATACATTTTCTGATATCAAAAATAGATTTTTTGATATCAGAAAATTGAATTTCTGATATCAGAAAATCATTTTTTGATATCAGAAAATAAGAACAAAGTGAAATCAGATCGACTTAATGAATGCTCCCCGTGATGAACATTTAGCTTCCCGCCACACAAATTAGCTGCAAACTTTGTTTAAATCTTATAAGTTTAAGACATGTCTGGATGTTAGGATGCCGTACGTTTTTTTTGGGGGGGGGGGGGGAGGAGGGGGGTGTTTGTTTGGTTTTTTTCAGGATTGACTATATTTTTAATCAATTCACAAACTTTATGGATAGCTTAGATTTCACCTTGAAGAATGAACTACTGCGACCACACGAGTACCTGCTGGTCAGCTGTGATGTAACATCACTTTGCACAAAATCAACTGGGGAAGCTAATGGCTGCTGTTGATAGGGGTTACAGAGAAATTCTCAGTCTAAGCCCGACCTTTAGCACACCTACATTATTTACTCAGATTTATCCAAAATTAAAAAGTACAATAGTAATATACTAGTATTTGAATTCCATGCAAATAAATATGACCAAAAAATATCGAGAACACTTATTAAATTCTTTTATTTAAAAAATATTCTTAAAATCTGAAAGCAACAAACTTTAGTGGAAAGCAAATCTGGCACTGAAGTTTGAGATTTTCTACAGTTAAAGGGGGTATTCATTATCTATGTAAAGATTCTTTGCAATTTTATTTTATTTTCTGATATCAAAAAATATATTTTGTGATATCAAGAAATCAAATTGAATTTCTGATATCAAAAAATCCTTTTCTGATATCAGAAAATCGATTTTTTGATATCAGAAAATAATTTCTTGATATCAGAAATTCGATTTTTTTTATATCAGAAAATGACTTATATTAGAATTCGAATTTTTGATATCAGAAATTACATGTTTTGATATCATAAAATCCGAAGATTTTTTTATATCAAAAAATGATTTTCCGATATCAGAAATTAGAATTTTTGATATCAGAAAATCGAATTTTTGATATAAAAAAATCTTGTTTATTTATGATATCAGAAAATAATTTTTTTGATATAAAAAAATTTAATTTCTGATATCACAAAATGATTTTTTGATATCAGAAAATACCTTAAAAATATTAAAACGGCGTCCCATAGTGTTGGGGATTTTGAGACAATTTTAAAATTAGTAGTAAAAAGTTTTTTCAATTTTATTTTGATTTATTTTTTACTCTTTGAAAACACCCCTACCCATTTAAAAAAATTATTATTTTATCATACTATAGAATAAAGATTGCTTTAGATGTTAGTGTATGTGTTGATTTAAAAAAAAACTCCTGTAACAACCAGATTAGAATTTTAAAATTCATTCCTCCCCAGGATCCCATCTATTAATAAAATGAAAAGAGAGTTGAGTTAACTACATTTCACGAAGAAAAAATATCTAGGTTTATCCTAACCTCAATAAGATTTCGTCACCATGAAACATGCTAAAAAAGATTGCTTGTAAATTCTTAGACCCATGATTGGAAACATTATTTTTAAATTCAGTTACTTCACACAGTGCTGCTCTGAACTTTGCCAATAACATCTCCACTTTAGGTTTACCATTTAGCATATTAAAATTAATATCGAAATTTCATTTGAAAAAAAATTATGTGCGAAGGATTAATTTTTTTCAAAATGCATATTATATTATCATACTTTCAAATACTAAAGGCATATTTAATTCATATATTATCATCAATATGGTATAAACTAGGGCTTATCCCCCTCCCCCACTTTTTTGCAAACATATACATAATATACGCACTGAAAATAATAAATTTCTACTTTTTCTGTACTTCTGTTTTTTGAATATCATTGGCAATGTATAAATATTCCTTTGATGCAATTTACATGTATTTAGACACGAACTGATCTAATACTGTGTTACTGGACCGATCGAAATGCCTGAAACCTGCAGAAACCATAACAAATACATACATGTACAAATAACACTCTCTGAATTTATTTATGAATAAATGATTTTAAGATTAAAAACAAATGAAATAGAAATATCAAAAAGAGCAAAATGCAAACATGACAATGCAAATGATCTTAAATCTGAATCTCCACATAAGTTGACTTTACGTACGTTTTATGGATGCTATTTTATATCGATATAAAAAATGACATTTTTGAGATACAATATCTCCATCAACTGTATTCTCTTTCGAGGTTTGAGTGGCTTTAACAAAAAGGGTACCGTTGGAATGTGAATCACTCTTTAAGGAGTGGAACTCAGAAACACAAAATCATTGACGAGTAGCTCTCGAGACTGTCTGAACTGCAATCGATTGCATGAAGACTTAAATAGTATTAAAGCTGTGCCTAAGTGACGATGACTGAAAATTTGCATAAAACCATTGAGTAGAAGGTTAGGGGGAGATAACTTGAACATTTATTATAGTAATTGAATGATTATCTCGAGAATATTGTAAAATTTACCTTAATTAAGTTGCACAGTATCATTTGTGAAAAAAAATCCTTACCAGAGAACTAATTTTGCGGTTGTAAATATTACAAGTGTATGTGCACAAGGAAACTGAAGACGATTTCAATATTTGGTGTCCGCACTATCACTGATAAAAGCAAAAAACTTTACAGTCCATGATTTTATGAACTGTGATGCCACAGATATTGGTACATGTATGTCACAGTTATAATTAAATTATGATTATTATTAAATATTTGCTTTAATGCTTTGCGCAATATTTAGTACATATTCCGACTGGCGCGCACAGCCAATCGAATACAACCGGTTTTGCAGGTATGTGAGAGCCATGTGCGAGTGTTTTGTTTTTGTACAGGTGAATTTCTATTTTTAGCATTTCCTTTACGTGTGACTGACCAGTGACCTACCATGGACCAATGGATTTCGTTATACTAATTTATATGCATGTTTTACTAACCCGTGCACTATATAAATAAGAAACCCGCCGAAATCCCCACCCCAAGCTCTTCAGCCTTTACGGTAGCAGACTGCTTATATGTATATCATCACAGATCGATTCAATCGATGTATAGCATAATATATTTCTGATTTAATACTGGATGCCTGGTATTATCATTTTACAAACAGCGTGACAGTTTGCTTGATGGGGCGTGCTAAAATTTTGTGTACTGGTTATCATTTTACTCATCGATTGGATCAATGAAATCAATACTAATTTGCATATGAAACTCGGAATACAACAATAGCCTGATAATACTGACCAATCACATTGAATGATTGTTTACCAGTACAGCATTTGTAGTCAGCATTAACACGTGTTCAGTCAAAGCCCGTTTTCTGTTTACATTTATTGTGATTTGACCGGATGGGTTTTTTAATACGTATAAGAAAATTTAAAGAATGAAATTACTAGTAGTAAGGCTACTCTGCTTCTGTTGTACTATATATGTGCGTTTCTCTATCAATATCATCATTATAGGAAGTAAAACTTGCTGTGTTTGTTCACATGTTATTGTTGTCAGTGGTATTGCTGTATTCTGTGTTTCATATGCAAAGTATTATTGATTCCATTGAAATCAAACATCCAATCGAGGAGTAAAATGATAATCAGCATACAAAATTTTAGCATGCCCTATCAAGTAAACTGTCACGCTGTTAGTAAAACGATAATAAGATGTTCATTAATCTTGTAATTCATTTACTTGTTTAATTTATGTAACTATCTACTGGCAGTCGTTTAAATATCTATTAATTATTACTTTTCGTAAATGTTGAAATATTTTTGTTTCGTATTTGTCTATGTATATTGTTTTGTATGAGTGTTGTGATGTTTTTCTATTTTCTAGGTTTTTCTTTATATCCATTAATAAATTGATAAACGACCGAACCAGTTTTGTTCTAAATCCTTCGAACAAGACCGTGACCCTTTGACATGTATGTTGACCTGTAATTGAAAAATGAACATCTAACCCCCCACCCCCTTTCTGTTTATTTGTTCGTTTCAATTTCATTAGCAATGCTTCAATTGAAATCTATTAATATGATATATTTAGACACTTAATGACTTAATTTTTGATGTCCTTGCAGAAGCGAAATGCATGAAACTTGCACAATATCACAACAAATAGATCAAAATAACACAATTTTAAATTAATTATGAACATTTTTTTTAAGATTTAGAAAATGTATTTGTACTTCAAAGAGAAAAATGCAAATCATTACAACATGAATCTATACGGACATAACTTTTTTTTCACCGTTATCAATATAAACAGACAAGTCCAAAGTCATCTCATTTATCTATCAACATGGTAGAGACGTCCGGAAAAGTTCACATTGTGTACAGGCCACTTTCTGACAGAGGCATAAACATCACTTTCTGACAGAGGCATAAACATTCTATCACACAACTGATTTTGAGATTTGCAAATATGTTTTATGCATGGTATTGATATAGAAAAATGACATATTTTAGGTACAATAGCTCCATCGCATATATTCTCTTTCAAAGTTTGAGTGGCCCTTAAAAAAAGGTACCGTTTGAATGTGAATCACTTTGAGTAGTGAGGGAAACTCAGCATATACCGGTATCACTCAATGTTATTGACGAGTAGCTCTCGAGGCTATCTGATTTGTAATCGATTGCATGAAGACTTAAATAGTATTAAAGCTGTGCCTAAGTGACGATGACTGAAAATTTGCATAAAATCATTGAGTAGAAGGTTAGGGGGAGATAACTTGAACATTTATTATAGTAACTGAATGAAAATCTCGAGAATATTTTAACATTTACCTTAATTAAGCTGCGTATAATCATTTGTGAAAAAATCTTTACTAGAGAACTAAATTAAAGGTTGTAAATATTACAATTTTTTAACAGAATAAATATGTACACAAGATAAGGTACATGCAAAGGGGACTGAAGACGATTTCAATATTTGGTGTCTGCACTATCACTGATAAAGGCAAAAAACTTTACAGTCCATGATTGTATGAACTGTAATGCTACAGATATAGGTATATGTATGCTGACCTGTAATTGAAAAAAATATTATCTACCACCCCACCCCCTTTTCTGTTCTTTTGTTTGTTTCAATTTCATTAGCAATGCTTCAATTGAAATCTATCAATATGATATATTTAGACACTTAATGACTTAATTTTGATTCTTTGCAGAAGCGAAATGAATGAAACTTGCAGAATATCACAACAAATAGATCAGAATAACACAATTTTAAATTAATTATGAACTTTTTTTTTAAATTTAGAAAATGTATTTGTACTTAAAAGAGAAAAATGCAAATCATGACAACATGAATCTATACGGACATAACTTCTTTTTTACCGTTATCAATATAAACAGACAAGTCGAAAGTCATCTCATTTATCTATCAGCATGGTACAGACGTCTGGAAAAGTTCAATTTGTGTAAAGGACATTTTCTGACAGAGGCATAAACATTCTATCACACAACTGATTCTGAGATTTGCAAATATGTGTTATGCATGTTATCGATATAGAAAAATGACACATTTGAGATACAATACCTCCTTCGAGTGTATTCTCTTTCGAAGTTTAAGTGGCCTTTCAGTAAAGTGCCGTTGGTTTGTGAATCACTTTGAAGAGCGAGTAGAACTCAGTATCGCAAAGTTATTGACGATTAGTTCTCGAGACTATTTTATCTGCTATCAATTGCATGAAGAATTATATAGTGTTAACGCTGTGTCTAAGTAACGATGACTGAGAATTTGCATAAAATCATTGAGTAGAAGGTTAGGGGGAGATAACTTAAACCTTTATAATAGTAATAGTGTAGAAAAACTGAAGAATTTTTTGTGGGTTAAAATTCATTAAACTTAATTAAGCTGCGCATAATCATTGGTAAAACATTCTATCCGAGAAAGAGTTTGACAATTTAGAGGTTTTTAACAGAATAAGTATATGTGCACAAGATATGGTATATACTTGTAAGGGGAATTGTGGACGTTTCTAAAATTACTTTACTGGTGTTAGTCATTAAAGTGCTAAAGAAGAGTGTTACTTCATATACTGGTTATCAAAGAAACTAAGTTTTAAAAATGATTGTTTACTGCCAATGACAAGTACTGAAGGGATATTTACTGCTCTTTTGCCCCCCCCCCCCCTCCTTTTTTTAAATAGCGGAAAAGTTCAAAGGTGTCTAAATAATAAGTATTCCATTTTAAATCTAAAACCAACAATTTAAAACTTAAGATCGGATCTGAAGATCTAAGACCTTTCCTAAAACTACTGAATAAATTGCCCCGTGCATATCTCTCGACATGGATACCAAAATAATTTTACCCTTGACCTTCGAGTTTGACCTAATTTAGAAAAAAAATTAATTTCTGTCATAACTTCGGGCCCCGGGATCATGAAGTATCAATATGATGGCCCTAGTTCCCACCATGCATTCAAAGCGTATGTCTAATGTTTTTAAGGTTTTTTAAAGCGAGTTAAAATCCAAAGTCTAGGTCAAGAAATAAAAAAAAAAATGTTTGGAGGTGGTATATATTATTGATACATTCCTCTGTTTAGTCAATCTCCAAATTCAATATTTTTTGAATTAAAAGACTTTTTAGAGAATGTCCGCAGTATTACTGTACAGTGGAAGTTCATGTGAAAAATGTTCAGTCTGGACTTCCCTGTCGTTGAGTTCTATAAGTTCAGTAGAACTGATACCCAGGACAATTACCCTTTATTTCCTGAACAATACACTCAAAGTCCTCATAAAATGATTGAATCAGCCCCTCGCCAGTAGTTTACGACCAGCATCCCTATCGGACAATCCCCATTGTCACTCACAGATATTCCCCCACAAGTGTCCCCTTATCGTCCATGTCACCTCAAGTACGTATAAAATCATTCCAGCGATTGTCCTTAGTCCTTCTGTAAATTAGCCCTCATAAACAGGACTATATTCCACCATCACAGTCGGCAGTGGACATACAAATAAACATGGTAATCGACCGAGGTAATTAGGCCCTGTGATCCAGTGTACAATCTATAACTCGTCATAATATAAAGATATCTATTTTAAATAGCACCCAGAGTTTCAATAGTTGAAATGGTTTTATCTTCTCTATTGTGAGTGAGAGTGGGTCTAATATTGTGAATTAGAGATCTGAGATGGGACAAAATGAGAGTCAATTTTCTGAAGAGGAAGAGGGTGAGTAGTGTTTATAAGTGAAGAAATTAAGCGGGAAAGTTTGAATAATTTTTCCAGGAAAAAAACAATTTTATGGATAAGATTTGTTAATTGTGAAATGTGAAGCGTATATTTTAAAACTTTTTATTTTGTTATATTCATTGTTTTGTTCGAATGGAAACAATGATATTGTTAGTAAGAAATCAATTTTAGTGTGTTTATATATAGGGCTTTTGTCAAAAAGGGTGTTCTATTAAAATAATATCAAAATTGAAAATGTGAAAGAATTTGGGTATTAAGAGATAATATTTTCATGTAGACCTATGCTTATTTTGTAAAGCCAACCAAGAGAGCAATTAATGGTTTATTAATAGAATCAAAGTACTCAGAAGTACTGAAAGGCGGGCTCATTTACAGGGTAATGAACAAAGACCACGATGACAGTTTAAAATCAAGCTGATTCAGCCATTGAAAAGATGATTATATATATCTATGCCATATATAGCATTAAAAAGCTTTAAAATTTATTAAAATGTAGCTAGAATTTAACAGCATAAAATATTTGTCACATGTATCATTTCGGGGTTTTACATACCAACAAAAGTAAATAAACACTGATGCAGCAAGATTTTTTAAGGTCACACAATTATGCACAGATGGGTCCTCAGCGGGGAGTTTTGCATCAAAGCGTACATCAAGTCATGAATGATGTTTCCCGCATTTGTATTAGCCTGATAGTACACCCTTTATTTATAGAATATGACGCAGACAGGGATACCTGTGGAATACCTTTCGCATATTTTAACCAAATAATTAATCAGCGAAAACGATAGAAAGTATTTTATTATAATTATTTTTTGACAATTTCAGATAACTATGAAAGTTTAATTCAGTGTTTGTATTGCCTCAAAGGTGATTGCGCAGACGTACTATATTCTAACTCGTAAATTTAATTTGGCGGTGAAGAAGCAGCATTTTCTGTTGCTCACCGTCGCAATAGCCGGGCATTTCTCTACGAGAAATGAGCCCGGCTAAAAATGAGACATTTAAATCACCAATCGATTGTCAGTTACTTGAATCAATTTTGACTATATAATGTGAAAGGGGGTATTCTTGACGTCATTTAACGTACACATTACATTTATGTTTAAAACACATTTTCCATACATCTTCTTATATATGGTGAACGGGAGACTGGGCGATTGTATATATACTGTACATGTATATAAATGTATGACATGAATGATCTTTTTCTTCTTCAGAAAACCAAATTGTTTGAGCATTGTTTAACTTTTATGTTCTGTGTATTAGATCTTATTTGTAAAAATCTTACTCTTGGTGGATTTTTTGAAAATTTGAAAAACAAAATGGATTGAAATTTTACTTCGTGTAGAGAGCATGGGACACACACAGAGAGACAGCTTTTGATAAATGAACTGTGCCAAAAATAGTCCTCAACATTGTTGTTATGTGAGCTTGCACTCTGTTCCCCCACACAAACGTGAAGCGTACTTATTTTTATTTTATATTCCCTTAATCAAAAATTACCAGTTCTTTTAATGAACCTCCATACTTCTATTCTTTTTTTCTTTATGATTAAGCTACTTTTTATTATTGTATTCACCATGATAATTTTCACAGCTTTATACAAATATATTTACATCCAATGAATATTTTCTCCTTTATTTCTTAAGAAACCCCATTGTGTTCATCACTGCATAAACTACAGTAGGCATGTCGCCTGTACAGATTTCTTAATCAGTGGCTGTTCCATCAATGAAACGTATAAAGACGTTCGCATCATTAATACAATAATTAATGTTTTTAATCCTACTTTAATTGATTATTTAAACAGATATAAATATAAACAATAAAATGTCTTTCTTTGTTTGTTATTACTGGAATGAACGGTCGCAGCTATTGCAGAAAAAATTTACATAACCCGCTTACGCGAGTTATGTATTTTTTCTGCAACAGCTGCTTCCGTTCATTACAGTAATAACAAACAAAGAAAGCATTTTATTGTTTAAGAACTGCTTTGTAAACTCTAAATTCTATTTCAAGGGTTGCAAAGTTACAACTCAATCAATATTTACATGTATATATCATTGGCAAGTGAATTGACCTTGAAGATTTGACCTTGAGTCAAGACAATGACCACCTGAAGTTCATTATCAAGGATTAACCCAAACTCACTCCAACTACCTTATCGTCCATTGACCTTGACTTTAATAAATTTACTTGAGTAACTTATATCACGGACGACAACATACTAAAGTTTCAGACTATTTCATTCTTGAATAATCAAAAGTTATGACCTACATGTACATGTAGCTTTATAGCATAATTTTATGTAATAGACATACATGTATGACAGGCAGAAAGACAGACAGTCAAACAAACATGAAACTCCAGCAAGCATGTATGTTAACAGAGATTTAATGAAGAAAAACAAACTATAGAATTTAACTGCCTACAATTCAACGCGAAAGAACGAGGGGTGTGTAGCAACCTCTAATGATAAAACGCCGCTTAATGATACAAATAGCATTAAGCGTTGCAATTGCAACGCTTAATGCCATAAATTATTGCATTAATAGCTGACATTATCAACCGCTAATGCTAAATCGCCGCTTAATGACAGAATTATATCATTAAGCGTCACAAATGCAGTGCAACATCGACGCTTAATGAAACAAGGAAATATCGACATATTCGACGCTTAATGATACACACTGGTGTATTATTAAGCGTTGCAGTTGCAACCCTTAATGATATAAATTTAGAAATCGCTTGAAATATCTAAGAGAAACACACATCCACTTTTCCTGAACAATGAGATATCACTTGTCAAAATATTTATAAATGCCCTAGTGCTATATAAATAGTAACTAGATGCTGTCATGAGACAGTAATACCCGCACTATGGTGTTTGCCTCTAAATACACACTCCTTCATATTGGACTTTCCAAGGAAGAAGTCAAAATAATTCTATAATTATCACCGTACATGTATTCGTCAAATTGAACATAAAATTTTCAGGTGACTATATGATCTATGAGCCTCATATATGTATTTTGAATACTTAATTCATTACCAGTCTGAAATAACAGATTTTAATTAATGATTGAAGTAAATTACTTAATTAGATTCAGATAAATATTTTGCCCATAATTTGGAACTTTTTAAATTTACTTTCTCAACGACATAAAATATTATTTTAGTACAAAGCGTTTTTGATGAATTTATCAAAATGTGCAAACTGATTTTAGTACTTGGTCGGGAAAAAAACCCATTGAAAATACAATCCGATTAATTTGTCAATGCCTCTCTCTCTCCCTCTCTCTCTCTTCCCATCCACCCACACACACACTCTCACTCTCACATTTTTTAAAAATAGACCTAGATGGGAAAGTTATGTTAAAACATAGTTTATTATGATAGTTTGAAATTTGTTCTTGTACTAAACAGTTTTACGTGTGAACATCTTATTTTCTACATTCACATTGGGTTTGCGTCACCCATTATCATATTTATAGATATCACCTCTCGGCACACCTCGGCCGATTTATACTGGCAACGGAATCAGCAAAGGTTTGTCGAATGAGATTATTTAGCACATGTATGCTGACGATGCAGTGTGGTCAGTTAAAATCATTTGTGTTTTAATTGGATTATATGGATTATATTTCATGAATTCGTTGTCACGACCTATGACATTCGGTAAGTACAAGATTTAGTATAGATTGCATAAAAATAAATAAATGCAAATGGTTAGGTTGAAGTTCAAAAAGGGTCAAAGATCATCGCATGCCACAGTCGACAAATTTCACATTGTCAAGTTATCTCCCGTTGCGGACATTCAATATTATACAGGCGCAGATCCAGAATTTTTTTTTCTTCAGAAAGGGGGGGGGGGGGGGGGGGGTGTCACACCTCAGTCAAAAAAATCAGCCCAAGATTTCCTGAGAAGCAAATAAAATATAATAATAAAAACAATGATGGTGGAGTTCCTGTTTTCTAAGGGGGAGGATGTCCAAAGTCATTTTTATTCTTTACAGTACATAGTCTTATTATACCCGCACTTTCGAAAGAAAGTTCGGGTATATTGTTGTTACTCATGTCCGTCCGTCCGTCCGTCCGTCCGTCCGTCCGTCCGTCCGTCCGTCTGTCACACTTTTCTTCCCTGAACTCCTCCTACATTTTTCACAGTAGCTTAATCATCCTTTGGGAGATGGTTGGGGGTGTCATGTAGATGTGCAGTAAGGTTTCGGAATTTTGATTTTGCCCCGGGGGATCAAATGGGGGTCGAAAAATGACGTTTTTTATACAAAAAGCCCCTTCTTCCCTGAACTCCTCCTACATTTTTCACAGTAGCTTAATCATCCTTTGGGAGATGGTTGGGGGTGTCATGTAGATGTGCAGTAAGGTTTCGGAATTTTGATTTTGCCCCGGGGGATCAAATGGGGGTCGAAAAATGACGTTTTTTATACAAAAAGCCCCTTCTTCCCTGAACTCCTTCTACATTTTACTCAGCAGCCTAATCATCTTTTGAGAGATGGTTGGTGGTGTCATGTAGATGTGCAGTAAGGTTTCGGAATTTTGATTTTGCCCCGGGGGATCAAATGGGGGTCGAAAAATGACGTTTTTTATACAAAAAGCCCCTTCTTCCCTGAACTCCTCCTACATTTTACTCAGCAGCCTTATCATCTTTTGAGAGATGGTTGGTGGTGTCATGTAGATGTGCAGTAGGGTTTCGGAATTTTGATTTTGCCCCAGGGGATCAAATGGGGGTCGAAAAATGACGTTTTTTATACAAAAAGCCCCTTCTTCCCTGAACTCCTTCTATATTTTTCTCAGCAGCCTAATCATCTTTTGAGAGATGGTTGGTGGTGTCATGTAGATGTGCAGTAAGGTTTCGGAATTTTGATTTTGCCCCGGGGGATCAAATGGGGGTCGAAAAATGACGTTTTTTATACAAAAAGCCCCTTCTTCCCTGAACTCCTTCTACATTTTACTCA